TATGTAAGGCCTCAATTTCTTCCTGCATTGCTGTCATCCATAATGAAGCATCTGAACTCCTCAAAGCCTCATGAAAGGTTGATGGTTCTCCTTCATCTGTTAGAAGACAATATGCATCGTGGCTTGCCATCACATAGTCTGAGTGCCAAGATGGTCTCCTTATCTCACGTCTTGTTTGTTGAGTTTCTCCATCATTGGCATCATTTGATTCTTGTTCTCCGTGCTCTTGTTCTGCTTCAGAGTTGTCATCTTCTTTAGCTTTCCTTTCTATCACTACTGAAGTAGTGTCTTTGGTAGTACTGTCATCTTTCTGCTCCTTTTGCAGTTCATTTTCTGCAAAGACTACATCTCTGCTAACAACAACCTTGCAGGCAGTGGGATCCCACAAGCGATACCCCTTAACATTGTCAGCATAACCCAAGAATATACATTTCCTGGATTTTGGATCCAGTTTTGTTCTTTCTTGAGAATTGTACATCACGTACACAGGACATCCAAACACATGAAATGAAGAATAATTAGGTGGCTTTCCATTCCATATCTCCATTGGTGTCTTCAAACCAATTGTTGTTGATGGTGATCGGTTTATTACATAACAGGCAGTTTTCACTGCTTCTGCCCAGAAAGATTTAGCCACTCCTGTTGTTCTTAGCATAGCTTTTGTTCTTTCTAGAAGAGTTCTGTTCATCCGCTCTGCTACACCATTCTGCTGAGGTGTATAAGGCACTGTGAATTGCCTTGAAATACCCTCTTGCTTGCAAAATGTCAGAAAATTACCATCTACATATTCTCCTCCATTGTCTGTCCTTAAGCACTTAATTCTTTTCCCAGTTTCAAGTTCTACTAGTGCTTTAAATTCCTTGAATACTGGAAACACATCTGACTTCTTCTTGATTGGGTACACCCACAATCTCCTTGAGTGATCATCAATGAATGATACAAAATATTTTGCTCCTCCAATAGATACTTCCAGTGATTCCCATACATCAGAATGAATCAAGTCCAGTATGTGTCTGCTTCTTGTAGTCACGTTGCCAAACTTCAATTTATGCTGCTTACTTGTCACACAGTGCTCACAAAATGGTAAGGTTACCATTTTGAGCCCGGGCAAGAGATTACGTTCTGCTAGAATTTTCAGGCCTCGTTCTGACATATGACCAAGTCTACGATGCCACATCATTGTTTCTTCTTCTTGACTAATTGCAACTGATGCATCTGCTTCTTTCAACGTATCTCCCAAAAGCATGTATAAATTGGTTGTGATCTTTTCTGCTTTCATCACTACCAAATTGCCTTTAACTACCTTCATGATCCCACCTTCAATGTGGATCTTGTACTTGAGGTCATCCAATTGCCCAATGGACAATAGATTCTTTTTCAAACCCTTCACATGTCGTACCCCTTGAATTGTTCGAATGGTACCATTATACATTTTCAATTTGACAGTACCAATTCCAACAATTTCTAGGGCATGATCATTTCCCATGAACACGGATCCTCCTGAGATAGGTTCATAATTGTAAAACCAGTCTCGACATGGAGTCATGTGCCAGGTTGCACCTGAATCCAATATCCAACATTCATGAAGTTGTCTTCTACCTCTAGATTTTACTGCTTCACTATATAAGATTTCACCATCATCTGAAGTACTTGCAACACAACCTTGAGAGGTTGATGCTTCAATATTCTTCCCTCCTCCACTCTTCTTGTTCCAACAATCTTTCTTCACGTGCCCTCTCTTGCCACAGTTGTAGCATTTGAGGTTCTTTCTTCTCTGAGATTTTGATCTACCATGATTCTGGCTCCCACTGGAACCACGTTCCATTGATCTTCCTCTCATCATCGTCAATGCTTCTGCCTGTTTAGAATTTTTCAGTCTATCTTCCTTATTCTTTCTCCTGGATTCTTCTTCAAGAACTGCTCCAACAACATCATCAAAGGATAGACGACCAATAATGTTGTTGTTTGTTATATTGATGATGAGTTGATCATATGAATCTGGTAAACTCTGGAGTAGAAGCTCCACACGTTCATTTTCTACTATGTTGAAATCTGCGACTGTAAGCTGAGCAAACAGCGTATTCAAATTGTTGATGTGGTCCGTTACTGATGTGGACTCACTCATTCGAAGAGTGTAGAGTTTCCTCTTCAAGAATATTCTGGTATGAAGTGACTTGACCTCGTACAACTTGATCAGTGTGTCCCAAATCTCCTTTGCAGTCTTCTTCTCTGCAACACTGGATAACACTGAATCAGCCAATGCTAAGTACAAATTGGCAACAGCATTGTTATCCATTTCTCTCCATTTTTCTTCTGAAATATCTGCAGGTCTGCCTTCAATTGCATCAAGACAATTGTCTTTTCTCAAAATTGCTCTTATCTTCAATTTCCACAGGGAGAAATTACTCCCATTAAATTTCTCTATCTCATATTTTGCTGCCATATTTTCTCTCTTTATTATACCGACTTATGCACTTCTCACTATGAATAGTATTGTCTACTGGAATAACATAGGTAGACCATGAACTAACACACCAAAAAAAAATTCCCAGGAAAGAGAGGTGGGTCACTATAGACACTCTTAAATACCAAATCTTTCCTAGCCAGAACTTTTTCAGATAGCAGTTTCACACTACCAAACTTTTCCAGTAACAATTCTTTTTTGATGTGAAAGATCGGATTAAACCGCAATCACAGAGCATACTCAGAATTTTACCAACACTATTCTAATGACAATAGCAGCGGAATAAACTAAACCAATTGCTCTGATACCACTGTTGTGACCAGAGTATCAGTATAATAACACACAACTAAAATAAGAGATGAAAAATAAGAGCCAACAAAGACAATATAAAATTATCACAGAAGAAAAATTACACTACTCCTCACTCTAAAATTTACTCCTCAAAATAGGAGACTATTACTACCAAGTACAAGCTCGGTGTAATACAAAATGAAAGGGAAAGAGAAGATTTTGGGATGATTGATTAGTAAGACCCCTTGCCCTTTTATAAGCAAAGGAGGGGTCATCCTTTGAAGTTCCCACCGATGTGGGACTTCTTACTTAACAGAACAAAGGTCATGTGCTTGGGTATCCTTCATGATAGTAACGTAAATGATGGATCTCAATTATAAGCTTATTCTAATGCAATTTTCCGACTTACTTTTTTCTGATAATTTTTACTCGTTATGATTTTTTTTCCCTTTCCATGGTTAAACTGTTGCTCGATATAAGGAATTATTTTCTTTCCTTAAATCTTTCATAGATCCTAGGATTGGGATCCAAGTATGTTTTGACACATTCCATAGGGGGGTACAAAGGATGTTTCCCCTTGTGAAGCTTTTGCCTAGTCATTGGTTGTCAGTGAAATATACATTGGGTATTTATTTATTTTTCAATACTATAAAACATGATAAATAATAAATGTAGACAATACATGCAATGAAAACAGATTAAACTAACTGGTTAATATTTGTATATAAAGAAAATTGTTTAATTGACTGTTTGTATTCTATCTTACGTATAATTTTGTTCTGTTGATTTTAATTGTTCATATTCATTCTTTATAATTTTTTTAAATATTTGAATTGAGTCTCTTTTCTAAAAATTTAATTAAACAACTAACAAGAATAGAACAAAGGTGTAATATCTAATTAATTTATACAAATTTGCAACGGAAAAGTGTATAGATAGAATAAATAACCAAAAAATATTTATTATGTTCATTTAAATAATTTATATACTTTACCAATTTATATAATTAATTGTATGTCATACTTTTATTATATTTTTTTTATTAATTATTAGAAAATAGGTGAAGGATTTAATTTAAACAATTGAAAATATAAAGACCAAAATTATAGTTAAGCTAAAATAAAAACTTTATTTGACATGAGAATACAAATGAATATAATGGACAGTCTCTCCTTAAAATAGATCTACATGAAAATGAATTTTTATATAAAATATGTACAAAAATCTTATATGAAACGTAATACTGAATAAACTACATTTGTGATCACATGGATCGTATAATTACATTATATTAGCCGTTGAAATTGACCCATTTAAATTAGTAATGAGGATTAAGTGTTCTGGGGTCCTTATTAGGTAGATGAACTAGCTTTGTCTTTGTTGAATTTCCAAAAAAAGGTTAGTACTGTTGCTTATTGGTTGAACATATATGTAAGACAGAAATCCCATTACTAAAGCAAGGAAGAAGAATATGGTAGAACTCATGACGTTATTGCTTATAATTATTCATAGCCATTGCATGTGGAAAATGTAACAATAAACAATGATGTTATTTCATTTTCCTAAAAAAAGAAATAATGTTCTTTCCTTGTCTGTGAAAATGATTTATGTTACTCAGATAAATCACATAAATATTTTTCGTGAGGTTGTAAATTTTTCACGTGATTAATTACCATCAATTAATAACTTATTATGAAAAGCAAGATTTACGTATATGCATTATGTTTGGTTTCAATATATCATCTTAATCCTATCAGCATTTCAGACAAAGAATTAAAGATTAAGAAAAAATAGCAGCCATAACTGATTAACAAATAATTGATTCAAGTGGTATAAATAATTTTTCTTACGTAAGATTTTGGATTTATAAGAAATTTCTTTTGAAAAACTAACCTTATCTCTCTCAAAAAATTGTCTGAAAAAAGCAGCTGCAACCATGGTATAATTTTGGCAAGTGATTTTTATTTTTAATCATTAAATGAAAAAGATAACTTGTGGGTATGATACTGAATAAGTGCAATTTGACAACTTGGTTGAAAGTGAGATATTGCTGCCCAATTCCATTGAAATATACATGCATGAAGCCAAAGTCAATGTTGTTAATTTATTTCCCCAACCAGAAAACCACCAACCTCAAACTCACTTGTCACTAAACAAATATCTCGAATTCAAGATATGCAACAAGCGTGGATACTTGCACTTGCATATTAACCTCTCTCTACCTCCGAATAACTCTTTGTTAACAACACTCAAGCTATTTTAAGATCATATCATTGTACTCAACACAAACACAACACAAGGCATTGAGAGAGTTAGCATAGCAATTAGCAACATTTCTTAGCATGCAACACAATCATTCAAAGGTTTAAAACTAATTCAAACAAGACAAGCAAAGGCAACAACATATGAATCTCTTATAGTAATTGAACATTTCTTATCCTATTGTTCAATGCCCATGGCATGACCAATTTTCTCTCCGACGAGTGCTCCTCCTTCTCTCAGCTTCTTGCTGATGGTGATGGTGATGGGTTCCACAAACTCAACCAGAGAAGACTCATTGATTTGGTGGTTGCTTCTTCCCCACACCCTTCCTCCTTCCTCAGCTCGCCCCAGGTACATAGTGCTACTCAGAGCATTTTTATCATTGTAATAGAGAAAGAGTTGCATGATTTTATTTTTATCCATTCATATACTTTCATGTGATTTCTCTGAAATTTTTTTTATTGATCTATATATAATTTATATGATAAAAACTTTTAATCTAACTGTTGATTTTAAAATAAATTTTTTTAATAAAAATTTATTACACAATATAATTCTTGGTATAAATTATACAAGTGTAATTTGATTTCCCACAGATACATTGTTAAACTTTTTACTTCGGGTTAGAATTTTGACATCGATCCAAACATCATATTTTTGACAAAGAATTGGTCCTTATAGTTTAATTTATCAATAAGATTGTGTAATAAATGGTTCATATTTTAGACATTGTGTGAACATATGTCTAAGAATTGGTCCATCCATAAAGTTATAGACATTGTGTGAATATATTTCTAAGAAAAAGAAATTATAGGAAATAAAATTCAAAATGAGTGAAAACAATAAAAATCAACATCAAATCTTTCAAAACATAATATGCACATTGCAGCAATGGATTTTTGGTTGCGTTACCTTGATTCTCCATAGAGATAATTTTGTCTGGTTTGATCTTTAGAAAAAAAAAACTGAGAAAAAAAAAGTGCAAATAAAAAATAAAGTGATAACAATAAAGTGACATTTTTGTAATTATCACTAAAAACCTATCAATTGAAATAAAAAGGCAAATAAACCCTAAAATTCATTCCATTTAATTTAATACCTTTTCGACATAAAGTTATTAAGTATTTATAATCTGATATTGATGATTGGACTTTATAGTATTGTAAGAGGATGAAAGTGCAGGATCATGCATGGCATTACAACATATGCCATACAATATGATCTTTTCGCCTTGATGACAACGAATATACAATACAAATGTGAAGTTCTTATTATATCTTCATGCAAATATATGTACAGAGTCCCTTCGGAATATCCCACCAACAGGCTTTATTAGCACATGTAACAGTGCAAGCTGTCATAGCACAATTAAATATGCAAATGCCAGCCAATTATCATAAGCCCACAATAGTAACAACTTCCAATGATGAACCATTGACACAACATTCATCTTTTACTCTGAATGATGCCAATTCAAAGCAGAAAGTGGCACCATCAGAGAATATATCTCATGCTAATAAGAAATATCAAATGCTTTCTTCCCTAGCTACTGATAAACCTTCAAATGATGGCTACAATTGGCGAAAGTACGGGCAAAAACAAGTTAAGGGTAGTGAATTTCCAAGGAGCTACTACAAATGCACACATGTGAATTGTTATGTGAAGAAAAAGGTTGAGCGTGCCTCTGATGGTCACATCATTGAAATCATCTATAAAGGGCAACATAACCATGCAAAGCCTCATGCACATAGGCGCGTAAAAGTTAACTCAAATGAAAATACATGCATCCATCATGCCAAGTCTGAGTCAAAGTTAAACACACATCAAGCTTTTTGGGTTGGAAATTCAAACAAGTTAGGTGGTGAAGAGTTGGGTGATTGTTTTGTTCTTGAGAGTGATCAGAATCAGGACTTCAATCAAAGGGCTCCTAGTGACAATGAGGACATGGGTGATGTAGACATTAGGGAAGAAGGAGATTACAGTGAACCAAATCCTAAGAGAAGGTATTTTCATTGTTTCATTTTGTTCGTCTAAAAGTAGTAAACTTTGTTTGAAAAAATATATATTAAACTTTTTTGTTTTCAATGTACTAAATGTTTTTTTTTAATTAAAGTATATTACTTTGAGTTATTTAAAATGGATCCTAAAAGTTGACTTTAATATTTTATTTTATTTTTATAGTATAAGCTGAAGTTGTGTGTTTCAGGAACACTGATATTGGGGTTTCTAAAGCTCCTGTGCCTCACAAGACTATCACAGAACCCAAAATCATTGTGCAAACAAGAAGTGAAGTTGATATTTTGGATGATGGGTACAGGTGGCGCAAGTATGGGCAGAAAATGGTAAAGGGTAATCCTCATCCAAGGTGATCACTGTGTGTATTCTTTTGTACTAGGCTTCATATTTTCTTAAAAATAGAAAGAAAAACGTGTATGTAAAGAAATGCATATATGAAGTTTAAATAATTGCATTGTGTGATTGAAGTAAATCAATAGTAGTAGCTATGAAGTTGATCAAACTTCAAATTCAAACATTCAATGATCCTTATTTATTCAGCCAATTTTCAATTGCTATAAAAAGCAGTGCATATTCCCATAAAACTTTCCATTTATTACTTTTTTGTTTTTTGCTCTCTAATGTTATAATTTGGCCTATGATCAATTTGTATGAACAGGAGTTATTACAAATGCACAAGTGCAGGATGCAATGTGCGAAAGCATGTTGAGAGAGCTTCAATGGATCCCAAAGCGGTGATAACTACCTATGAAGGAAAGCATAATCATGATGTGCCTGCTGCTAGAAACGTACAGCAGCCACAATATTAATATTGCCGCTAGCAATTCAATGCCTTTAAAGCCACATAAAGTAGTGCCCTTAAAAATCCTTTGCTTAAAGATATGGATTTTGGAAATAATGACCAAAGATTGGCATATTTGCGCTTAAAAGAAGAGCAAATCATAGTATAAATCATAGTTATCATAATACATGGTTGCTCACTTTTTACATTAGTACCACAAGACTTTTCTTTATGGTAAATTTGGTATGTGGTATGTGGTGGCAAGCAATATTAGTTATCAAAATTTCTATTCAGTACATGTGTATTGTTTTGTAGCCTTTCTGTATGTAACTTTCTTTTGCCAATGTAAATTTTTAAATTGTTTGTGTAAGTTGTTAACAGGTGTGAAGATCATTTTAATTTTTTAACTAAACTATGAATTTAGTTATAGTTATAATTTACTAGCTACCAAATTGTTTTTAGTTTTGTTTAGTGTTTCGTTATTGTAAGGGTGAAAAAAATTTGTGTAGTCTTTAACCATGGAATCTGAATCCCTCTAATTCATACAGGAACTGGAAAATTTTTACTTAAGCTAAAACTAAAATTTTTGCAAAATTAACACATTGTCGGAGGGAGAGTTGCAAAGTGAGGTAAAAATGGAGGAGGTAAAGATTGAGAGAGGAGATGTAGTGGAGAGCTCACTGGCAGTGTAAAATCAAAATTCTATATTTTTGTTTAAGAAAAATAGAACTCAAGGTCCAATTCCCATGCAAATCAGAAGTGATTTGTTTCCTGTACCATGTGATTTCAACTAATAATATTATGTCATATGTATAAATTTTATAATTTACGAGAAAAAGTTAATATTTGATGTGATGTATATTAATATGTATAAATTTCTTTTATTCTTCTTTAAGTTAATGTTAAGAGATGTATATTAATATATTTTTATAGATTTTTTTTATGAGTGAGATAATATACTTTAGTATTCAAACGAGGAAGGTTAGATTTGGTTTTGTTTTTAGAAGTTGAGGTGTAATAATTTTTATATTTTATTTGTTGTTATTTATAAGAAGAACTCTTTTTTTTTTGTTTCGTTTTCTGTCAATCTGACTAGAAACACTATGAAGTTGCCTGATTGTTTTATTAAACATGACAAATTTTCAAAACATATTACACACATAAAAAAAATATTAGGATTTTAATCTTTCTTTTTAGGAGAAACTTCATCTATAGCAAAGCATTGTAGCAAAAAAAATGATGATACTATTTAAACACCTTGTAGCATCATTTATAACATGGATAAAGATAGGAAGACAAAAGTATGCAATAAAATGAGTCATATGAAAAGAGATAAAAAAATTATTAAAGAATTTTTTAATAACAGTAAAAAATTGGTGAACACTAATATACATTAATATATATATATATATATATATATATATAATATTTATATTTATTTCATAAAACCTAAACTATAAGTTTTATAATTTTAAAAAAATTAAAATAAAGAATAAAAAAATAAAAAATATCATATATTATTAATTAAAAATATATTTATACCTTTTCTCTCTGTTTTTGTGTCATAGAATTCTTCTATTTAGTATCACTGAATAATGGAGATAAATTTGATAATATATATATTTAATTTTTTTTAAATAAAGTCTTGTCTCAAATAAGATTACTTTTTATCCTAAAATAAAATACCATTAGACCACACGCGCGCACACACACATATTAATGTTGAAGTCATGTTATGAAAAGTTTTTTTTTTTTCATTTAAATTTTTTTTGTCTCAAAGAAAGTTTTAATGATTTTTATAAATGTGATTGAATAAGATGTAATGATAATGTAAAATACATCATACTTAGTATAAATAAAAATTTAAATATTTTATAAAAATTAATAGTTTTTCTAAAACTTATTAAATAATTCTAAAGTACTTTTAGCATAGAATAATATGACTTAGCAGTGATGCAAAACCATAGTTGAAAAGTAAGAATATTGTCTTATGTAAAAAAATGGGGCAAAAGAAAAGTTTTTTTCTTTCCTTAAAATATAGTATGTTTTTTCATATTTTAAATGCATATTCTTTATTTTAGTCCTTAAGTATGATTTTTTTAGTATATATTTTAAAAATTAATATATTTATATTTCATAAAAACCTAAACCATAAATTTTATAATTTTAAATAATTAAAATAAGTAATAAAAAATATTAAAAAACACCACATTATTATTGATTAAAAATATATTTTAACTTTTTCCATCAGCTTTTGTGTCATGGAGTTCTTCTGCTAACCAATAGCACATCAAATAGCATCACTCAATAACTAACAAAAGATTAATTCGACAATATATATCTAACTTTTTAAAATGAAGTCTTGAAATACATATAATGTGTATATAAATAATTAATCCCATGATATTCAACTCAAATAAGATTACTTTCTCAAAACAATACATATAATCCTAGAAAAAAGAATAATATTACTCAATGGTAAAATGTTAGTTATATCCAATTATGCAAATTAGAAGCTTGACATGGTAGGTTACAAAAGAGAATTGGCCAATAATTACATCAACAACTTAACTAAAAATGAAACTAAGTGTCAAATTCCAATCCTGAATTCCACTTTGCTCTGCTTCAAGTGGAACCGTTGGTTGGGTGGTTGGCTACAACAACTGCCACCATTGCATAGCAGAGAGTCATAGATCACACCCCTCTCTGTCTCTCTCATTGTTCCTCTGTATGTCCAACCAAAGCATGAAGTTAACTAACATAGGAAAACATGATCCAAAATGTCACATCAAGCTATTTCTTTTATTTTCGCCAAAAAAAGAAAAGAAAAAGACGTGACCCAATTTGGACCCACGAATTTCTGTTCCTTCTCTTTAGCATTTGAAAATCCTCCACCCCCCAATTCTCCGAGGATCTCGCACACCCATTTGGGAAAAACGCAAAAGGGTTGGATCGAAATGCACGCAGAGAAAGAGACTTAAAGGAGAAAAACAGGGGAGGAGAGAGAAAAACAGGGGAGGGGTTGTTCTGTTTCAGAACAAAGCTAGCATTTTTCGTGCAATTCCAAATGCCCTTGTTTATGGCTTCTGCTCATTTCGCTCTCTTCTGAATCCCCTTGTTCTGGGAGCAGCAACCGCATTGGAGGGTGCTGATGTAGGGGGAAAACCTCCCCTACAATCACCATCATCCATTTTCCTCAAATGGGTTGCATTAACTCGAAGAATGTGGTTACCAGAGCTCGTTCTCCGTCGCCGGTGAAAGGTGACCTTGCCGTTTCTCTTACTGCTTCCTCCAAGGGGTTTGTGGGTTCTGAACATAGAACAGGGACAGGGGATGATAGGAACATTAAGTTGAAGAAGAATGGTTCTAAAAAGAGTAATGGGTCTTTAAGCTTCAGAATTGGGGTGCCCCATAGGTATCTGGAGGCTGAACAGAATGCTGCTGGTTGGCCTCCTTGGCTCACTGCTGCTGCTGCTGAAGCCGTTCAAGGATGGGTCCCACTCAAAGCTGATTCTTTTCAGAAGTTAGAAAAGGTACTTTTGCTACCTAGGAATGAGGAAATGTTTCATCAAGATTTTCATGGGCCCCACATTTTAAGGTTCTTGTGTCGTATGAAAATAAATAAATAAGTGTGATAGTTGAAAAATATAATCTAGATATTTAAAAACGTTATTCAAGTATCACACACGTTTTTGCTTAGTGCTTATGACATGTTAAAATTTCATCTTAACGATTAATGTAATAAATGTTGGGTCAAAGTTAGAGCCTATTTATTTTCATTAACATCGATTTTAGAAGTGTAAAAAAAAAAAAAATCTCCTACCATTTAATGAGCATTTGAAATTGTGCTAACTCTTAATTTCAACCCTTGATTTTGTTAACTCCGTTCACGAAACAAAGAAATAAAACTTCAATTTTAATTGGCATAAAGAAAAACACTTAATGTACTACACATTTTTGTTCATTTGTATTGCATTGCCCATTCAAAAAGTCCATTTTTGTTTCTCTTCTCCCTTTTTTTAATGATTTGTCGTTTTGAAATTGATATAAATGATGATAATATATGGTTTAACCTTAAATAGATTAATTACTTTTGAATAATATGTACTCATCAGCTGTGTATTGTAACTTTCTGGAGCTATTAGGAAAATTGGTGCCTCACTTATAGCATTGGTGGCCAAGGTTTGAAATAGCCAACTGTGAATGTTTTCAAATGAAATGAAGTTTATGTCACTGTTATTATCTTCAATGATTAATTAATTGCATGGTTACGAAACTGTACTATTTGCTTTGTGATGTTTTCATAATCTGGTCTACCATTTTGGATTTATGATATGTTTTCCTATGTTTACATTTCTATAGATTGGACAAGGTACATACAGCAGTGTGTTCCGAGCACGTGAAGTTGAAACAGGGAAGATATTTGCATTGAAGAAGGTGCGTTTTGACAATTTCCAACCTGAGAGCATCAGGTTCATGGCAAGAGAAATAACAATCTTACGTAGGCTTGATCATCCAAACATCATGAAATTGGAAGGGATAATCACTTCTCGCCTCTCAAATAGCATATATCTTGTGTTTGAATACATGGAGCATGATCTTGCTGGCCTAGTGTCACGTCCTGATATTGTGTTCTCTGAATCACAGGTTTGTTAGCATCTCATTTATGATAATCTGCTTGCATCTTTAAAGAATGAAATTCTATGGGTATATTGGACAAAATAGAAGATGTGCTACAAAACTTACTCTGTGCTCCTCTGTTTATTCATTTTAAGCTTAAGAACGTTTTTATGAGCTTTTAGTTTGAAGAATGCTAGTAACGAATTCTCTAACATACTCCTAATTATTAGTTAAAATTTTTAAAAAAATCATGCAAGTACTACTCTTTCTCAATCCTAAATTAATTTTTTTTTCTCATATTTTTATAGTTTTTAATAAATTTTAACTAATAATTAGAAGTGTGTTGTTAATATTCTTCTTTTAGTTTTTGTTATTCTATTTTTAAAAATTTCTATATTATGTTAGCTTTTGGTTTGAATCTTTCTTGCTAATGTGGCATTATGGTTTGAATCAAAAGTGATTAATTTAGAAAAACTAGGAACTTAAAACCAAAAAAAAGAAAAAAGTTTGGAAGGACTAAAACTAAAAAGTTGTGAGAATATAGGAACAAAATACATATTTAAGCCTTTACTCTAGTTTCTTATTTGTTACATTTTGGGTGTTCAGGCCAGTTTTATACATTTGACGTTACATGATTGATTATTGTTTTCCCTCCACAGATAAAATGTTACATGAGGCAGCTATTAAGTGGACTTGAGCATTGTCATGTCCGTGGCATTATGCATCGTGACATCAAAGTATCAAATATCTTACTGAACAATGAAGGTATTCTCAAGATAGGAGATTTTGGATTAGCAAATACAATTAGCACAAATAACAAGCATCCTTTGACAAGTCGTGTTGTGACTCTGTGGTATCGTCCTCCTGAGCTCTTGATGGGATCAACCAACTATGGAGTATCAGTGGATCTGTGGAGTGTAGGGTGTGTATTTGCAGAGCTTTTTCTTGGGAAGCCTGTCCTTAAGGGGAGAACTGAGGTAACCCTCAAAACCAACATTTGAGCTTATGAAAATATCCACGATTATCATAAGCTCTTTTTAGTTTATTCTAATAGTTTTTTGATAAATTTTTTGGCATAAGTTCTCATGTAACAATAACTTATTGCATAAGCGCATACTTGAGCTGTTTACCCAAATGCACCTTAATCTGTGTTTTGTTCTTTTTAAAAATGAGGATATACATGCATGTCGCAATCAGTTAGAAAATGTTGGCCGAGAAATAATGAAATAAACTCTTGTGCTTAGCTTGAAGGTGATGTTAATTGACTAGAAAAGCATATATTGAAGTTAAGATGACTAAGAACTAAGACAACAACACAAATCATGCACCAATTCATTCTTGACACTAATTCTCAAATTCTCTTTTGCTGTTTAACATTATGTATGATTTTCTTCTTGAGTCTACAGGTTGAACAATTACACAAAATTTTTAAGCTGTGTGGTTCTCCACCTGATGAGTTCTGGAAAAAGAGTAAACTTCCTCATGCAACAATGTTTAAGCCTCAAGCTAATTATGAAAGCTCTCTTCGAGAGAAGTGTATAGATTTTCCTGCTACTGCTGTAAATCTACTTGAAACTATACTGTCCATTGACCCAAACAACCGAGGGACGGCCTCCTCTGCTCTAATGTCCGAGGTAAATTCCATTGAATTTTGTTTATAAGTAGATATCCTTCATTTTTAGAAGAATTTTATTTATGATCCTATATTATGGCATAGAATTAGTGTTATATGAACATATTTCATAATTGTTACTCTAAAGATGTTAATTTGTTATGATGTTTGCTTTATGTTGTCCAATTGTGTATACTTGAGTTTGATTTTCTGATTTTATTGTCATGGCATACCCTTCAATAGTATTTCAGCTCCAAGCCATATGCTTGTAATCCATCAACCCTGCCAAAGTATCCTCCTAGCAAAGAAATGGATGTCAAAAATATGGAAGATTCAGCCAGGTAATTATTATGATACTTCTTATTCATAAAGAAATTGGCAAGGAGGTATTTGTTTATGACATTGAATTTTTCTCCTACCTTGTTACATCTATCTCCCTAGAAGCCACCTAGCCCTGTGTACTTGGTTGCCCTTTTGAGTTCTATTCCTGAGTCTGCTTTTTATTGTTACATGGTTGTGTTTATGGACTAAAACTTATAGGTTGATCTAAACATGGCATAAAAAATGAGAGTGGAAATTTTGCTTATTCCTTCTTATCTATATTCATAACTTCCTTCAGGTTTTGAATGCTTAGTTAAACCATTAATCAGGTCTAGATTTGGGTATCTAAACCAAACAAGTTATTTAAAGTGGATAGTGTACCTTATTTTGGCTTTCTATAAAATTGTGCACTTCATTTCCTACTCTCAGGAAAAAGACTGGAGGTAAAATGAGAGAGGCTGCAACATCAAGAAGGCAACAAAGAAGAGTAAGTAAAGTTTTGCAAGAGCCAAACAATTTCGGCAAATATACTTCAAAAGAGGTAATCATTTTTCATTGGAATGCTACATTACTTGAAGATCACAACATTTTTACATACTTATCTTACCTTCTTTGTTAAGGACATTCAGAACATTTCTCAAAATGTTAGTAGAGATGATGTTAAAGCACATCTTACAAAGGGCAAAGGAGGAGCTATTCACAAAGAGCAAACAAAGCCTTCATTGGATGCTATGTCAGAGGTTTCCCAATTGGTGACTGTTGCTGATGGTAATGGCTATAGTGTACCAATACAAGTCATCCCAGGATCTAATGATGCCTTTACATGGACCAAAAGGAGAAAACAAGATGCATCATCCACACTATCAGATGGATCAAAAAGCAAAATTAGTGCACTGGATCCAAACTTTGCAAGAGGCACATATGACTTAACCAAACAAAGGGTAACCATGGACTTTGATCCTGCAGAACTGATAATTACTCAGGTAAATATGAAATCCTCAAGTGACAGTAGACAAATGCTTTAGATCACTTCAACATACAAAACCATAAGGGTATCTAAAATGCTTGTATATACATTCTATTTGTATCAAAGTTACATCTTGTTTTCTTTACCAAAAAAATTTATAGGGCAAAAGAGAAGAACAAGGTGCATATTGGAATGAAAATGGCATGCGGCGTGCTGTTCGTAAATCAAGATTTGGAAGAGGTAAATGATATTTTATATTTGGGAGTTTTTCACATACAAAAAGCTCTGTGAAATAAAACTTTCGCCTATTTCTACGTTACCATTAGATTCATTGACCTTAATTATTATATATGCCATGGTCACATCAAATCTTTTGTGCACATATTTACATATAATCCAATGACTACGCAGATTACTTGCCTCTCTTATATTTTTCTTTTATTTCTACACTAATGTTGAATTACTTGATTAGTGCTGCGAAATTTTTAACAAATACTTATAAAAGAAATAAAATAAAATAAATCAAGGAGGTAATATGAATTAAATTGCTTACATAAGTTAAAATTAATTTATACACTTTAATATTTTTTTAAAAATCTTACATTTAAATACTCCAAGAGCACCTCTTGCTAAAAATTCTTACCAAAAGTCTTAAAAGTAAACATTTATGATTGAAAAGCATCCATAAGCTAGAAGCTTTCAAGAATAAATTAAAAGTTATTGTTGTTTAAACATCATTGCAAATGAACTACTAATGAGTACTTACAAATCAATTTGTTATTTACAGACAATTGATGCAAGGATTGCAGGAGTGGTGTAATCCTCACCACTACAAGGGTGCCTAACAAAACATGCTGGCCATTGCTGGATTCTATTAGTGGCATCTAAACCATTTTAGTTTCTCACATGATCTCTCTCCTAACATTTTGGTGGCACTTCCCCTCTTTAGATCACAAGAGCTAACTATCATACCCTTTTATCATAAACATGATTAACACTGAAATATAGGACCACACATGTATGATGCCAAAATGGAAGATGGTACAATTGAAGAGTGGTTTCTTTTCTCATGGAATTTCATTATCCTAGTACATGCCAATTTTTCTCTCTGTAGGATATTTAAAAAAGGAAAAAAAATACACAAAAAGAAAATATTTTGAGTTTCCGACATATCTTGTGTTCTTGATAAATCTATTTGGATGATATCAACAGTAACGAAGGGTTATGCCATACTCATTTTGTTTACATGTTTGCTATTTTGGACATAAAGTGTAATATATGTTTTATAATACAAAATAAACGATCTTATTTTAAAACCATTGACGATCCTTAGTGATTTATTTATTTGAAAACGAAACACAGGGCATAAAAAACTTCTTCATAATTCATTAAGGACCTAATTGGTTTAGTGGAAGAATTGATTCTTTCATAATCCAAAAATTAAGAAATTGATTATAGGTCCCCTAACGTCTAAGTAAACCAGCCTTATAACTTCATGTCTAAATGTTGATAAAAGAGAAATGCTAATAAATATATTTTATATATTAAAAAATAATATATAATACCCCAAAATAAGAAGTATATTTTGTTCTCTAACTTTTTTAAGCAAGCAAGAAAGAAATTAAATTATAACAAATACTTGTTAAAATAGGAAAATTCTAAACAAAGTGTGGAAAATTTGGCTGTGGCATTAAGAAGATAAAAACACAAAAACCTCCTATTTTCCTTTCTTTGGTTTTAAGAGAAGAAACCGGTGAATAATAAAATAAAAAAGTAAATAAGAAAAAAAAGACAAAGAGTTTTTTTATATTTTTTTATTAGTTTTTATATTATTTAATAAGAGGAGAAAAAGAAGAAAAATAAATGTTCGTTTCTCTCTTTTTATTTGGTTAGATAAATGAGAAGAAAATAAATATTTATTCTTTTAAAAACTTTGTTGAAAAATATAAAAAAAAATTAAACAATTTTTTAGAAGATTAAAGTCATAAACTCTATATTCAAGAGCTCTCTCTTTTTCATCTCAATTTAAGAAGATTTGTTTTCCTTCTCAATTTGAGAAGAAAATAAAATTTATATTTATTTGTATTTATTTCTTATATAAAACAAGAGAAATTATCTTTTATAATACAATGAGAGGATAATATAATCAATAAACTTACATTTTTTTCAAATTAAAAATATTTAATGACTTTATTAATTTATGTGTAAAAATTTAAAATAATAATTATCTTCTTTTCTTTTTATATAAAACGAGATCACTCTATTTTTATATTTTAATAACTTATTTAATCTTTCATATTTTAATTTTATTTCATTAAAATATCATTTTTTAACGTAATTCTCATGATTAAAAAATTTTTCTTTGCACAAACGGTGCATTAGAATTTAAAATTTTAAGAAGAACAATAATAATAAAAAAGTAAGAATTTATATTATATTTAAAAAAAATAAAAAAAACTCTTTTTAAAAGAGAAATCAAACATATGCTAAGTATTTATAATTATAAACACTTAAAGCTTATTTAGTAGAATTATTTTATTTTAACTTAGTCTTGAGTTTAAGTTAATTAATTAATAAAATTGTTCTCACTTAGAATTTTGAGTTCAAGTTACAATAAATATAATTATAATAAATATTTTAAAAAATTATCGTCTCTAATTATTCTTACTTAATTCAAAGAGAATTAATTAAATAAAAAAATATTTATGTTCTAAAAAAAATTAAACAAACAACAGTTCCTTTTTTTTTTTCAAAGATTCAAAGGCAAACTTTTGAGTATGAGGAATAGTTATAACCAATAATTAAAATATTATCAATTTGAAATTATAATAAGACACAATCAAACGTGTTAACTTTGAAGTTATTACATTCTTAATCATTAATTTTTTAATCAAAATATTAAAAAATGGCAAATAAGGAAAGAGACAAAGCAGAGGCATTGCGTGGCAAAGGGAAAGAAGGGAAACCCAGCATCTTATTAGCGTAAATGTAATCATAGCAACAACGAACTATGCTCATTGCTCTCTCTTCCATCGTCTTTCTCAATCCACCGCTCTAACCCCTTCGCTACGGTGACCTTTCTCTCTCTTCATTCCCCTTTTCTGCATTCTTTTCTTTCTCTGCTTTTCGGATCTCGATTTCGTTCAATCGTTTCTGTTCTGTTCCCGTTAACCACCTAAACAACAGCATTATTATCATTCTTATTTTTCAATTACTGTTTCTTGTTTAATTTATTCAACTTTAACTTCTTATATGATTTTCAGAATTTTGTTTTTAAGTGCGTATTTAATTTATTATTTAGCGCCAGTTTTTTTAAAAAACTTTTGTTTGTTATTATTGAGAATGTATGGAAAATAGGAAAGTTAGGGTGTGGTAGATTGACACATTTTACATCGATTTATGTTAGTGTAGAACAATTGAGGAAGAGATTGTTATATGTGGTGGAACTGTGGAGAGGCATTGAGGTATATTAGGTGTGAGCTTTGTGAAACGTTAACTACTTGTATTTCCAACTTTATCCTTGTTTATTGGTATTATACTCAGAATGAGAGAGAGCATTAATAAAATGAGAGGGTAATATTGTCAACTAAACTGAAATTTTCTTCAAATTGAAAATATTTAATGACTTTCTTAATCCATGTGCAAAAATTCGAAATGACCATTATATTGGAAAGGAGGTAATCATGGCTAAAGGCACGTGCCTTACCTGTACTGGAAACGTATGTCTAAGCTGTTAAGAGTCATACACTTCATTGCAAGGGCAGGGCACCTTAAAACGGTGCTGATGCCTTGCCTCAATGCTTTAAGTAGCGTGCCTTTCAGTGGCTTTCATGACACTGATATTCATTCATCTATAGGAATGTGGGCTCGTGTACAATATTGACAAAAAATAAAGGAATTTGAAGATGTAATAGTTTTGCAACTCTTTCACCTTCAGTGTTCCGTCTCAGCTCGGTAATTGTATTGTTAGTTTATATATTGTTGGGTTCTGTCTATTTACGGGGAAAGAAACTTGTGTTTCTCATTAAGACACAGTTAGTCAGGATTATTGTCTTTAGGTTCAAAATTTTAAATGATTTTAATCTTATAGTTCGCATCCTTTTAGATTTTGGTTCTTACATTTTGTTTTTGTTTTTGGGATATTCCACACATTTGAATAATTTTACTCATTTTGGTTTTTGATAAAATAGGGTCAACTACTGTAATATGCAGAAATCATAGGTACCTATCCCTTCATGAAAAAATGAGACCTGCTCCTTAATGAGTACAAACAATGGGGACTAAAATGTTAAATAAGATTTAGTCCCTACTCCCTACATAAATTTGGGTTTTGATCCATGAGGGATCAATACATTAACAGGGACTAATCCTTGATAGAAAGCAGGGATCAATACCTTAAATAGTAAAATCTATCTGGACTGATATCCAAAAAGAAGTAATACCTTAATGTTATTAGCTCAAATTGGTGGAAAATATTGTAACTAATAACTTAATAATATCCAAAAATCTAATTCCTTAATCTAAAGCCCAAATGGATGGAAATTATAGTAACTAATATGTTAATGTAAGGACCAAAACCTAAATTAATAAAATCCGTGGGTATTTATTTTAAAAAAGAACAACAGGAACAAAAAAGCCGGGAAACTACAGGGACTGAAATTTTTGTTAAATCTTTTCATTAATTGCAATATTAAGTGAGACAATATTTGTTCTCAACTTTAATGGCGTTTGATAATGTGATTCTGATTGCTTGGACTCCATGCACCATATAAGGTCTTGGACACTCATCTCATCTGTTGGTATTCAATATTAATAGTGCGCATAAGTTTTGATTATTGTTTATCAAGACTTCATATTGCATGGATGCACTTTTTTAACCCTGTCAGTATGGATGTCAATTGGCAAATAACCCACATCCTTGAACCCCCCATAACCCCGGTGAGGATGTGATTTTGAACTCACTGCAAATTTGTGCTTGGGATGCCAATTAAATTTGTGCAATTGTTACAAATACCTTTGGCATTTTTTGACCATTTTGCATATGATCTCATTATTTTTGTTTATGTTTCTTCTTATATGTGATGAAGGCTTCGATCTATTTTTCATTTGTGTCTAGGTTTATATGCTTTTATGTATCTGATTTTTCATCTTTTTTTTCTGTATTTGCCTCTAGATTGTAAAAATGGACAGATCAACTGGCCGTGGTGGCGGTGGAAGTGTGGACATGTATCTACCAAATTATAAGATGGGAAAAACACTTGGCATTGGGTCCTTTGGCAAGGTCAAAATTGCAGAGCATGTATTGACTGGTCATAAAGTTGCCATAAAGATCCTGAACCGTCATAAGATAAAAAACATGGAAATGGAAGAAAAAGGTCTGTATTGTTTGCATACATATAATTTTTACTGTTTATCTATTTGTGGGACTTGATTGTCATTGTTTTCAGTTTTACAAATTTTTTCAGTATAACTTTTTTGTGTGTATGGTTTACAAATTCTGTGTGTTTGCTACCAGTAAGTCTTGGTTGGTTATATATGCTTATAATACTTGTTTCTTCAAATTGTTGCATATATGGAGTTTGTTGATTGATAGCTGAATTGCTACAGCTATGGTTTTCAAATTTTGCATGTTTGCTACCACTAGGTTTTGGTTGGCTAAATATGCTTATTGAGTTATATTTTGTTCTTCAATTTATTGCAGTGAGAAGAGAAATAAAAATTTTAAGATTGTTCATGCATCATCATATTATACGACTTTATGAGGTTGTGGAAACCCCAACAGACATATATGTTGTCATGGAGTATGTGAAATCAGGAGAGCTCTTTGATTACATTGTAGAAAAGGGTAGATTGCAAGAGGATGAGGCCCGCCATTTTTTTCAGCAGGTATAATTTGTAATATTGTGTACTTCAGGAACTTATGCTTGTCACAGGTTATTTAATCTAACTTATGTTATGGAAGCAGATAATCTCTGGTGTGGAGTACTGTCACAGGAATATGGTGGTTCATAGGGATCTGAAACCTGAAAATTTACTTTTGGACTCTAAATTTAATATCAAGATTGCTGATTTTGGCTTGAGCAACATTATGCGCGATGGTCACTTTCTTAAGACAAGTTGTGGAAGCCCTAACTATGCTGCTCCAGAGGTTTGTAAATAATTGAATTGTAAAGGGTTAAGTTATTATTATTATTATTATTATTTAATACTTATGAGAATTTATATTTACCTCGTGTGACATGTATCATGATTAAACACTTCAAAACTCTTTTTTTCACAGGTTATCTCTGGGAAATTGTATGCTGGACCTGAAGTAGATGTCTGGAGTTGTGGTGTAATTTTATATGCTCTTCTCTGCGGCACTCTTCCTTTTGATGATGAAAACATTCCCAATCTCTTCAAAAAAATAAAGGTTTTTTTTTTATCAATTTAATTATTGTTATTTTTCAATTTTTTTTCTGGGCTTGACAGGACTAATATTCATACTACCGATCAATGTCATGTCAAATTATTTTTCTTAACTGGTTTTTAGCTTGGCACTGTCCTTGTGCTTAAGGAGAGTTATGATTAAGCCAAAAAGGCCCAATACTTTGTAGGTCCATATTTATCTTCTTTAGATGTCTTTGTTTAAATGAAGGTTAATGGTGCTCCTTCCTGGTTGCAAAGACAAAGTTGGTTTTAAGTAAAACAGCTATGCCTGAAAGGTTACTCATCATATCAGTAAAATACCATTAAAATCCTAAACAAACCATTATTAACTTGCAAGAGTACAAAATGCTTAATGCTTCTAAAAGATGAAATATATTACTCTGTTTAATTCAATAACAATGAGATGAAGATGGCAAAAATAAATAATTTAATAAACAATACACGAGGCTAGTAGGGAGAGGGGCTAGTTATTCCAATTACTATTCCCATTATCAATAATAATGCATTGAATCATGTATTCATCTAAGTCACAACAGGTAGAAAGGAAAGTGCCATTGAGCACTTGCTTATGGCCTGTGAATATTGGTCACAGGGACATTAGAGAGGAAACAGGAAAGGGTTGTCTTGAGCATCATCTTGTCATGCCTCAAGACAAGGCAGTAGGAACTGTAGGGAGGAAAAAATTATGAAATATTTTGAAGTTTTCCTGCTTTCCTCAACCTAACTGGACTGTGACCTTTTTATCATCCCACTCATCTTATTTTTTGCATTCATTCCTGCTATGTTCTCATGATGCCCATCTTTCTATGTTATGGCACATGATCTAGATTGCTCTGGTGATTTCAGAATGTAAGTAGTCCAATCGTACACGTTAAAGTGTGATTTTGTTGACTTTGGATTTGCCAATCATATATCCATTCAATGATGTTATCTGTGAAGAGATTTCCTTTTGCTTCTGAAGTTACCTCTCTGCTTATTATCTCTTATAGGGTGGGATATACACTCTTCCTAGTCATCTATCACTTGGTGCTAGAGATTTAATTCCAAGGATGCTGGTGGTGGATCCCATGAAGAGGATGACCATACCTGAGATACGCCAGCACCCATGGTTCCAAGTTCGTCTGCCACGTTATTTAGCAGTGCCACCGCCAGATACAATACAACAAGCCAAAAAGGTTGGGTTTTTACTTGTTTTTAGTGATTTTTTATTTTTTTTGTAATATTTAACATTCTATATGATTTCCACTTACCAAAACTTGTGGAAAAAGCTGTATGTCTTTTGCCAATGTTTTGGAACTATGCTGTTATTAGTTGCAGAGTCACATTCTTTCTGTGGTATTGGAGGTGAGAATAAAATTAGGCATTTGCTGAATGCTGAACCATATAACCCATGGCCAAAGATTTCGTTAGATTTTTCAATTTCACTTACCTTCTGTAAATTCTTGGTTGATGAAATTAGTCTACTGGCTTTTTGTTGTCTAAAAGTACTGTTTTGATGTCAAAGTGCTTGTTTTTAAGCATTCTTTTCAGGCCATACATCTTTACAGTTCTGGTTTTGTTTTGCATTTCTGTGGCATACTAGATTTTTTTCAATAGGTTTGTGTCTGCTTTTCCACACATTGCATATGACATGATGTTTGTTACTTGATGTGCTATTATTAATTCTAAAAAAAAAAAAGAAACTAATATCGTGGTTTTGTAGATTGATGAGGAGATTCTTCAGGAAGTGGTTAATATGGGATTTGACAGGAATGAATTGGTTGAATCTCTTCGCAACAGGATGCAAAATGAGGTTTGTAACCCTTCATTTTCACCTTATTTAACTGTCATATTATCACTTATTACCATCTATGTATTTCAGGGTACTGTTACATACTATTTATTATTGGACAACCGGTTTCGTGTTTCTACTGGCTATCTTGGAGCTGAGTTTCAAGAGACATTGGTGAGTTTTGCTGAGAATATTTGTATTTCCATTATTGATATAGTTACCTTCTTTCCTTTTATATAGAAATCTGATTGATTATGTAAATAATATAATTAGGATTCTACTATAATTACTTAGTCAATCCCTATAATCAAGGGATTTAGTTTGTACAGATTTATAATTATAAGTACCTATGAATGACAAGAGGAGACTAAGTTTTTACCCTAATTATTTTCCTGTCTCAAGTTTTAATTGCTTAAGATTTCATTTGTTATTTTGTCTGTCTTTAATGAAGTGATTTAATCATTTATTTATCTAATATTTGATAAGGCACATTTTTAGTTTGCTTGTAAATTATTGCCTCATGAATTTGCTGCAGTCTCAAGATTGCTTGTTACACGCTGTATTAGAGCAATGACTTTTGATTAACATTGTGATTGAATTTATCTTTCTGGCCTGAACATAGTTCTCTATGGAGTTTGTAAATTATTACCATGAAATTGCAGGTTTTCTATTCTTGATACTACATTTCTTTGTCTCTTTTTAAAACAGGATACACTTATTAGTTTTATTTTATAACGTGAATTTTTAGGATTCTGGTTTCAACCGTATCCATTCCAGTGAAGTTGCTTCGCCAATTGTTGGGCACCACAGTCGAGGGTATATGGATTATCAAGGAGTAGGAATGAGGCAACAGTTCCCTGTTGAGAGAAAATGGGCCCTTGGGCTTCAGGTGCAATTTTTTACTTGTTGGCTGTGTTTCACCGGAACTGGATACAATAACAAGACATTTTTCTGCTTGACATATTTAATTGATGCTACCATCACCTGTGATGATTCCTTGCCATTTAACAAAATAATTGTTAGGTGTTGATTGATTGTCTTACTGGTTCCATCTCTCTTGTGAGTGGGGCATCAAATTTATTGCTTGAAGGTGTTATGTACTTCACTTTATCTCTGGGTGTGCAAACATAATCTGTTGGTTTGTAAATTGTTGTCTGTATTAATCATTACAATCAGAAATATTGAAGTTTTGATGTCCTTATTTTGATAGTTACTTATGACTGAGGCCTCTGTTGTTTATGTTTGTTAACTTGTGACAGTCTCGAGCCCAACCACGGGAAATAATGACTGAGGTCCTGAAAGCTCTGCAAGAATTAAATGTGTGTTGGAAGAAGACTGGACACTATAACATGAAGTGCAGATGGGTGGCTAGCATTCCTGGTCATCAAGATGGAATGGTCAACAATTCTGTGCATATTGATCATTACTTTGGAAATGATTCCAGTATTATTGAAAACGAAGCTGTTTCTAAGTCCAATGTGGTCAAGTTTGAAGTGCAGGTAAATATCCTGATAACTGTATTATATTTTGTGCTTGTATTTAAATGATGTATTTAATTACTGGCTTAGTAGTACCTTTTTCATTATTTTAAGAGCCACAGCTGAAGGGTCTTCAGATTATTTCCTTACCTCCCTTCTCCCTTTTCTATTGGTACTAGACAATTAGACATTTTTAAGTCATTGATGTTAAATTTTGGTTCTTTGTACATCCAATCAAATAATCTTTTCATTGTAGTGACTTGACAGTACGTTAATATTACATACATTTGGAGAATGAGATTCTCTGTATGACTAATTATTTTCTCATAATTGGGTAGTTCTGTTTTTTTCTTTTCCGAAACATTCTCAAACTTGTGTTAATTTCTTTGACAGCTTTACAAAACTCGTGAGGAGAAATATCTGCTTGATCTTCAAAGGGTCCAGGGCCCGCAGTTTCTTTTCTTGGATCTTTGTGCTGCTTTCCTTGCACAGCTTCGTGTTCTCTAGTGCAATGATCGTAGGCGCGCAAGGGAGACCAGAGGTGTCTTATGTGCATGTGAATAATTTTACATTGTACATATAAGTGCCCTTTCAGTATGGATTTTATCTATCTGTTTGTACTTCCTAGTGTACCCCCAATTTTTTATATGGGTGATTATGATTGAGGCAATCCTCTAAATATGGTGATCGCTTCCTTAATCATGGTGTCTGACTAGATCTTCCTTGTTAACGGTGAATTGAATTTTCTCAATCCCTTGAAATCTCTGGGACCTCCCCCAACAAACACAGCTATTATGTTATTGAACCTAGTGTTGTAATTGGCTGCTTATGTCTGTCATCAGGAAGCCGAGGGGTTGTTTGCTTAGGCTGCAATGAACATGAGTTTGCAGATTAGCATTTTCTCCCCGCTTCCCTGGCACAAAATTACTGCCCCGCTTTTGTATGGATGTTATTTAACTGTCATAGTTTATGTATTTTCTTTTTCCGGGCAGTATGATATCAATCTGTTTGATCCATGTGTTATGTATTGCAATGTGATGTGTAAGGTGGGCTGTCCATTATCCTTTTCCTCATCACTTTCCCTCTTTTCTCCCTTCATGACAAGTTATATTTCCATTTCAGTTGAGACTTGAGACATGTTAGAAATGAACTAAATACAAAATAGTATTGACCTGAGGCTAGTTTGGGAATTCAGAGTGAGTTATTCGTCCAAATGTGTTTTGTTTTGAGTGGTAGCGTATTTAGTTTCATATTAAAATGTATATTCCTTCAAGGCCACTAGTTTTAATTTTTGCGTTGAATTCACATTTACGGTGTTTTCAAACATACAGTGTGTCATGTTTAGATGGTTTTCCGTTGATACTTAGTTCATGCATTGTTTGAAACATAGGAGTGGGTGTTTGACTTCATAAAAAATTATGAGTGTGATGTACCATTGTTCTACTTTAGTTTTTATCAGTCATGATTCATTGGTTTTACTGACATGCATTGATTTTCCGACACAGTTTCAAAACAAAAACAAGAGTTAAGGAAATCTACTAATTTTTCTTATTAAAAATAAATGAAAATTTTAAAACAAAGATTATTTAAAATATTTTATATAAAATAAAAATATTAAAGAAATATAAAAAAAAAAATTGTTATCTTGTATTTGCTCGTTAGTTGAATGGTTGTAAAACACTTAATTCAATAAATTTATAAGTTCCAGTCAAATTAATTTTTCAACTTTTAAGATGTTTGTCAGGTATTTTATTTTTTATCTAGATCACTTTTTTTAGAGACTCTTGTCGAGTAGGACTAATTTATTTGTTAGATTTAACCTAATTTATCAACTATTTTTGGCGAAATATCACTAATAAAAACCCCAGAGAAAAAGGATAGGCTCGCCCAATTGGTAGTCTAGAATCGTTCGACGTGATAGAATTTCTTTTTTTTTTACGTCAACCCAAAAGAAAAGCCAAGCTTGAGCGTTAACCTCAACAAAAGGGACAAGCAGACACTAATAGTGCCTCATGTTTGTCTCTATAATCCACTATTTCTTGTGCTTATTAATTGTTAAGTCACAATCGTTATAACTACATCAAATGTCATTGTTGTAATTAAATCTGTATTTTCAGAATAAAGCTAAAATGCCAAAGAAAAAGTACTGCTTCAATTTTTCCTTCAAGCATTAATTCTCTAATTTATTTTTTATAATGAATTTACATACTCATAACATTTAACTTTACAACGAGAAAAAAAATCAGTATAAGAAATAATTTTTTTTCATAAATTATAAACAACTTATGCTTTTTTCTTAGAAGTTTTTAAAAGCTCTCTTGTTTAATTTATCTAAATTTTGAGAAGATAAATTGTTTCTAATTTAGAAGAAAATTTTTATTTATATTTTATACTTTTTTTTTCTAAAAGAACTTCTTCAGAAGTATACTCAAACTTAATTTTTATGTCTTTCCAACATTTGGCAAATTGTCTCAAAAGCCTTTCTCTTGAATCTTTACATTATTATTATTATTAACATGGACAAGAACTGAGCCGCTAGTTATTGATACATTAGAATGACAAGCCTAATCTGTTATATATCGTGCTGTTATGTATCAAAGTAGAGGTCTAAATGAGTTGTTCATGCATAATTTAAGCTTAATTTGTAAAATGGTTGATAAGACTTGTGTGTATGATGAAATAAGGAAACACTTAAAATTATCTTGAAAAGAGAATTGATAAAGAAAGAAAATAATCAACTTATAAACCCGTTAAAGCCTAACTCAAGCTAAGTTCAAAATTTTAAGTAATTTCTTATTTTCATGTGGACTTTGGTTCAACTTATTTACACTCGTAAGGTAAAAAAATAACTATTCCAAATTAATAATAGTTAAGCTAGTAAGTGAACACTAATGAGTGGGTTTATTTGAAAGCAACTGATATATTTGTTTACATTGGCAAACATTTAGAATGTTAAATAATGAAACGAAAACTTTTGGCAAAAATTACAGGGATGAAGGAAGCAAAAGTTCTTCCAATGCAGGTTGATATCTATTAGTTTCTGTTAAATCACTCACTGATACAAGGAACGATGAAGGAAATAAGAAAATATAAATTATGTTAATTACTAGAAAATTAATATTGCTTCATTATTATTACTTCAAAATCTTATGTTAAAATATAATTGTGCTCTCAGCATATATAGTGTTACAGAAAATGAATGATGTTTGCTAATGGAATGAACCATTTTCTAATAAGTTAACAAAGCAAATAGGAGGAAGATCTAGGGAATTCCAAAGTAAGAGTTCCCCATCAACACTAGATGAAGAAGAATCCATATCAGGTGATGTTTGTTGGTGGTGTTCTTCCTCTTTCCTTTCCGTTGTTTCCATGTATTCTTTCTCTTCCTTGTTCTTCTCAAGTTTGTTTTTGCTACAAGCCATTTGTAGGTTGGTTAATTGATCGGCAATCCCTCTGCCCTTCATGTTTCCTGATTCAAGTTTCAACTTCAAGCACTCAGGAATTCCATTGAAGGCATACAGAGAAGCTGAGAACTTTCTTTCATATGTCATTCGCTTCATGACAGCTCTAAGCATTGAAGGGTCGTCACCAAAGTTTTCTGGCTCCACAGGCTCCTCCATCTCTTCAGCCATCTCAAAAGGAGAATAGTAACTTGGTGGAGCAATAGTATCAAGAAATCTAAAATCATGGACACCAAAATCAGTTCCTTCTTCTTCACTATCTTCCTCTCTTTCCACTCCTGAATTGCTATCATTACTTGGAGTCTGTGGTGTCACATTAGTGGATTTACATTCCATACCCATTTCAGTTTCCTTGTTGTCATCTTTTTCAGTTAAACATGATTCAAAGCTACTAGTAATGTAATCAATTTGTGCAGTGTTATTGATGAAGTCATTGTTGCTTGTGTTATAATCTTCAGGGTCATTGAGGAAATCAGCGAATTGGTCAATTGAGAATTTTGTTGATCCTGCTCCACATGCATCTACTTGTTGCATTTGTTGGTGATTGCTAACAAGGGTAGAGGAGGAGCTAGAGGAACAAGAGTTCCTTTCTTTAAGCCTTTGAAGTAGTAGATTTGTGATCTTTGAAGAAAGAGCAGGACTTGAGGAAGATTGAGAACAAGGCCAAAAGTTTGTCCTAGTGTTGGCACCTCTAAGCAAACAAGCAGCTTCATCATAGGCTCTTGCAGCTTCTTCAGCTGTGTCAAAAGTTCCTAACCACACCCTGATCTTTTGGATGGTGTCTTTTATCTCAGCTACCCATCTACCTGATGGCCTTTGCCTTACTCCAACAAATCTTTTCCTAGCTCTTTGGGCTCCTCCAAGTGCAGCAGCTTGCTTCATCATTTCATCCCAAGCCATGGTTCCCTCACATAGGTTTCTCTCTTCCACTTCTTCAGCAACCTTTCTCTTCCTTGCCATTTACCCCTTTTGAGATCTTTCTGTTTCTTGAATTGGTTAAGCTTATAGGGTGATTCTTTGAGGATACTGAAGCTTTTTTTTTTTTTTTAAGGTTAAGCTTAAAAGGTTAGTCTTAGAAGGCATGCACTGAAGTTTGGTTGCTATGCTTTGCCTTAGCTGGTTTGTGCTTTTATATATGGTGAGGCAGTGAGTGACCCTTTGAACTAGTTGAGTTTTAAATGGGACCAGGTCACACTGATTAGTTTCATGTATTTGTTTCTTTATAATCTCGGCTTCTATATCCAAACATTTGGCGATTTCTCAGACCTTGTAATTGGTGCAGTTTGTTTGACTTGGCCCACTTGAGCAAAGGGCACATATAGATTCATTTCTCTTGTGTGATTTTATTTAGAACTTTCATCATATTCTATGCCATTCTGTAAGCCAGAATTGGTCACTGCCACTTCATTTAATCTTTTTAATTACAAACTAAATTTATGTGATCTATGATCTTTTCTAATTTTAATTTTCATATTTTGCTCAAATTCTACTCTTACCTTGTCACTTTGTCCAAGGCAACAAGTGAAATGTGAGACAGAGAGCCTCACACTTAGTTGTCAAGAAAGACAAGAAAAACAGCCAGAGTAGCCAAAACCTATGAGCTATAGCATATACAGCAGGAATTAGACTGCACACACAAGGATTTTACCTTAAAACAAAGATATTTTATATTCAATTTTTTTAACCTGTGTCCTTGTATAAAAAATAATAATAAATATAAATTTTTATTAAAAATTATATCATTTAATAGTATTAATACATTGAAATTGGCGATATTACACGATTTTCAATAAAAACTTGTTATATTTATTAACAAAGTTTTACACAATTAAAAGATAATTGTATCCCTTTAACATGTTGATAAGGGTTCATTTCTTAAATGTGTATATGGAAAAAATTTTATTGAAAGAGGCAAAACCTACTTCATCGATCTCTGTATCTCAAAAGGAATAGTCTCTCACTGTTGGCTAAGATATTACCCTTCTAAGGTGTCAAAAATGTTTTTATATTTCCATTCTCAATTTTGATTGTCTATATTAGATTTGTTGGTACTTTATGGCCTTATTCTACTGATCCATTTATATATGTTTAGAATGAGTAAGTAAAAAACAAAAATGCATTGAAGATGTAGGCAATGGTCTTAGCCTTTGGTTAAGGTAATTAAGGCTCTTAATTAGATTCTCATCAAACTAGAAAACAAATATTTACTAAAGTTATTAACTGTAGGAGAAGTCTCTTTCATCCCAAACAAGGTTCATGGCATTCTCGTTAATCAATCACATAAACACACAAAAAAGCTAACTAATGTTTTGTGTTCGTCATTGCTGATGAATGTCAAGAAATGCGATTCCTCCGATGCCCCACCATGAAGATCATGCCAAGTCTAACCAACTTGAGAACATAAAGAATGTGATTTTCTTCAAAAACTTTTTGTAATGTCATCATCAAAGCATTGATTGATCAATAATTTATGTGATCATCTAATATTCTAATTTGCAAAGCTTTTATGGGATTTTCGTCATGCAGCCACCAAAGATAGTGACATTTCTGGACCAACTTAAAAATCATTTTCTTGTGATATATTATAGAGTGAATTAGCTCATAGCATATATATATATATATATACACACACAAATCTAATTATGCATTTCTTTAATAATCATTTTAAGCTCATTTTACCTTTCAAAACATTTGAGGTTTTCATTAAACTCAACTAATCTTTTTTCCCCTCCATTTGGGTTCATTGCATTTGCTTTGACTTTGTAGGAATCAAATGTTGTCTCAATAAAAACAAACGAAAAAGGTTGAAGAAGAATGCTTATAGACTTATAATAATAATATTAATAAATAGAAAATGAATCGCACTGTGCCGTTACTTGAAATGTCACGCAAACAAATTTAAAAAAAATGAAAAATAGACGTGAAGATGAGACAAACTTGGCCTTTACGCTGTTTACTAGTGTTTATTTTATCATCACATTGATATTAACTAATTTCATATATTAACTCTTAATAAAGTTTTTAAGGCATTATCAAAAGCAGCCTACAATATTTTAATTCATACAATAGGAGAATCTTTTTGGGAACATATTTTAGTGTTCTCGTAATATATTTAAAGAGGAGAAGAAAAAAAGTATAATTTGACATAATTAGAAGAATTTGTCTAACAAGGAATTTGTCACGAAACCCTCGTCTATTAATTTATATTTAGTATACTTTTTCAGAATTTCAATATAGTGATTTGCTAAAAATTATAATTTGACATTATTAGAATAATATTTTCATGTGACAAATGTTTAAATGGGGTCTTTTTTAGAGTCATTTTAATTCACTGTCAAGATAAAAACAAATTATACTAATAATTAATTAAAAATCACTTAGATATGACTTTTGAAATAATAATTACAAATTTTAATGATTTTAATTACATGTTAGTCTATAATTAGATGATAGCAGTGCATATTAAAATCTTATTATATATGTTAGATTTATTTTTTCTAATGCTAAATAAAAGGCTAAAGGAATGGTTTGAAGATATGACTCTGCCATATTTAATCGTCTCGAAGCATAGCCTTCCAACTAATTGCTTTTAATTACTATAAATAATAATTTTAATATTAAAATCTCCAAAGCCAACTTCATGGGTTTTCTTATCAAAATACACTTCATGATTTTTTTTCTATCTATCTTTCTTTCTTTTTTCTTGAACATTTCTTGGAAGATAAACATATTTTTTCAAAAAACAATCTCAATTTGATTAATCAAATTATTTTCCCTGACTTAGCTAAAATCTGAAATTGTCTTGGTAGAACAACCAATGAGAATGTCAGAGGAAAAAACAAACATGAAAATAAAAAAAACAATTGGCATATAATTGAGGAGTCAGCTACCAAAGAATGAGACAAAGTCCATCACATAATGACAAATTTTGCCTTTATGTTCTTTATTTAGATTTCTATGATCATCCCATTGATATTAACAAACATCTCTGTCTTTCCCTCCCTTAGATAATTATCCTATTTTTTATCTTTAATATTTGATCATAAGTCTCAATCCCCAAAAAGTGTTATATAAGTAAGAAAATAATTGAAAGAATAAATTTTCAGTAACTATTAAAATTATTGTCAACAACTTTTTCAAGAATGTGCTTAGTTTCTTATTTTTCATGTTTTTATTTTTAATTCTTAAAAATGAAGACAAAGCCAGAAGAATTAAAATATGCTTCATGTTGCTTAGTCAAGAATGCCTACGTATGAGGTGAATGCCCATATAATTATTGGATATATTTAAGGATTAATTTTAATACTACATATATTTCTAAGTTAAAACTATGTATATTATTAATAATCCATAAGTTTTTAAAAGAGATTGATCAAAATTACCAACTATATAAAGATTCAAGATTTTCTAGAAGGTAATGAAATAATAAGTGATTAGATGACTATAAAATAAATTACAGTTACCTATCAAAATGAACCCTAAATTTTACTAAGCATGCATGTGGAAGAAATGGTGACTATTCAAATGAAGATGTCATTCACTAATCCCCTCCTCGTTCTTCCACGTGGAAGCCTTTTAACGAAACAATTGTCTCCATTTTTCTAGAACTATACAACATTATATACAAACCTTGTCAAAATAAATACTAATAGAACTTCGAATAAGTTTCTTCTGGAATCAGGTTTTAATATATAAGTCATGTCTAGCGTTTGATCATATTAATATATTATATAAACAAAGTTATTTATTGCTATAATAACATAATATTTAAATTATATAAACTATAAACTTACAATGTCTATACTAATATGTAAATTTTCTTTAAAAAAAACTATACTAACATCTAATTTAATGTAAGATTACCAATAAATAATCTTTTTATAGTGTAATGCTACTGGCTCCTTTTTATTTTTAATTCATAATGTCGTTCCGAAGTTTTAATATTCAAAACAATCATTCAATTAACTGACGTATATAATTAAGATTATATACATCAATTAAGATTAATCCTTAATTAACTTTGCTAATTTTTTATCCTTAATATTGATGACAAACATCAATCATCAAAATTTCTGCATGACATATGAAGAGTAGGAAAATACTTGCAACAGCAATTTACAATTACTATTAGAAATCAAAGCTACAAAGATTTTCTCCACTGAGTGCATCTTTTTTATATTCTCATTAGCAGAATCATTGCCAGCACAATAGAATATGCTTCCCCTTACTTAGCCATGAATAATTAATTAACAAATGCTTATTCACTATTATAATGACATGAAGAAAAATCTTATATATAAATTTGACTGGACTTGTAAATGAAAGCCATGATGATTGTATCCATAATACGTCATTGTGCAATGCTCTTTTGCCACGTGGAATCTATTTCGAATCAGTTGTATTGTAACTAGAATAATGCTGTATTCATACCTTATAATCAAGTTTCTTACAAAATCACCCCTAAAACACAAACCCAAGTCATGTTGAGTGGTGGACCAATTCCATATTCTTTACAACTTTAATTGTCTACTCCAAAAAGAAAATGTTTGCACTATACTTTAAATTTATTAAACAAAATAATTTATTTTACTTTAAATATACTTTTTTCCCTTACAAACAGAAACTAAGTTATAATAAGCAAGTAACACTCAACACTTTTTGAGGTGTGAAATTTGACTATGGTTTTGTGATATCCTTTTAAAGCATGTCAAATTAAGTACATTTTGTTTGCATCTTCTTTGTGATATGTATACGATGAGGTAGAGTAGGGTATTGAGCAGATATTTTATCATGGCTTAGTGTATATCGTTCGTTGTAATCAAATATAAACTGTTGTTCTGGTGAATTACTATTTTGCCAAATTGTATGCTACTGAGTTTATGAAGTTTAAACTATAAAATTTTCTTCGAGCAAATCCTACCATCAAATAGAACATTTTTGCAAAAAACAGTAGAGATTAAAAATAAATTTAAAACAAATATCAAATAATATTTTATAATAAATAAGATTTCTAAAATTTTAGCTTTTAACAGTTTAATAGAATTGCATGATTCATGTAGACCTCTCCCAGTGATTTTCATTCCAATGTCATCTTTCTTTTCATTTGACTGCAAGTGCTTAACAAACAAGGCCTTGCAATTGTTTATACACTGATATTACAAGTTTCCACACTCGTCCAAGCAGAAATTCTCAATCCTAACAAATTTCACGAGAAAACAACAGACATGCTACACCAAGGACAATCAAATAAAGCTGAAAGGAAGTCAAAATGAAACTTGGGAAGTACATCGCCTTATATACAGTTGCAGCCAAAGCCACAGGACTATAGTTATGAACTATGAAGAAGTGGAGAGCTTTGGCTATCAGACCGTTCAGAATATTTCAGTGGCATCAGAGCCGGATCATGGTATGCATTGGCCAAATTATCATAAAATTCAGACATATTATGCTCATTTTGGTCTGCTCTATCCTTCTTAATCAAACACTGCATATGGGAAGGTAATCGTAAGAATACAAAAGGGGAAGGCAATAACCCAATTGAAAAACAGAATAACGGGCTATAATGCCACTTTGGAGCAGAAAGAAATGTCTAAAAAAATATATTATGAGCATGTGTTTCACAGTATACCACAAAAGCTACTCAGAAATGATCAGGTCTAACATTGTTTAGATGAAGCCAACCCAACAAGAAATGCACATTATTAGAACTATAATGACAAATAAGGTGAATTCAAACAACCAAACCAAGCCATTTCCCCGATAGTAATGGAATCAACATACTCTTGACTACCAGTATTTTCTTCACTTACCACCAAGATATCTCGTATAGAAAATTTAAAACGAATTCAATATTAGGATCATTGTCAAGTATGGTATGTTCAGGCAAAATACCATAATTCTACAAGTATGTTATGTTCTGTTGGAATTATAAGGTTAGGGTCGGGTAAGAAGGAAAAGAAAGAGAAAGACTGCTGACACTGACAAGTAAAATGTTTATCAGTGAGATCAAAAGCCTCTGAAATTAGCTTCGTATAATGCCTCTTCAGGGACTAAGCCAGATAATGCATATCACAATAATTTATGAGCAGTTGGAAAGCAAGTTATAATGTCATAATAAAAATCAGATAAATCAGCATTATTTATCTATCATTAACATACCTTGTGGTCTAGACAAAAAAAACCATTAACGTACCTCAGCAGGATAGTCCTTGAATATAGGGAAGAATCGTTTCTGGCAATACTCATTGAATAGAAGTGTGAGAATTGGAAGAGGAAGAGTCAATATGGATGCTAAAGGAAGCTTCTTCAAACCAAAAATCCCAATGGCTATTATATGCATTAGTACCAAGGAAAAAATCGTGGAATTGTGCACTGTAGGCCAAAACTCTCCTCCAGTCTCATACTTCGGCGCATAAACTTTCAACAGCTGTCACCAAACAATATTTAAGAAATCATTCGAAATTAAGGTATAAAAAATAAAAAAATAATATCAACTATTAATTCCAAGCACCATGAAGTCCTGCTTCCAAATTTCATCTCTATATGGTTTTATAACTCCAAAGTCATATCAAAGAGAAAAAAAAAAATTATTTTATTTTATTTTATGGATGAAATGGAAGTATAAGCATCAAACGGAAATATGATCACTGAATTATTTTTCTCTCTTTATGCAGGGGTGAGGAGGGTAAGGGCTGGAAAGTAGCAGATGAAGGTTGGTTAAAACACACACATAAATACACAGAGCATTATCCATACAATGATTCTCCCCCAGCATACTATCATTTAACAGAATCCGTAAACCAATAATGATTGCATAAGATAAATTTTAGAGACAAATTACTCCATTCTACTATATCATCTTATCTTAGTTTTGCAATGACAAAAAAGAGAGAGTAACAATCTAATGTTTTACACCGAAGAGGATATTTTACAACAGCCTAGAGAGAGAGGTAGAAAGCCTCAATCACACACAAGTTCATGATCTTAATATGTCTTTTAAAAATTTCCTACTTTCCTCCCAAAAATAGAAAAAACAGCAGTTGTTATGAGCTACTACCACAGTGCGCATTTATCACGAAGGCACAAATATATTAACAATTAAATCATTATATTCTCTGTTTTATTTTTTTCCATCTTTGAATGTGATATTCTCAGCATGCACTTGTCATAAACAGGTAATCGCCTGCTACTTGCTTAACAATACATCATATAAATGCATATCACACAACAAAAAAAGGAACACAAAGGCATGTACTCTAAAGGGAAAAAGCAATTCGAAAACCTGGTTGCGGAAAATGATGTATCCCAAACAGAAGTAGATCAAGAGAAATGGCAGTATCAGTGGATCAAGGATGAAGTATGTTACACCAAGAAGACCAAAGAGACGAATCCTGGGAATTTCACTATGATAAGGAATTGATGGGGGCTCAAAATCATCATCACAGTTTCTACCAAAAATTCTACTTATAAAATTGGTAATAAGTTTAGTCAACCGAAAGAGTTCTGATGCTATAGTGGTCCACCCAGAAGTCACAACATATGCTATGAAGAAAGAACCCTGCACCAAAGATATAAAATGTTAAAAAATGAAGTTCATATCCTCAAATTCATGGAATAATATTTTATAAACATCATAAAAGATGTGGTTCCTTGTAAAATATTTTAGAAAATAAAGAAATTATATATTTGGTGTTGTATCTATGAACCATGTAGCCAACTTCACCTAGTGGGAAAAGGAGAAGGAGAAGGCTTTGTTGTCATTTTTGGACTTGTAGAGAAACTATATATTAGAGAGAAAAAGACAAAATGCTAAACTAGATGGAGATAAGATGTCCTACAAAACCAACAAACTGAAAGATAAAGAAAGCAAAAGAGGCTCAAAGATGCAAGAAACTCTCTTGATACAATCATAAATACAACGGAAAGAAGCTATAAGCACAATCACATCCCACACATAAGCAGGGGAAATGTGACAGCCTGGGATAAAGCATTCACAGTCCTAGCTGGGCTCCTCATGCTTGGAAGATTATGATTTCATGTTTTCTTTCACTCACTAATGAGGGTTCTTTCCACCCTTCTCTCATGGTACTTCTTTGCTATTAGTCACCTAGCAGCAAGCATTCCACTCTAGCAAAATACACCCATAAACAGTGTTTTGCCACAACATTTTGGTCTCCTTAATTTTACCAAAATCTTTATAAAACTTATCAAAAGAAACTTTTCATACAGAAATATATTTTCAATGTTTAGTTTTAGATCCTCATCCATCCACAATGTATTATCTATGTTCTATGCAACAATTTCATGCATTTGGTTGTATTAGATCTCTAGTATTTTTAAGGTTTCTTTGGTACATCACTTGATTTGGGATGAGATTAGGCATTTAGCATCTATTTGGTCTGGTAAAGTACATGGTCTTTTTGATGATGTTTCATTGACAGATATGTTGAGTGACTGGGAAGCTTCACATTACATTGATTTCTCTTTTCCTTTTTGGTTCTTTTTTGTTTTGAGCATTTGTTTAGGAGGATCCTGATCATCCTTTCTCTGTGTGGAAGTCCCATGTTGATTACAGATATAGCCAAATAAGAACTTATAAAGGTTAAAAGAAATCCTAACCTTATGAGCTAACTTTTGGAGTTAAGCTTTAAACCCAAATTTAAGATGGTATCAAAACCTATGGTAGATCTGATATTCGGAGACCTTTGACTGGATATATATATATATATATAAAAAAATAAAAAAAAAAACCTTGCCCCATATTATTTTCCAATGCAATTAACCTGGCCCCATAAATTTTTCAATGCATCTTGCCTAGTCTCACAGCTTTCCTAGTGCTACCTACCTAGCCTTACAGCTTTCCCAATGCAATATTAAAAAAAATTAGTCCTACAACTTTCACACTCTATATATCCAATCTTAAGCATGAGGGTATTTTGAAAGTCTCACATCAACTACATATATGGCCAAATAAGAGCTTATAAAAACTAAAAAAGATCCTCATCTTACCAGCTAGTTTTTGAAGTTAAGTTAGGTCTTATCCCAAATTTAAGACTATGTAACCCAGTTTGTTCATCTCAAATCTCAATAGACTTCTTTTATCCAAGAAAAAAAGGCTTCATCTTGGATTTCAGCTAATAATTTTTTCATGCAAAAGGACAAGGCTTCTCCTTTGAGTTGAAATATTATTCTTTTGTTATGTTTCTCTTTCTTTCTTGATGAATTCCTTTGGAATAAATACAAATAGAAAAAAGTTGATGAAACTCGATTTCTTTTTCAAAGTAAATTGGAAAATTCATTTACCACACATGGAAGTGAATCTCATTGCCCACTCAATGCTATATTAGCAAACCATACAAGTACGTGTTAGAATAGAGAAATCAGCTCAATAAGAGAATAGCAGATCAACCCCAAAAGATCATAGCAAGTGAAACTTTCCTCATAGCATATCATTAAAGAGCACGTTGTCATCTCACTACATTGTATTCCCCCGACATGCTGAGATGCACTTTTTTCTTCCTCTAGCCATCAAATTCTAGCAGCGTCATGTGCATCCTGCCTACAGTCAAGTGACTCTAGTCCCTGTATTGCAGTGACTCTTCCACTGCAACCCCTTTTTCTATGCTGTGCATACTGTTTGCCAACATGCTCGCTGTGTTGTCTCTTAAGTGCCAAGTGATCATTGCATTTGTCTACTATATGGTATTCTTCAGTCTTGTGGTTCAAGTATTACTAGCAAATCTCATGATTTTTGGAGTCCACTATGTTTTATGTTGTATCCTTTTGTTAAGTGTTTATTCGTATCAATAGTAAGTGATGGTTTGAAGCGGAGTGTTAAATGTAATTGCTATATTGTGCAAGACTCAAGTGTTATTAAGTTGGTCTTATACTACACTTGCAATTGACCTAGATTAGTACTACAAGTAGTTATACAGTCAGTTTTATGTATCTTAATTATTCAGAGTCTTATCAGTAAAATATATTCTCTTTTCTCATTTCCATCTATTCCCTAAAATTTCAGCATTAATGATCTCCTATTCCATTTGGAAAAGCCCTAATAAAACCCCTTTAAATGGTAAGTTGGAGACAACATGGTGGATATTTAGTATAGATTTACATTTCCTAGACAAAATCCCTGCTCTCAACTGTCAAACTTGCAAATTATGATAAAAATGTTTCATCTATTATACGTTACAAAGGACCTGCATCTATTCAATTCAGAGATACATTATATGAAACATCAGTTTTTCAGCTAAGCTTTTACGCACAGGTATATATACAAACAGAATATAACAAAACAATGATAATCTCCCTTTACAAAATATTGGATAACTATGTGAAATTCATACCATTGTTTCATGGGGATGACAATTAATAATTATTCTCACCTGTGATGGTACAGCTTCACCTAGTATTCTAGGAATCTCTTTGGGCTCAAGAAAAATATTCACTCGATAAAGAGCTGACCCTGATAGTACATTTGCGAAGAAAATGTTCCATACAGTAAACCATAAAACTTTAGTGCATGCACTTTTTTGTATTTGACTCCATGAAATGTATCCTTGCAAGGATGAAAGCATAATCATAATAGGTGGAACAAAGGACAGAAACAACTGAAGAATCAAACTGGGAAGGTATCCAGTTATCACTTGGCTCACTACTGACCTGAAATAAATATTGCAAAACTCTACTTCAGTCGGAAATCCATAACACAGAAAGAGTCAATGCTACTGATAAAACAGTAAGGTATACTAGTATACGCTCATCTTGCAATCAAAATCTCAATGAGTCAATTGTTTAAAAAAAGAAAAGAAAATCAAGTATTCCAAGAAAACCATATGATGCAACTTTGTGAACATATATAGGCTAGTAAGGATTTTTAAACAGCTGAATTTCAACTCCATTTGTCTGATCTACACAATGATTTGGTTCTGTGAGGCTTTCTATTCTATAGTTGAACTACCCTCAGAAACCAAAGCAGGCATTATGCATCTAGGTAAGTACATTGCATAACATCACCCGACAGAGGGATCCTTGGTAAATCATCCAGCATATGATTATTCAAAGGAAACCAACTGTTAGCGAGCATGCATTTTGTTAATTTCTGTGTCTTGAAAAGCAGCCAAGGAACAGAGATCTAAGTAAAAGAACCAACAGAGATTGCCTAAAGCCCATAATACAAAAACAGGTTCAAGAAAAAGGAACAAAATAAAATAAACATTGTCAAGTGTCAACTAAAACAAACAACTTACATAATCTACCAGAGATAAAAGGTGAAAATATGTTAGCACATTAAAGAATGCAATCTAAGATAAAATAATGTGTCACAGACTCAGCCAATGAAAATGAGTCTATTAAAATTTCAAAGGAATTCAGTTTGTAAGTACAATATATTCTAAATAAAGAAGAGGACAAATCCAAATTTCAGAAACTGGAAAGACAGGCTTTATAAATCAAATGGCATATAACATGATATTTCAATGAAATAAAGAAGGTAAGTCTGCATGCAAGTTTTCTGTATTGTATTATAATATATGGCTCTGATGTCTGTGGTCAGAGAAAGATAAAGTACAGGTAAGATTTCCCACGTACAGTCTCAGTATGCCTTTCAAAAAAGGGAACCACGTTTCCAATTGATCAAGATGGGTAAGACCTTGTACTAGTGCAACTGGGATAAAAAAGAGAACTGTAAGAGAAGTACATGCAACAAAAACCACCAGCTTGCTAATCCATCTTTTAATGAATGAAACGGTAAAGAAAGGCCAATAAACATCATGAGGCTCAGGAGCTTTCTCAGTAATCCATTCCGTGGGATTGACACTTTCTTGAATGTGTAAAGCTATTGCAGCACCAAATCGTGTCTTAAATGAGACAAATGCAGCTCGAACTTCCTTCAAGTAGAAATTGAACAAGTGGAGATATCAGACATCATTGTCATAAGACTCATAACTACTTAACTATTAACAAATATATCGATTGTAGGAAAGAATATTTGTGAACACAACTTTTCAAGATCCAAATCTAGTAATCAACATATTATTTAAAAAAGAAAACTAGTGCTGTTCTAAACAAAATTATTCATGATTACCCTCACTAATGTGATAATTTATTTGTTGTTTATGTTTGGTGTCAACTAATAAATAGGTACATCATGCTCTTTTATCCAACAAATCAAAATGTTCTTCAGTTCAGTATATAGTTAATGGTTGACAATTCTGGAAACAATTTCCTCTATGTGCAAACCAAAATGACTGATTAAGTTTCCTTCCCATTAATATTGTCTTTCCCCTATCTCATTTGAAATACAGCAGGTATATGAAGATGCAGTTCAGCAAATATCGTGCTGCCTGCCACCACATTTTGTCATTAATAGCCAGATTGCCCATACTGAACAAATCCAAATCTTAACAACAATTTAAGTTAAATCTTTAGTGAGAGCCAAATAGCCAACTTGGTTTAAAATAATGATTTAATGCAAATCTAGATATTAAACAACCATAGACTTGGAGAAAACAAAATTATTTTATCATCACTCCATCATGGTAGGTTATTAACACCTAGACATGATAATTACCTTTGCTGCCAGTGAGGACTGTTCCATTCTCACATTATCTTCTATATCTCCCAATCTCCTTTCATAGTGATCTACAATATCGACTTTGCGCCCAAAGAGTCCCCAAAACCCATCTCGTGTTTGCCTTTTGGGAGCATCATTTTTATTTTTCAGATGGGTAACCTTTTTGTATAGTGTATCTGCATCAGTCTTCAAAAATAAACTTTAATAGTAAAATAGGTATTATTAGAACAAAAATTAGTTTTAGCTACAAGTATAAATCTCTGAAGTTCACTACATACAAAGATACATATCTTGAGTCAAATCAAATGCACCACCATCCCCCTCCCTCCAGGAACAGAGGCTTTTTACAGAGGAAAAAAAATCAATGGCGTAAAAGAATGGAAGAAAGAAGAGCACTAGTTAGGGAAAGGCTGTCAAGGCACCAATGAACCTAAAAGCTTCAGATTTTGACTAGGTAACAGGGTGTTTAATACTCTCTAACTCTGATAAAAGCCAGCAGAGCTCAACAGCAATTGAAAATAAGAGGGAACACGAACTTTTGTTTTTCTGTTTTAGGACTGGCTCTGATCCTCCCTCATTGTACTTCTCTCTTAATGAATTCTTATTTAACAGGAAAAAAAAAATTATTTGAAAGTGTTTCACATTTGACATGCAAATACTTGGAAGACATACTCTTTCCCATGATAACAAAGTGTGATTACATGAAGCAATTTACAACGAAAGTTAAGCAACTGCTAAGAGAAAAAGATTGAATCAATAGGAGCTCCAGAAAAATACTAACAACAAGACTTTGTAGTTTGTGGCTTCGACGGACCACCGAATGTGAGAGATATGTAGAAGGGTGATACTCTAGGAAAAAACGCTCAACTGTATCATCACATGTGCTTCCAGGTGGAACAGGAATACCACGGACTAATAAGGTAAACTCGTGAGGCTGAGGCTTGGATGAATAGAAACAAGAAATTCTTTTTGATGAAATGTACCAATACTCCTGCATATGGAATTAACATAAACATTAAACTTGAAATTCATTCCCTAACTTTATAAAAGAAGAGGAGAAATATGACATCATTTACAGGGCTAACTTGAACAATAAAACTTACGTAATAAAGAAGATAACAAACAACTCCAGTGAAAACATATGCAGCAGAAAAATGGATCCATAACCTTGATAAAAATGAAAACAAGGTATTAGAATTTCCAATTTAAAACTTTAGATAAAAACTAAGAGAAAACAACAGATTTCATGAATACTAATGGAACTCACCTTTCATTTGAACATGTTGTGCAATGCATTAACGACAGTAAATAAACACAAAATTTAGTCTTAAGTGTTGAGATAAATGATACAAAACTGGGATGAACTATGCACAACAAGTGGCTGAAGCTGAATAATAACAAAATAGAAACTGATATGAATGTTGAAAATGTAATAAAAGGAATTACAGCAGAAAAGAATTCCAACTTCACAGAGCAAATCTCAAATAGAGAGCCAAGACTCTGATTATTTTCTGAAAAGATACCTCCTCCTCCTGTACTATCCCTATTTGACACCCAAAACATGAAAGCATGTAACGGCCCACTAACCTCCACCTTCTCTCTGGGCAAACTCACTCCGACATTCCCCTTTTACCCCTTCTAGTCTATTCTTCCTAGTATAGACCTTCCACACTTTTGGCCCATGCGACATTTGGTGAATCAGCTGGCCCTTTGGACCTGCCTCCTCATTCTGGACTCTATCAATGAACTTGCTTATTTTGGTCAAGAGATGACTTGCTTAAAAGCAGGACTTCACAATGTGAACGCATGAGAATAAAAATTCAGTCTTCTTAATGTTGTTGAACTTCCCTTGCCATTCAGGGGAGACAACAGAAAGATCTGAAGAAGATTTGAATTTAAGATAACAGTGTTTTCTATTGAATCCACTCGAGACTATCCAGAAATCAGTGAACAAGATGTCAACTCAATGTTTTCTATTAAACCCTAAACCACAATTAGTGAACAAGATGTCAACTCAAGAGAATATCCAGCAATCTAATGTCATTAAATCAAAGAATTCTATAGAGCTAAATAGAAATCACCACAACCCTAGGTGGACATCCAATATGCAGAATATTATAAGATGATAGGTCAACTTACTTTGTGAAATTAAAATGAACATAGAAAACAATATTGTCTAATGATTCCTGCGAGATTACAAAAACCCAACACTATTGCATGCCTGGTCAATATAAGAACTTCGAAATTGCTGCTTCATTTTGATGCATCAAATAACCAAAAGTTCTCACTTCCAGTTATTAGCTATAGAGGTGAAAAGGTCACTCCTAATTTCTTTCAAATTTTGTACTTTTCAGCGCTGACAAAAAAAAAATTAAATAAAAGTTCTGAAAGAAACAAATTTCAAAAAAAAGGTACAGAAAGGATAAGTATATTGTAATTTATTTTAAATGTTCTGTTGTGCATAAACAAACTTATACTCCAAAGATCAATAAGATTTCTTGTAATAAATTCAAAATGTACAAACTTTAAAATTTGGGTTTTAAACGATGAACAATCTCTTCCATGAAGTTCACAGGCAATACACTAGGAATGAGGTGAGTCTATAGTAGTTACAATGGTTATAGTAATTTTAGAGAGAGAAGAAATCCAAAACCAATTTCTCACTGTTCTCTGGGCACTGAGACCCTGCCAGTGTCATGCAAGTCAAAAGCAATATGCAAAATGAAAGCATAATTGGATTTAATTTAATAAAAGTAGGTCAAAATGTCATCAGGTCTTGGTTTCATCAGTTTCAGTTGCCAAAAAGTAAATCCCAACTATTCATATAAATATATAACCAACCCTTCACACATGAAACAAGTTCAATGATCAGAGAAAATGAAATTTATAGAACATACATATCAATATTCTATATATGTATTGTTATGCATCATGTATAAATAATACCTAACAGTTAAGACCATCTTGATCCATAACATTCACCTGTTTGAACCATTGTTAACATTAGAAATACTGAATGAGTCCAAAGACTTGTGTTGAAAATCTGATTCATCACTAAGCTGACTCCCCATATAATTAATTGGAAGAAGAATGAACATGCCAATAACTCCACCAAAAGCAAATACTTTTAAACTGTACAATACCACAAAAAAATGGAAAAGGATAAGCTGAAATGAGTAAAAATCCCTCCAAATAAATAGAAAAAGGTCATAGAAAATAGTAAGACCTAAACAAAGTTTACAACAATGCAGATAGAATTGTAATGAACAATGATTGCCTCAGCAATAAGATAAAAGTCAGGTATCACTTAAAGTAGTCGGTGGTTACATATGAATATGTTCTATCATATTGAAATTGTTAATTCACTAAAAGTCAGAAATTCAATTATACAAATAGCAAAAATTTGGTGTCAATCAGGTGAAAAAGAAGATGAATAAAGATAATTGAATTGTGAATACAAGTTAAAACCAATAATAATATTGATAAAAATTGTGACATGATACATCTTCAAACATAGAATCAATCAAACATTTTACATCACCTAAAGATAAATATGCGCATGAAGACAAAAGCATCTAAGCCTGAATTTGATAAAAATTCTTCTTCGGAAGGCTCCCATGCCTTTCTCACCCAACCAGCTGTAGGTAGCAACCGTTCCAAGTTAAAATGACCACCCTCTTTAACTTTTCCTTCAGCAACTAAGCGTGGTGCATAAACAGTGATATTACCAGGCTGCTTTCTCAATACAGAATATAGGGTGAGAAATAATAAACAGAGGCCAAGATTAATTGCAACAGAAGTTATAAGGGCAGAAAGAATCATTGTTGAAATTTGGATCAAAACCAGCAGATTGACTTTTTACACAACTGTAGGCCTGAAATCAAATAAATTCAATGCCTTAATGGTTGAACCTGCAAAAATAATATACCATTAATAATAATGTGGAACGGAATCAAAATAATGATCCTTTGTAATTAGCATATATGATGTACAAACTATTGGCAATTTAGTTATTCAAGATAGCAACCAACCAACAATCATACAAGAAGGTCCTATGAAGTAAATGCAAACCCCTCAATCATTACCATGTTTTGTAAAGAACGCACCCATCATATTGAAACATTTGGAGTAAGGTGAGGATTGTTTTGCCCATTATAAGCTCTTATTTGATCATATTTATAGTTGATGTAGGACTCCGATAGGAACAAGAGAGGCTGAGTCTAGTGACTTGGGAGGACATGGGTTCAAATCCATGAAACAGTTTCCACATGCAGGGATAATGCTGCATACATCTATCTTCCACCTCGTGCATTAGGCCACTTTTAGGTAACTGGTAACCCACATTAGTAGTTACAATATGTTAGTTACCCATTAGTAGTTAGTTACAATATGTTAGTTAGTTAGCTTGACATAGTTAATCAGGCATGTTGTCTATAAATAAGTAGAAGGGATTGAGGAGGGAGATCTTGTCAATCACTCAATTGTAAGAGAATTAGGGCAGCAGTCCCTCAAAGAACTGCAGCAGTGTTCTATCCTTGTAATTGGGGTTCATCCCTTATTCTTCTAAATAAGATACCCAGTTTCTATCAGCTACCCTTTAAGTTTTTGAAAAGGCAGCATTGCAGCAACGTGCTATTTGTGCTTCATTACATAGTATTATGGGTATTTGGTTGGGATTATAATGGAAAATTTTTGGGCTGTGTTTGGATTGATGGAAAGGGATGGAATGGAATAACACTAATAGTCATTCTCTGAATCATTTAAAATAGAACGAAATGAACTAGAATCTAATAAAATGCATTCCATTCCTTCCTTTCCTTCCATCCAATGCCTCTATTCTCCTTCCCAAGTAATTCAGATTCCAGTCAATGTTTTTCAGGCTACATAAATTTATGTAGTTTCTAAAGCCATAATATAATCACGTGCATCAGTTCCAACGCAATTAAATTCCACACACAAACTAACAAACATAATCCAGCCATCACCCTTAAGTGTGAAAACAGCAACAACCCAGAAACTCTATTGCTTTAAGAATTCAGAGTTGAATATGCCAATTGCTAAATTAGAATGTTCATAATAATCAAGCAAAGCTCACATGTATACCAAAGTAAAAAGGAATTGTAGAAAACTAAAGAGTTTGTGTGTGTGTGTGAGAGAGAGAGAGAGAGAGAACCTGGTTGAGGCAAAAGAGAGAAGCATGTCTAATGAAGTGGTGTGGTAAAGACAACAGAGGAAGTAGGAAAAATAAGGAACCGAATTTACTCACAACGATGGGCCTTCGGTGTCACTCTTGAATTGAAAACTAACGTACACGTGCTGCTGTTTCGCTTCTTTCTTAATGGGTCAGTTTCTGCTTTTGGACTTTATTTATTCCTTTCTCGTTTTTTATTCTTGTGCAATAGCGTTTTGCGTAATTAATGCTTGCATGTGAAATTTTATTTATATTAATCATTATTTTTTTAGCAAGCTATTGAAAGTTAGTAAAATAAGTGATTCAGTTAATAAAATAATATAATATAACAAATTTTAAGAATTTAAATATTCAAAGCAGAGATTAACATGAGTTAATAAAATAAATAATTTATAAGTGAGGGACTGTTTTTAAACTATTAAATATATTTTAAAATTTATAAACAATTTAGATTTTTTATTTATAACTTAATAATTAAGTTTACATATATTTATCATTTAATTTTTTATAAAAAAAAATTTAGACTTTCAAAATCTTTTATTTGTAACTTTAAAATTTATTATTATCTTTTGTTTTTAAAACTTTTTACATTGTATTTTTTTTCTTTATCTTTTTGTATCTTAAATTTTCTAACTTTATTTTAAGAAAGTATACATTTAAATGTACATTCAAATGCAGTTTGAATATATAATAAAAAAATAAATTTTTAAAATTAATAAAATATTGAATATTATATAAAATTTTTAGAGTTCTCCACAAACTCTATTTATTTACGAAGTAATGATTTTTAAAATTAAAACTTTTATATCCACTCTTACCGTCTCCATTTATTATGAAAATGAAGTTTTATATTGATATATTATTTAATATCCTTTTAGATCTTTTACATATTCTCTTTGTATAATGATAATTTTTACAAAAATTTACTAGAAGTAATTCGTTTATCTTTAGTCATTATCCTTATTACGATCAAATAAAAATGATAATTTTTAAGATAATTAAGATAAGTATATGATGTTTTTAAATAGAAAATTCTTATATATAAAAGCATAACAATCTAAAGAAAAAATAATTATGTAGGTTTAATAAAGACGTAAAAAACGAGTTTGCATATTATTAAGAAAAGGAAAATAAGAAAGAATTCAAATAGAAGAAAGAGAAATTAAATAAAGTTTTTACGATAATATTTTAATAAAAAAATTACGGGATTTTATTAGATCTCTTACCTTAAATATCAATTTTTAAACTTTTATCAAATAAATTTAAATTATAGTTACTTAATTTATCGTTGAATTTTATATTGAAAATACAAAATAAAATTTTGAAAGTCTTCAAAAAATAAATATGAGAGTGAATTTGAGAAAACATGATATTGTTTCACGTCAATAAATAATTACATTATTTCTTAACCTTAAAAAAATTATTTTAAATAGTTAAGATATTGAAATTTTTTATTTATAATATTTAGTAAAGATTAAATTTTAAATATTTAAATATTTAAAATTTATTGTAGCAAGTTATTTTATTAATTTATTTATGAGTTACCTACCTTGATAATTCTATGTAGCCTTCACCATTAATATATATATATATATATATATTAATTTTAATGATAAAAATTAATTTTTAAAGTTTTACTTTTAGGGTATCAGTTAATAAAACCCTTGGCAATTAGGAAAGAAATGTGAATCCGTACAAGGCCTGTTTTTCACGTACTAAAAATAAATCATATTCATCTATTTTGATTTTTAATATATCAAGTTACGTGCAATTTTTTTAAATATTTGTTATAAGATACTTTTTAGAATATTCCAATTATCCTTCTGTATACAGTACTTTATATTTTTTTATAAATTTTGCTAACTACTATTTTTTATTATTAATAAATAAAATTGGTGAGAACCTACATTAAAATCAATAAAAGTATATTTTGATAGTAAAGTTAAGTTTAATAATAACAAAAATAGGCCCTACAAAAGTTGTTTGACCAATCTAAGAAAAGGGAAAATTTTAAATTAAGATGAGTCAAATATTATTTTTTATTTAATTCTTGTATTAATTATAGAAACAATAAATTTTAAAATGTTTTTGTATAAAATAATTTTTAGAATATTTTAATTGCCCTTTTGTATACAGCACTTTATATTTCTTATAAAGTATTTTTTTTATAAGTTTTGATAACTACTATCTTTTTATTTATTATTAATAAATAAAATTGGTGAGAACTTACATTAAAATCAATAAGAGTATATTTTGATAGTAAAATTTAAGTTTGGTAAAAAAAATTACAAAGGCTCGATTTATAATAAAAGTAAAACTTTCATATTATAATATTTTAAAATAATAACTATGTTTATTAGTTTGTATAATTTAATTAAATACGCATTATAGTAGTGCACAAGTGAATTTAGATATGAAACTAAATAAATCAACGATTATATATACGTAAAATTATATTTAAAAAATTGCAAAAATATTCTTAAAAATGCAACAATGACATTTTAGAGCTTCAATCAATGACCATAGCATCTTGTTACTTAAGTCACTCATCATGTTTCAATGTTTTGTCATTTCTTGTGTCGTGCTTTGGTGCCTTGTCCCATGTCTATGTGTGTTTCTCTAATAGTAGATGATAATAATAACAATGTCAAATGAATTGAGCTATTGATAGGTTTATTTTTCTGTGACCCATTTTGATAACTTAAAATGAATTCACAAATTTCAATTCACATTAACTCAGTTTTATATTATATAATTGAGTCTTTATTTTTAAAAAATGAATAATCTTCGTGAGTAATTTATTCTTATATTAACATGTGTCTTTTTTTTTCTTTTTTTTTATTTTAGTTTTTATGTCAAACAATAATAACTTTTTTAATCGGTTGATTGCCATGTATAATTCATGCATTAGATTTTAAGGTATATTTTTATTTAAATTGGGCATAATCTTATATTTAGATTTAATTTTATTAAGTATTTTACTTATTTTGTTTAAGTTACTTGTTTTATATATTTTTTATTTAGATAAGTGAATTTTGAAACTAAAACATGAATAATCTATAGATTGGAATGAAAAAAAATAGAGTTTAGAATATTTTTAGAGCTTAAAATTAGAAAAATAAGTCTTATTCAACAAAGTGCATATGTTATCTGACAAGTATTAAAAATTTATTTATTACACCTTGTGAATACTCATTTAAAAATATAAACTTAACCCCCAACAAATATTACTCGTAGGTACGATTTTTTATTTTTATTTTACTATCCTTATTAAAATTTTTTAATTAAATGTAAATATCATAAAAATAAGGATTATTCTAATTAAATATGTTAGTATTATAAAATAAGATAGTAATCACCAAAGGTAATTCAACTTCAAGATAAACTAAGAATAAATATAAAATACATTTAAATTAAGTTTATAATTTTAATTTGTACTGAAACTAATCTCTAAAAAATTGTTAAAATTTAAATAATCTATTTTTAATTATTTTACCTTTTTCTGTTTTTTCTTGAACTCATTTAATTAATTAACTGTGTTTATATAGTAAAATTACAATTATTCAGTACTGAATAGTATAATATTTGCAAATACGATATTTTTTAATTATTTGACAATAATTATATACTTGCAACTCTATCATGTTTTTAACACTGTTATTAGCGATCATAGTTATGTTCATATTGAAATATTTGCAATTTAATTAAACTAAACCTTCTTAAAAAATTATTAGTTAAATCAATCATCTCTTATTTTTCAATTTATATTTTATTTATATTTATAAGATTAAAACATATTTAATCTTTATAATTATACTCATTTAGAAATTACTTTTTATACTAAAAGAACTTATATTTTGATCTTATATAAGCTTTTTCATTACATTTAGTCCCTATTAACCAGCATTCGCATGAATCTACATATAAATATTTATAAAATATACTAAATACTTGCTAATAACATTTTTAACAGCAACAATATCAATGATAAATAAATTAAAAATCAATAAAAAAAAATAAGAAAAAGTCAAGAGACGCTCCTAGTGATGCTCAAGAATGGTGCTAACTAAACAAAAAAATGGAAGCCCCTGACAACACCTCCAATTACCAAAGAGAATGTTAAGATCCCTCGTCCACTAATTTTCCCTTCGTTGCCGTTTTGATCTCCCAAACAAAACGACCCTCCCTCTTTCCCAATCTTCGCCACCCTTCTCCGGTCAATTTTCGCGCCGTTTCTGAAAGCTCCCCCGCAATCTCCGATTCGCTTGCCACCGTAGGTATCGGTTCCAGTTTCGATCTCGCGCTTTCTGTCTTTCACCATTTTCACTTCCCGATCATCGTTCAGCATTTTACGTTCCGTGGTCGAATTAGGGTTTTTGTGCCTGATTCTCGACCCATAGGTTCCGATTTCGTTTTGCTGAATTAGCTATAAGGTTCTTCTCAATTTTCTTTTTCTTTCTCGTTGATCGTGAATTGAACAGAGGGAGTAGAAGGTTCTGGACGATGAGCAACGTGTTCGAGGGATACGAACGCCAATACTGCGAGCTTTCGGCAAATCTATCGAAAAAGTGCACTGCTAACGGTGCTCTTAATGGAGGTATTAGAAAATTCTTACTCGATCTTACTCTTTTTAAAAAATAATAATAATAAATTGCGAGTTTCTTCTGTGGTTGATATTATTTGTATTGGATTGTGTAATGTATAATTTCAGTCAATTTGTAAAGCTCTCTTGTTTATTTTGTATATAGGTATCTCTTTTTATAGTAGAATATAGTCTAAAAGTTTCCGAGTTCTTAGTTTAAAATTTTTTTAAATGATTTGAAAACCCCTTTTTACAGAATTCTGTTGTAATGCTTGAATTTGGATTGTAGCATTAACATGAATTAGGATCCTTTTAGTTATTGGTGTGTATAGCTCCTTTTGGACCCAACAACAGTATTGATGTGTAGCTAGCTCCTAGTGGTAGAAATTCTGTCTAGAAAATTTCTCCTCTCGATGCTCTTTGAGTCTCGAAAGCCTTACATCTCTATCTATCTTTGGTCATGATTCAAAACATGACTGTATTGTATCTTCCTATGTATTGGCACATTTAGAAAAATCTCTTGGCAAATTCCTATAAGTAAAAAGTATAAATGGGGGAGAAGCAATGCCTTAGGTGTTGCCAAGTGTCAAATTACAGTCTCTATGGTTTCGCTTCTTGATTCTGTAAGTTCTGATTAGGAGCAGAAACTGCAATTTGTGGATTTTAAACATTATATAATAAAGGTTAGCAGTGGCTCAGTCACCACGCTATCACTTCTCTATCTTTGTACTGTACTTCTTCAAACTTGTTTTTTTTTTCCAGTGTGTTGATGCCGCACCTTGTTTTTGTTCTTTTTGTTAGTTGATTGGGTGGTGGAAGCATTCTAATGCACTCATCATAGAATAAAGTGAATTCTAATACTTAATTTATCTGACAACGATATTTGGCTCAGTAGACATTCTAATGGATTTTAACATTTTCATGAAGAGAATGTTTTAATTCTTCAAATAAAGAACTATAAGAATGACTAACGTTTGGAACTTGAAATCCTTTATCAGAATGGAGGAAGCATTGAATCTTATGATTTTATGTTGGAGCAATACATATTCCATTATAATTTTATGTCATTTTCTGTTTGTCTGCAGAGCAAAAGAAACAAAAAGTTTCTGAAATAAAGGCTGGAATTGATGAAGCAGAAGCTTTGGTACTTCTTTTTTGCCCCCACTCAAAAGCTGGCTTTATTTCTTCTGTACTTCACGGTTTTGATATGGTTAGGTAATGAATTGCAGATTCGAAAAATGGACCTTGAGGCAAGAAGTTTGCAGCCAAATATCAAGGCTGTGCTTCTTGCTAAGTTGCGGGAGTATAAATCAGATCTGAACAATCTTAAAAGTGAAGTTAAGAAAATTGTATCTGGTAGCTTAAACCCTTCTGCACGGGATGAATTATTGGAATCAGGCATGGCAGATGCTATGACGGTATGATTTATTTATTTTAACATCCTCTTTTGATACTAAGATGATTCGTTTTGTTGTGAAACTGTAAATGAGGAAACAGTTCGATCATCCTTTTTCTTTGTACTATATACTTATCTAGTAACAGTAACATTAATGGGTTAAATGATGGCTTATTGTTGCTGATATTTCTTCTCCCTTTCAAGCAAGTCACATTCCTCCCTCATTACTAATTCCTTAGCCATTGCAAACAAAAGCTGAGTTGTAGATCACATTAGAACTGTTACATCGATGATCAATTAAGAGACTGCTTTGAAGCTATTTGAAGGGGAGGGACAGAGTTGAAATTAATATCAAAGTATGTGGACCAAAATAATATTTGAATTTTGGCCCTTATTGATCAATAAGCAATCTGCCCATACTTTGTTTATATTAGAATGACTTGGTTGATGACTTTGGTATTGATAATCACAATCATTTATGAGATGCATCCATCCTGTTAATGATGGAGCAAAGTGAATGAAGTTTAGGCAGTATATTTTATGATTTTCTGATCTGCACCTATTTTGAAGTTGTAAACATTCGGGTTACAACCAAAACTTAATTTCTAGTATAGCAGACACAAAACCTAAATATTAGAGTTTTTCAAGGTCAATGTAATATTATTTGTCCAGAAATGATCATATCAATTTTTATCTAATTGATTCTTTGGAGTATTGGTTGTTCAATTGGCATGTGGCCAATTTTTTTGTCATCATGTTTTATGATAGTAATACCTTTTCTTTAAGGTACAATTGATTCTCTCAATAGCCTTGTGTATTGGCTTACCTCGGCCTGTTCAATTTCACTACACATACAATGTACACAAGTGTATGATGAACATTAAACTATACTAGTTTGTTACCCATGCCATGCAAAGATAGCTTTATAATAGTTTTAAAAATTATAACGATTTATATTTTTTGCATAAATTATACTTAACTAATTTAGGCTGAGTAAAATTATTGATAAGATTCATATTGTAGTTTATTATTAGATTAGGATAAGGATCGAAGGTTTAATCTAATCATTAATGATAAATAAATTTTTTGTGACTAATTAACCTTCTCTGTTAACAGATGCTTTGATACTTATAAATATTGGGTGTACTAGATGGTGAGACCTCTTACATCACCTAGTGAGATAAAGCTTGGTTGTTGTTTTCATAAAAATTTGGTCGGCTACTTGTGCAAGAATATTACCTTTCTTCTGGCCAATTGTGCCAAATGGCATTTCTAATCCCCACTTTACAGATATGAAGAATGACTTTGATTCAGTCTTCATTTCTGAACCCTCAATTCTTGAATTGGCACCCACCAAAACTGACATCGATCTTCTAATGTGAATACGATAGGCATCTGCTGATCAGAGAACAAGATTAATGGTGTCAACTGAGAGATTGAATAAGACCAGTGAAAGAGTTAAGGACAGTAGGAGAACAATGTTGGAAACAGAAGAGCTTGGTGTCTCAATTCTTCAAGATTTGCATTCACAGCGACAATCTCTATTGCATGCACATAACACGGTAATTTTTTTTTTCTTTCTTGTTCAATATATGAAATGTTTGTAATTCTATTACTCTAACTATTACTATTATTTTAATTTCTATTTAAGTGAAATATAAACTGTTCTTTTCCCTGAGTCGTATCAATAGTGACCAGACCATAAAAGTAAACATCCTTTGATCTACTGATGTTGTATTCCCTTATGCAGCTTCATGGAGTGGATGATAACATAGGCAAGAGCAAGAAAATTTTGACCAACATGTCAAGAAGGATGAACAAGAACAAATGGATTATTGGGTGCATTGTTTTGGTCCTGGTTGTTGCTATCATCTTGATCCTGTACTTCAAACTTTCTAAGTAGTCAATGGTTGACCTTTCCTCATAATGGTCATGAAGGTCGCTAAGCTTGCCCCGTCTCCCCTCCCTCCTTCTCTTCTGATTATGATTTGTGAGTGCTCGGACAAACATGATGTGTTCTTCATAGCTGCAAGATGATTTCATACTGTAAGCTTCTTTCAATGTATGTATCTTCTACTGGGTTGGGCATGTATGAAATTATGAAATATTGATTTCTTTTTGGCCAGTTGTTGAATGAGTTTAATCATAAAACCAGAATTCTTTGTGGTTGTGCTGTTCAAATATAAGTGAGATTTGGTTCTAAATCCATTGGAGTAAATTATGTTGCTACAATGCTGCATGTAACAATTCTGAAGCTACGAAGCTCTCACGAGAGGAACCTTCGGAAACAAATTTCTGATGCGGAATACTCTTGTCTCTTGCCTTGAGTTATTGCCAATGTGATGATTCCAACATCCGAGTTATGTATAACCTGCGAATCCATGTAATACGAAGACTTGAATTGCACGTTGGTTACAGCATAATTATTATTATTATTTTCATTAAGAATACGTGTCGATATAACTTCTTAATGAAATGATTTTTAATAAATTATTATATGAACAAATAATATTATAAATTTGGTTACTAAACTTATTATAAAAGTGATAAAATCAGTTTTACAAGTCGAAATGATAAATTTCGTAAGAACTTGTTTTGGAAGTGTTCACCAGTATGAATTAGTCATTGAAAGCGATCATTTTATAAGAAGTTAATCCTTCAGCTATGGCAATCATGGAAGTGCCAGGAAAAGGATGACGTGAAATGTTGGTAATTATCATGAAAATTCCTTATGAGGATGACAATATCGTTTCACATATTAATTGCATGAAGGGGAAATTTCCTCTTAATTTTACACTAGAAACACGTTTTTCAATTTTCTCTCCATCGTTTTTCTTTTTTTACATCAATAACTTCGTCTTAAAAAATAAAGCCAAATCTTCGTTCTAAATCATCATATCAGATGGTATGAGATGGTCACACTGCCCGGAAGAACAACGTGCTATCGTCTTCCGCACCCTTCTCCGACGATGCGCACGCGCCTCCGCTCTCCGCCCCGGCCAGCAGCTCCACGCCGCCGCCACCGTCACCGGTCTCCTCTCTTCCCCCACCCACTTTCTCCTTAACGCCCTCCTCCATCTCTATGCCTCCTGCGCTTTCCCCTCCCACGCGCGCACACTGTTCGACAAAATTCCCCACTCGCACAAAGACTCCGTGGACTACACCGCCCTCATCCGTTGCTGCAACCCCCTCCAATCCCTCCATTTCTTCCTCCAAATGCGCCAACGTGCCCTTCCCGTTGATGGGGTGGCCTTAATTTGCGCCTTCAGCGCGTGTGCTAGGCTTGGGGACTCAAAGCTCGTCCCTCAAATGCACGTGGGTGTGGTCAAGTTTGGATTTTTAAAGTGTACCAAGGTGTCCAATGCGGTGATGGATGGTTATGTTAAGTGTGGGCTTGTGGGTGAGGCTAGAAAGGTGTTTGAAGAAATTGGGGTGCCTAGTGTTGTGTCTTGGACTGTGGTTTTGGAAGGTGTGGTGAGATTTGAAGGTGTCAAGAGTGGGAGGGTGGTGTTTGATGAAATGCCTGAGAGAAATGAGGTTGCTTGGACTGTTATGATAAAGGGTTATGTTGGGAATGGGTTTACGAAGGAGGCTTTTGGGCTTCTGAAAGAGATGGTTTTTGGTTGTGGTTTTGGGTTGAATTATGTTACTCTTTGTTCTTTTTTGTCTGCTTGTTCTCAGTCTGGGGATGTGAGTGTGGGTAGGTGGGTTCATGGTTATGCTGTCAAGGCATTGGGGCGGGACTTGGGTGTTATGGTGGGGACAAGTTTGGTTGACATGTATGCAAAATGTGGGAGGATAAGTGTTGCTTTGATTGTGTTTAGGCACATGTCAAGGAGGAATGTGGTGGCATGGAATGCCATGCTTGGTGGGTTGGCCATGCATGGGATGGGGAAGGTTGTGGACGAGTTGTTTCCTTGCATGGTGGATGAAGCGAAACCTGATGCTGTGACTTTCATGGCTTTGTTAAGTGCTTGCAGCCATTCGGGTCTAGTTGAAAAGGGTTGGAAGTACTTTCATGATCTTGAGTCTGTTTATGGGATAAGGCCAGAAATAGAGCATTATGCTTGCATGGTAGACCTTCTTGGTCGAGCTGGACATTTGGAAGAAGCAGAGAATTTGGTGAAAAAGATGCCATTTCCTCCAAATGAGGTTATTCTGGGGTCCCTTTTGGCGTCTTGTTATGCACATGGTAAGCTGCAGCTGGGGGAACAGATTATGCATGAGTTGGTTCAGATGGACCCCAGCAACACTGAATATCATATCCTACTTTCAAACATGTATGCATTGTCTGGAAAAGAAGTCAAGGCAAATTCCCTTAGGCAGGTTCTTAAGAATAGGGGTATCAGAAAGGTGCCAGGAATGAGCACCATATATGTGGATGGCCAACTTCATCAGTTCATTGCAGGGGATAAGTCACACCCAAGAACTGCAGAGATTTACATAAAGCTTGATGATATGGTTTGCAAGCTGAGGTTGGCTGGCTATGTTCCCAACACAAATTGTCAAGTTTTATTTGGTTGTTCCAATAGGGATGCTTGCATAGAAGAATTGGAGGAGGTAGAACAGGTTTTGTTCACTCATAGTGAGAAACTAGCACTTTGTTTTGGCCTAATGAGCACAGCATACGGTTCTACCCTACATATTTTCAAGAACCTAAGGATTTGCCAAGACTGTCATAATGCTATTAAGATTGCCTCTGACATATACAAACGTGAAATCGTAGTACGAGATCGTTACCGTTTTCATAGTTTCAAGCAAGGTTCATGTTCTTGCTCAGACTATTGGTGATTTGCCACTTAACCTGAATGACACTGATTGGACGCGGAAATTGAAGCTTCATTCATCAGGGCTAGGAGATTAATTACTTGTTCGGAAACACAGTTAAAATTTTTGTAAGTGTGAATTCAACGCGGAAGCTATAACCAGAACCATTGAAGTAAACATAAATTTATAATCATTTAAACATGCACTAATAAGTTTTTTTTTTTGTTATTGGTCTTGTGCACTAACTAGGTTTACGGTATAAAGAGGTGCATTTTTTTAAACTAAAGTGTTGTTAGGGAAAGTGAAAAGCTAGACTAATTTTAATGAAAATGAATAAGTTGGAAAGTTCTAAACCATGGTTTGTACCAATGAGAAATGTTAGCAAACACACTCTAGTTAAAATTTATCAAAAAATAAAAAAGCATAACGGAAAGTATTAATTTAAGAGTGAGATTTACATTATTTTTGTAATTTTTAATAAATTTTAACAATAATAAAGGGTGTATTACAGAAAGTGTGTTGCTATTATTACTCATTTTAAAATAATAAATAAATATATGCATAATCTTTGAAAGTGTCTCACAAATTGTACATCTTACTTATTGTGATTATTGATTTTGTCTTCAAAAACAATTTTTAATTGTCCTAGATTATGTGCATATTTGGAACTATGAATTAGTTAAAGAATTTGGCACAATTTAAGTAAATTTTTATAAAAATATTTATAAGAGAAAAATATATAAAACATAAATTAAAATATTTTGATAAGCTATAAATAAGTATAAGTTATTTTTAACTAATAAAAAAATTATTTTTTACGCTGAAATTTTTTCTCTTTATAAAAACTTCTGTAAAAGTTTACTAAAATTTTTAATATGAATATTTGGTATAGTGTAGCTTTTGGTTGAACATGAAAAAATACAAAAATACAAGAGAAATTAAATAAACTCAATAACATAAATCATTAACAAAAATAATAGACGTAAAAGGTGCCTCCAGTTTACTGTATGAATAATAACTTGTATTGTGTAGCTTAAGGTTTGAATTCTTAAGCCTCTCACTAATCTGACCTCAGAACAGTTGTTTTTATTTAATTTCTATAATAAAGGGGATGTAGCTCAAATGGTAGAGCGCTCGCTTTGCATGCGAGAGGCACGGGGTTCGATCCCCCGCATCTCCAATGTTGTTTACGTTATATAAACTTTTTAATAAAAATTTTATTTTAAAATTTTACGTGACGTAAATGAGAGAATTTCTAAATAAATAAATAAAAATTAATTTTAACTTATTCAAAAGTTTATTCCAACTAAACTTTGTCGTTTTGATTTATTTTCAATTCTCACGATTCTTAAGTCGTTCAAATTTTGAAGCTCGAAAGAAAATCAAAACGAAAACGTATTGTAAAAACCACACGCTACTCCAATAAATATTGACCCGTTCTTTCTCGTTAGGTAGAGTGACAGTACTCATCATCCTTTGATAATTGTACTCTTAACAATTACATCTCTGCATTCAGACAAAATCAACTATTCAAATATGTTACTTCACATACGTACCAACTTTGTATAACGCAAGAAAAATAGATTCATAACCATCACCCAAAACATTTTGCTTGAACATTAAAAAGATTAATAAAAATGCTAATGTCATTTTTAAGTGTGAGTTTAAGTAATCAATAATAGTCAAATTTTATTAAAAAAAACAGTTATTACACTTTTACCACCTTAATGAAATAAATGTGTTTTTTTTTTCTAATAAAAGTTAATAAACTCACCTTTGGAGATTGAGACTAAAAACACTTTTTAATTAATTAATAGTATATATATTTATGACTTTAAAATGTATTTCATTTCATTTAATGTCTTTATGTTTTCCTTCCTTATCCTATAGAACCTTGTAAGTTTGTGCTAATTAAAAATCAAATTCTTTTTTCTTTAAAATTAGAGGGTAGTTTAAGCAATTGTAGATGGGATAACATGATCATATTTTCATTTTCAAAGATTAATTAATGACAAACAATCAGAATTGATTTGCTTTTGCTGTCAAGTTGTATTAACAAATAGATAGAATGGAACTGCAAGTCTAGACTGAATTCTTCATAGATTTGTTTCTCTTGAACTTGTTATAATCTTCTAATAATCTGCTGTGGAATTCCTTCTTCATTTCATTCCCCACAGTATTGAAAACCTGTCAATTAATTAATAAAAAATGTCATCTATCTTTGGTTAAAACAAATTTAATTAGTTGCATGCATGTGCTAATAGGAGAAAAGGAAGAAAGCAGAGGTAATCTAACCAATTCTACTGCATCTTGCATGGCATTTTCAGGAATGAGAGCCATTGCTGGAGAAACACAAAAGCTTATCTTCATATCCATTTGATTCTTAAGCCAGCTATGGGTTCCCCTCCTTTCTGGGTATATAGTACCTCTAACGTCTAGGTTTAAATGGTAAGGATCAGTGTAAAAGGTATTTAGACCCTGTAGCTCCCACCTCATCTGCAAAAGAAAATTACTAAAATAAATTTTTCATGTGACTTTTTAATAAATTATTCATAACTTATTTCAATAAGTTTCATAGAGCAACAAACTAAAACTTTTTAAAACTTATTTCAATAAACTTCAGAGTTATAAGTTCTTCTTACTAAGATCTTATTAAATAAGTACTTAATTAAACTGTTAAGTGAGACACACATGAAACAATTTACATTCTAACCAAAGTATATTATTTCCAATGGAAGTGCTTACAAAGTGAAGCTCAAGAATTTTGGTGATATAATGAGGAATGTGAGGTGGGTAATCTTCACCATTAGACTTGAATGTTAACCTTACATCTGCTGTTGGCTTGACATTCAAGAATAAGCATTGTATGGGAGGCATTTTAATCCTCCACTCTTCCTGCACAAACACATAATGCCAAAAGCGCTTTTGAGATGATCTCAAGAGGTTCCAATATTTTCATTCACATTCAAGATTATGAGTGCAAATACCTCATTGAGCTGTTTAGTTGTTCCTTTCTCAGGAAATACTGCTCTGAGTACCCTGCACTTGTCATCCATATATTGATCAAAAGAAGCCTACAAAGAAATAAAAAATGTATGTTATACACATTAATACACTATCATAGAAGATGAGAGTGGAAAGGGTGAGAAAGAAATACCCCTGGCAATTCATGAAGAGGAACATTAGCATTGCTTCTGAAACTGAATGAGGAAGTTTTCTCATTCCTAATTGAGTTGGATATTTGCTTTATATGGCAAAGTCTGTGAAACTTATGCTTCTTCAGTAATAGGGGTTGGCATGGAACCATGAGAAGGTTTGCCATAATAATAAGTTGGCACACTGAATATCTTGCTTTATTAATTAGATGCCTTCTCAACAGAGCAAGGTATTCTATTATTGCACGCTCGTCCCTCATTAATGTTATGCTGGTCTTTATGGTATTTAATTAAATAGAGGGAGCTTCAATTTAGGTTGTTCTCCTTATTAATCATACTTCTATTTAGGATAAGAATAAACTATAAAAGAATCCACTTCATGTTATATGAACCATTAACCATTATTTTTTACTAAATTGAAATCTAAGCCTTGTCACAATGGTATAGTTGCTGTCCTGTGACTTTATGAGTTTCCAAATTCACTAATCCTATCCTTGCGGGGAGTTTCCAAATTCAACTATTTTTTTAATAAATTAAAAGCAAGTCCTTATAATGCATAACATGTATAGTTTCATGTCAAGATCAAGTGAATATAGTTATAGTTTCTGCAGTTAATGTGTTTTGGAACATAGAGGTGACAAATTCATCAATTTTTTAAATATATTTTATGTATAAACTTTTGGGATTGTGTTACTTTGACACTAAAAAAATGTTTTCAGGAGAATATTAGAATTACTTGTGGATTGGTTGAGGAATCGCTTCACTTTGCTAGAATGGTAACAAAACTTGCAAGCATGAAAGATGGAAGATTGCTTTGAAACTTCTGCTTATTTGTGGTCCACATAGCTGATTCCGTGGCAACTATATGGGCTTGGAAACACATGATTTTTGGGTTCATAACTTGGATGTTAGTGTACTGGCGTGTCGGCAACAACATATGAAAAAGGAGATTAATGAACTATTTAGCAAAGTATCTGTCTTCACACAATCAAACAATGTTCTAAAAACATTGAAATCCAATGCAAGACATAATTGACTTTTGATGTGATAGGCATCCAATTAGTAAACGTGAATTTATTCTAATACTATAAATTATAACTTTTAAATTAAAATATAATTTTATTAAATTTTCAAACCCACACTAAATATAAAAAAAATAAAAATACATGGTGTTTGTGCAACTACCGTTAATCATTGAACTTGAATTGAGAATAGTAATGTTAAGATAATAAAATATTAAACTTATAGATTCCTAACAAATTAAAATGTATATAAAGAAAAGAGTTGTGACTTTAAAGTTGGTCCAAAGTATTTTAGACAAGTAGATTATTCAAGTTTGTGCTCTGTCTCTCAATCTTAAATTAAATTCATATTCGAAATCTTAATATGGTATAAGAACTTAGATAAAATAAATAAATAAATTACAAATATAGTGTTGATCCTAAAAAGAATTTACAAAAACACAAGTCATAAATAAACTAAGGTTAATTGAAATTAAGGAGGATACAAATCTAATAATATTCTTAGATAATGCTTTATGCTCCTGAGTGGAGTAAAGTACAAGTGAAGCAAACAAAAGTAGAAAATAATTAATAAAAAAGATATTTATTCATTAAAAAAGCATAAAAATTATTTAAGACATTGTTAAGTGATTAAAAACATTGATGGCATGTATGTTTAGAGGACTTCTTAGGAAGACCATTTTTATTTCTTATTGGGATAAACATGAAATCAAGCACTTAAGCAACGTGATTAACTATTAATGAAGTGTCTTTAACAATTTCTAAGCAGAAAGTGGAATCCTCAAAGCCATTTTTTGAGCAAGCCAAGGTCTATCTGATTGTGGGTCAATGAAGCTATGCATCAGAAACTCCTCAGCTTCTTCATCCCTTAATTCTTTAGCCCATTTTACTCGCCCCGATGGACAGCAACCCGGCCCAAAACACCTGTACTTGATATAATTGGATATTCAATTTTTTTAAATAATAATATCTGTCATAAATTTAATAATAGAATTTTTTAAGATAACTAAAATAAATTATAAAAGTCATAAGTTAATTTTTCCAAATTATTCATACATAAACAGTAAATATGCTACAAAAGTGAGACTATTTCTTTCAAGACATAGAGATCACTGAAGTTTTAGTGAGCTTTGTTTCTGCAACTATTTTTTTTATACACAGCCAAAAAACTTCTTTAAGGAGACAACTATCTACTAATTATGCCTGACTTTCTTGGAAAACTTATTCTTGTATAATCAAATATTATTTTTATATAAATGAAAATATTAACAATATACTCTTTTAAATATATTTTTTTAACAACACTACAAAATGGAGGGGGAAATGAGTACCTGTATTCATAGAAACAAGCACTTCTTTCATTCTCAATTTTCCCCCAGTTATTCCAGCCACAGGGCTTTATACATTGATCCATATAAGTGAATGCAAAGACCACTCTTCCAAAGGGTCCCCATGGTCTTCCAAGATATGTATATGAAGTTCCTCCATTACCTGTGATAACACATCTGCAATAACAACCCACAGGGACTTTGCTTTAGAAATTGATTTTCTATTTTCATTTTTAATTATGTCATATTTTTTTATTTTGCTTTAAAAATTTATACCAAAAATTGTGAAAACAGAAGAAAAAAAAAATATTTTTAGTATTTCCTGTATAATTTTTTTAAAAAAGAAAAAATTAAAAAAAAAATATTTTTGTAATTAAAAGTAAAAATAGAAAACAAAAAATAGAAACATTTTTTGAAACTAAACAGCCCTAAGAGTTTGTAATCACTAAAATACAGTGATAGGTGGGAAAAGAGGCTGTTAATAATACCATGATCACACACCTCAAGAATACATAACCAGTTGTTTCCTGTGGAGATTTTCTGCTCTGTGCAGTTATGAACCCTCCAGACTTGCAGTGGATATGACAATGCTCCAAGAGTGCAGTGCTATTACCAAAAATAAAATCCACACTTCCTTCAATATAACAATCTTTCAAATATTGTTTACCATAATGTAAATAAAGTGTGTCCTGCACCATAATCACAAAACAAGTTTATTTATCAACATGCATACTATATAGTATTCATCATTTTAAGAAGCCTCTAACCTACTAATTAATACATCAAGAGAGTGAAGCTACCTGCCATCCAAGAAACCTGCAATTATAGAATGCACATCGATCTGCTGTTACTCTAAGTGCCACTGCTTGCCCTGAACCCTTACAGAAATTAAAAGGAAACACAAAAAAATGGTGCTATATAAGGTCTTTGTGCCAGTCAAAAACAATATCTGCATAAAGCTTATTATTAATTAGTTTGTAGATGCAGAAAGCAACAAAAACAAATAATCTAATTATTCGATGGTTATATGTTTTAAACTAGTTAAACAACAAGGGTGTGTTTATTGCCACATGCATGTATCATTTACCACTCTCTTTTAAGTGATTCTTATTTAAAATATTTTTTTTTATTCTATAAATATGTAAGTAGTAAGAGTATTTTCCATACAACAAATGCGAATTTATCTCTATCTTTGCAATCAGCAAACATCTCGTAAAGGAGAGGCTTCAACTTACAAAGGGAAGCATTCAAAACACTTTTATATGGTTTTAAAATTTTTGAAAGTGTTTGAATAATTTACTCTTTGATTATCAATTTTTGTCACAGACCCATCACACAAAATCATCCCCCCAATCAAATTTGCCTACCTAAATGCATATCACATATGCTCGTTTACCAAACCAATATTATATTTTTATGTTCTACCGTCATTTCACTCGTTTTTTTTTCAAAGATTGATATAAAATGAAGGGGTGACTTTTATAATTAAAATGAAAACAAGAATTGAAAATAGAAAATATTTTCTTAGAATAAACATTACTTGAACCTTCACAATCTGCATTACCTGAGGGGATGAATTCTCAAACGTAATATTCTCAGCAATAAAGTCTCCTCCTTCTATAATGGTGCTGCCACAACCGAAGGTCCCAGTCCCTATCACTCGACCATCCTGCAAGAAAAGTAGAAAACTCATCGTCACCAACTAAACAACCAAACAAATTTCAATTATATTTTATTAGTATTCATCACTTTAATTTTCGAAGACTTTATAAAATTTTTACTTTAATCTGTAAGTTTACAAAATAGGGTGTATTTTAATTTTTAGTACAATTTCTAAAATAAAATAATATGACTAAAATGAATATTTTTCCGAGATCAATGAGTAAAATGAAGATTTTACAAAATTTAGACCCAAAGTGGCCAACGCTAATAATTTTAGATGATCTAATATTGTTGATAGATAACATGATACAGTCATGTTAAAAAAAGAGGAAAAAAAAACATTTTTAATTAAAGAATGATCCATTTTAATTAGCCGTAATGTTACTGAGTAAAGTTGATAACAAAATTGAAGTCTTTTTTTTTAACACGACCGACTATATGATGTTACTCAGCGACAACCTAAGAGGATCAAAATGGTAAAAGGAGAGTTTAATGATATGAATTTTGAAAGAAAGGAAAAGAAGAGAAGCTGCATATGCACGAACTTGATGATGGTGGATGTTGGTGGCAGTGTTGTTCCATGTCAGAACAGTGTTCTCAGGGCGCACAGCAGTGAGAGTGATGAAATTCTTCGTCTTCGCCACGTAAAGTGGCTGCCGGTAGATTCCCGGCGACACCCGAATCACCGTCCGGCGAGTATTGCCGAGTGGCACAGCATCTATGGCTTCCTGTACCGTACGGTAGCGTCCGGTTCCGTCCTGTGACACTGTTAACACAGAAACTGCCATTGCAGCTAAGCTGTGCACTCTCATTTTCAACAACCCTTCCTTCTTTTATATATATATTCATTCTCTCTAACACTGTGTTGTGTTCGAAGATTCGTTGCGTACCCAACTGCATGTTTTTTAGTATTTATTCCCAGGCAACGTTTTTTTTATTAAATTTTTGTTTTTGAAAAAAAAAAAACTTAAAAAAGACTGTGTGATGAATAATATTAATTTAAAAAATAATTTCTTATTAAATAAAATGAAGTTGTGTGATTTATACACATGATTGAAAGAATTAATAATACATAACCCATGCCTTGTGTTTGAATTTAATTTGAATATAAACAAAATTTGAAGTGTAATTTCTTAAATGTTTTTAGTATTATTTGTTAATTCAATCTACAAGTTAAATTAATATTCTGCATTTTTCTCTTGTCTAAATATTATTATGTTATCTAAAGGAATCGTTTTAGTATTAAATTGATTCATAATCATGCATAAGTTACTTTGCTGAATTCATGATAAAAAGCTGTCATGCTAAATTTATGATAAGAAGCAAAATACAGCTTCCCAATCTCTCTCTCAAGGCAAACTTTGCAACAAAAGTTTTGTTATATCTTTTTATATACTCTCAATAATAATTCTTCTACTAATATATAAAATAAAAAACTATATATGTGTATTATCTTAAAAATATTAATATTTTTATTTTTATTTTTATTTTTATTTAATAATTACAACAGAAGAAATTAACACTATTCTTGCAACAATAAACCCTCCTCACCACACATCTCTTGGGCCAATTGAGAAATTTATAGAAATAATCATGAGCCCAAGTGGTTAGTTGGCTGGCCCAATTACCCTGGATAGTGTTTGGGCCAGATCGACCCAAAGGGGTTAGGTTAAAAATAACTCCTACATTTTACTTAAATTTTTTTTATTTTTTTAAGAATTAGAGTATGTTTGCTTAAAAAAAAAAAACAATTTTCTATATTTAAAAATAAAATATAATTCAACTCTTATTTTTTTATTCCTTTTTTACTTTTTACACCACTCTTGACATTTTATTTATTTATCGTAAATTTGCCCTTCATTAACTTACAAAATCACTCTTTTCATTTTTTTTAAAAAATTTTCTCTATCCATTTTAAAAACTGAAAAAATCAATAATCAAAACATATCAACAAATACTATCCAGAATACCATAACTCGAATATTATTGAATCAGTGATGAGTTGTAAATGAAGAGATGATTGTGTTCACATGAAAAAGTGATTATTCTAATAATCAACATTATATTATGTGAGAAAGGTAATTCTTTTATCATATGAAGAATATTTTAGGAACATAATTTTATAATTTTTTTAAATAAAGGTGTAAAAATAAAAATAAACAAATCCATGAACAGAAAAACAATAATCGAAAAACAATCAATTGAGTATAATCAAAATATTAATGATGATGTGAATGGATCACATTCACAGTGTCTGATAGTTCCACACTTCTTTCACTCCACTGCGATCCACAATTAATGTGAATGGAACCTTCAGCATACTCCACAAAACAATATACAAATGATTTAATTTAAATATATTATTATTTTTGCTGTTACACAATTATTAATTATTATATTCATAATATATTTTAATCAATTGACAATGTATAAATTTTACACTAACTCTTACAGAAAAACGAAGTTAAAAATATACTAATAACATTTCTCTTAAACATGGACATTTTCCCTCATTTATAAATATGTGTCTTCAACATTTGAAAATGCTTTTTCTCTCTTATTAGTACTACGCCACGTATCTTTTGACTTTTGACCAACTCCTTCAACATTACTCAATACCAATTTAAATTCCAAAATAACAAAGCATTTTCAAAAGGATAAATATTTTTATCAAAATTATTTCAACGACATTCAGTGTTTATTGAAACAAATTTTATTTTGTAATAAAAAATAATTTTATTTATCAATATTCTTCCATCATTGATATTTATTTAACTTATTTATTTAATTACATCACATTAATTATTTTCTTTCTTTTCAATTCTTCTGTCTCTTAAACTGTGAAATTTTTTTATTTAAATTATGATTTTATAATTTTAATCTTTATGATTAAATTTAAATATTTAATAATAATATATTATAAATATTCTTAATAAAAATATTATTTTTAAAATGACTAAAATCACTTTTAATAATTACAATTAAAAAAATAATATGTCTGACATATAAAAGTATAAATATTATAAAATGTTATCGAATAAATTACATTAATAAAATTAAATGTAAATTTTTTATTGTGCATTATTACACATCCCTTAAATGGACTGTTAAAACAAAATCATTTAAACTGTTACAATCAGGGTCGTGGGGTCCACAAAACTAAAAATCGAGAGCAAACGACGGATCCACACAACGTCGTTTAACCGAAACATCATCGTCCACTTTTTCGGACACATAAAACGCACTGAAGATCCAGAATCGTTTCCATTACAGCGATCCCAAAACCAGAGAGAGAGAGAGAAGCTCGTAGATTGCATCAACAATGACGTGGTTTTCAAGAGGTGGTGGTGGCGGTGGCGACGACAGCGTCGACGACTTCGACGAGTACGATCCGACACCCTACGGTGGCGGATACGACATCACTCTCACCTACGGTCGACCCATTCCTCCCTCCGATGAAACATGTTACCCAATTGGATCCTCTTCCTCCGATGAAGCTTTCGATTACGATCGTCCCCAATACTCTTCTTACTCCGAACCCTCTGCCTATGCTGATGAAGCTCTCGCCACTGAGTATGGCAGTTATTCTCGCCCTAAGCCTAGGCCTGCACCTGCTGGATTCAACCCTGCTGGTGGATCCGGGTATAATCGACCCGGTTCAGATTTTGGCTCTGGGTATGGTGGTCAATCGCAGGAGTCTGGATACGGGTCCGGGTATGGTAGGACGCAGGAATCGGAATATGGGTCCGGGTATGGAGGTAGGAAGCAGGAATCCGAATACGGGTCCGGGTATGGGAGTCAGAAGCAGGAATCCGAATATGGGTCCGGGTATGGTGGTAGAAAGCAAGAATCTGAATACGGGTCCGGGTATGGTAGGAAGCAGGAATCAGAATACGGGTCCGGGTATGGTGGTCAGAAGCAGGAATCTGAATATGGATCTGGGTATGGTGGGAGAAAGCAGGAATCTGAATACGGGTCAGAATATGGGTCCGGGTATGGTGGCAGAAAGCAGGAATCAGAATATGGGTCCGGGTATGGTGGCAGGAAGGAGGAATCCGAATATGGATCCGGGTATGGTGACAGAAAGCAGGAATCAGAATATGGGTCCGGGTATGGTGGCAGGAAGGAGGAATCCGAATATGGATCCGGGTACGGTGGTAGAAAGCAGGAATCGGAATATGGATCCGGGTATGGTGGCCGGAAGCAGGAATCCGAATATGGATCCGGGTACGGTGGTAGAAAGCAGGAATCTGAATATGGGTCCGGGTATGGTGGTAGTAAGCAGGAATCTGAATACGGGTCAGAATATGGATCCGGGTATGGTGGAAGGAAGCAGGAGTCTGAATATGGATCCGGCTATGGTGGTAGGAAACAGGAATCTGAATATGGATCTGGTTATGGTGGTGGAAGGAAGCAAGAATCTGAATATGGATCCGGGTATGGTGGCAGGAAGACTAGCGGCTATGGGGAGGAACAGGGTAGTGGATATGGCTATGGAGGAAGGAGTGAGTATGAGGAGAAACCAAGCTATGGAAGGAGCCAGGAAGAAGGGGTTGAGTATGGTTATGGACGCTCTGAAAGGCGTGGTGATGATGATGAGGGCTATGGACGTAAGCAATATGTGAGTAATATTTCCTCAATTTCTTGAAGTCATTGCAAATAATGTTCCTCACTCTGATTTAAACTGTGTGTATAGTTCAGTTTTTGATTTATTAGTATAGTGTAATACCGTAATTGCTTGAACTAATAGGTATAGTACTGCAGTGTAATCTTAAAATGGTTTCCTTATGTCTTATGATTTTTAGTATAGGATAATTGACAAGTACATTATTAGTTTCATGGATTTAGCCATGCCTAAGCTTTGTTTGCTTCATTGTTTACAGTTCAAATACCTTTGGTAGGTTTTAGCTGCGCTGTTTCTTGTACTTCATATGATTGAGTAGGTTACTTTGATGCACTTCTATATACTTAGAGTTAGATCCTTGTTACCAAGTTTTAAAAGATCATGAAGCTATTTGAACTTATTTTCTAGTGAAGTGTGGATTGAAGAATCAGGGATGCCAAGGCTGACCTGAAAACTTTGTCAAATATCAGTTTCATGTTATAGTCATTTTCATAAAAATAGTCTGACATTCTCAGCATCATCACAACCTCAACAAATTTTAGTTAATCTTCTATTTTTAATTCCAGTTTACATATTCTAGTTTCGTGAATGAAATTGGAAATGGGGTACAATATGTTGTTTGTCTTTTGGTTTGTCTCCTATTAATCAATTTTAAGAATTTTGACAAGAACAACTTTTGTTGTCACCATCCGACATTAACTGGAGATGATGCAAATTTTCTACATATGTAACTATTTTCAATTCATATCATGTAGGAAAGTGTTTTAAAGTGGGTGGAATGGAATGAGATGTGAGATGGAATGCAATGAAATGGGATAATATGGAATAAAGTTCCCATATCCAGTTGGAAGTTCTAGTGGAATGGAATGGAATAGAGGAAGGTTTCCATTTCTTTGTTTGGAAGTTCTAGTGGGATGGAATGTATGATGTTTTTTGGTTCCTGTATTGCTCTCATTTAAGTAGATTAAACTTTTAAGTTGTTTTTAGCCAAAAAATAAAACTACTTATTTTGTAGAATTCCATCGTTGGATACAAAAATAGTCATATGTCTTTGTTAAATTTTTAATATTATTTAAAGTGTTAAATGTGTTGCTACTTGTTATGCAGCCAATCAAGTATCCAACCTTTAATAAATCTTGTCTACCATTAACTAAATCCCACATGGAATGAACAAAATCAAGACTATCAAAAGTAAATTTATCCAACCGAAAAAAAATGATCATGAAAATACAGAAAGCAGAAAATGAGTGGAGGTAGTGGGCATTGGAGAAGAAGCCCTGACAAACCTCTTCCTGACAGAAAATATGGATTACTCATACAACATAACCTCTGCCAAGTTTAAGTGTTTGGTACAATTAGGTAACTAACAATGCATAATCCACATTTGCTAATGGGTAAGATAAATGGAGATGTGATTATATTTGGCATTAAGGATCAGGCAAAACGGAAGGATGCGGGCATGCGGCAACCATGAGTGGAAAAAAGGCAGTGACACAAGCTAAGGAGAATAAGAGAGTTCTTTAAATTGGACTATAGGAACAAATGTATAGTTTTGGAACTCATTACTATTCCATCACTTACCAATTACCACCAATCTCCAATCCAAACATAACCTAGACTCTGAATCTTGTACTGACTTACTGAACATTTCACTCGTAACACTTCTTACTTGATCACTTTAGGTGATTCTCTATGTCTTGGGTTTTAGTCTTTATTATCAAATTTAAAAAAAAATTCTGATGGAAGCAATTAGATAACTTTTGTGCTTAAATCCTACATAACAGGTTTTTTTCTTCACTTTTCTTGGACATGCTTTCAACCTCACTTGATGATATGACAAAGAGGAGGATTGAATTTAATGTTTTGTACTTCTGTTTACTGTATTAACTCTTAGGTGGTGCATGGTCTTTGTAGACCATAGATATTACTGCACCTATATTGTGATCATTTGACTAACACCTCTAGTTCTCTATGTAGTTTCTTGAGTGGGCTTTCCTCTGTTTGGTGAAATACATTTCTGTTACAAAATGTCCCTCTTTAAAATAGTTTGACTTGGTGGTTCCCTGTGTTATTATGAACTATGGTTTCTTGATACCCTTGGGTTTGTTTGGATGGAGAATTTTAAAATTCTAGAAAATATGAAAGTAATAATAAAAGATGCTTAGAGTGAGAGTTAAGTATGAGAAGAGTTATGAATGATAAATACAAAAAGTTAAGCAAAATAGAGAGATCTTTAAATTTTTTTCTAAAATCAAGTCATTTGAAATTCCTTCTATTTGACATAAAAATTATCTAGTTATATTTTTGTAGTATTTTAAAACTACTTTTCTTACTATCCAAAGACATGAATTGTAGTAATTTTGAAATACCCTATCCAAACACAACCTAAAATCCTATGTACCTTGAAAACATTTAATAGTTTTCAAAAGCAATATATGCATTTTACCATTTGGATCTTTAGGTTGTGTTTAGATAGAGTAATTCAAAATTACTACATTGCATGAATTTAGATAGTAAGGTAAAGTATTTTTAAAATACTGAAGAATTTTAACTAAATAATTTCTATACTAAATAGAGAGAATTTCAAAAGATTTTTAAGTGCTTAAATTTTTTATTTATCATTTATAAATCCTCTCATATTTGATCCTCATTTTAAGCATACTTCATTATTGATTTCATATTTTTTTAAATTTTAAAATTCTCCATCTAAACTTAATCTTAGTGTTTTTGTTACCATGAGTCATTAGTCATTAGTCATTACTCATTACATTTAATGGTGGAAGGTTTATGCATGTGTAAGTCTTCTTGTTGTGACTTGTGTGCACTGCATCCATACTTTAGAATTAGATGGACCCGATAAAAATGCCTTTTGGCGTAAATGAGTAAATTCATTAAATTTATTGTTGAAGATCTAGTATCTCATGTTAAACTCCCGAATGAATAGATTATGCTGGAAACTCCGCAAATATTATCTGGATTTCTGAAATTCTCTTATCCTTGTAACTGTAAGGGGAATAGATCTTCTCATATTAAAATTTAGCATGACAAGGCCATATAAAATTGAACAGTGCCAATGATACACTTTTTCTAATACACTCACTTATTAGTTGAAATTTTTTAGAAGTACGGACAAGTGAAAAAAATTAAATCAGAAGCAAGACCTGCATGATTTTTATGATTTCTAATAAATTTAAACCAATGATAAATATTGTATTTGAAATGGTGCATTGCTAGCATTTTTCTATAAAATTGGTACGTCTCTGTTCTGGTAAACAATAAGTGGGACCTATCTAATATTTATAAATAGCTATAGACGCAATTTCAACATGGCCTATCATGTGTGTGATAGGATTCTTTCCCAAGTGTTGCAATCGACATACAGTGCTGCCCATATCCCAACATTCCAATAATGTGCATTTAATATGCTTTGTAAGCAGAATGTGAAATGTTAACCCGTAGTTGCCAAAAGTAGATTTGCATGCTATGTAAAGTTCTTGCTATTGAAACTTGTATTCATTTTATGGTGTTTTCCTGCCATGACAGGGAGATGAAGGCTCTGAAGATGATGAGGGAAGGAAGAAGCATCACCACAAGCATCACTATCGCAAGAGTTATGATGATGAGTAATCAAAATGGCAGTGGTTGCTGTGTGAATTAAAGTCATCCCATAGTTATCTACTAAATAAAGGGTTGACGCATTACTCTCATGTCTTGAGCTTTAAGAACTGTTGGTCTAAACTATATATGTGATCGTTTTGGCTTTGGAGTTATAATAATGTTCGTCATGTATGAGTTGGTGTGTTAAATTATTTCTCTTATTAAATGTGTTTAAAAATTTTGCATGCATAGACTCAACATAAATACTATAACTAGTAGTGTTAAACTACGTGAATTTATGTTTATGTAAACGTTAAGTTTAAACACATTTTTAAGTTTGAATGCGTTTAGCTGTATACTGTCATATGCTTCCTAATTACCGCTGTGAAGTTTCAAAGGAAGATTTAAATCTTCATATAATATGCATAAGTTCCTAAATGAAAACCATATTAGAACACCAATGTTCGTTCCAAAAAGGTGTTATAAAGACGAGTGTTGTCATCTAAGCATTTAAGTTCGGGGTTGTCATTCATAAACCTAACTTCTAACTTTTTATGCTTCGTAAGATGATGGATTGTGAATTGTTAAAATTAATTGTGATAGGAAAAATGGTTTTAGTAGTTAAATATTTTGTTTTCTTTTGAACACAATATGATTTCAAGTTTAGGAATTATCAATTTTTAAAAAGGTATACTTATATTTACTCAAGGTGATTTTACTTGATGTACTTTTAAAATGTCGTTTCTAAATATAAATTAAATTTTCTAGCACTAATTATTTCTTCAATATTTTTTCGACGTTAATTGTTTCAAATCAATTTAACAAAATCTAAAGGAAATGAAAACAAGTCATGCAAAATAAGAAGTGTAAAGGTCAAATTTACTCTTTAGGAGATACGCAGAATGGCAAAATGATAACAATGTCATGGGTACAATGATGGGAATTTAGTCTAAAAACAATAGCTATATGTTAAGAAACTGGATATTTTGATCGCACACTACCAGAAAAGCATAGTGGCTTAACAGATGACATGCAAACAGTAAAAGAAAACTAATACCTAGGAAAATAATAAGGCTTAGTTATATCAACCAAAAGCACTAAATCAATTCATAGATAAGGTTGCTCCAGTAACATGTTCTTTAAATCAAGAGTTTGAATCATTGATAAGCTCCGCTACATAAAAACAGTAAACTTGCACACAACCTCATCATAATAATGGGCCAATCAATTAGAAAGGGATACATGGGAAGCCTGCCTTTGGTATTTCTTCGTTTTTTGTTGAAAAAAAAAGTAATTATTTTTTAAGTTTCAAAGCATAGATAAGAGGTACAACATAATTAAAATAGTTTCAGAATTAAAAAAAAAAAGTGTATTATTTTGTTAGTAAACAGATTTTATTATGAACATTTACATAAACTCTACGACCTGCATATTGCTTCCGTCTCAACATTCTCTTAATCTGCATAAGATTATTACGTGAAAAGTGACTGAAATTAATTAGCAATATCTATAGATTTTATTTGGCAATACATCAAAGATTAAAAATTAACAACGTTTCTTTTCTTCAAGTATTTTGGTAGATCTTAGCAATGGCACTAATATCATGAGCATGAATTATTTAAGAAAAATTATGTCTTTTTTCCTTTGATAAATGATTAGTTGCCGTTGATTTTCTCCAAGAAATTTTATTTGTTCAAAAACAAAATAAAATTTAAGAGGAGAATAAACTCTTTGAAATCTTTCATGAAAAGTAAACTTGAAGTTTTTCGTGTGTAAATGATAACACATTGAAAAAACCTGTAAATATAAATTCAAAAGCAAATATTATAATTAGTCACACCAAAATAATAAAAATATATCATTATTTAAATGTGAATCTAAATATACTTTACATTAAGTGCACTATAAAATGACGGCCAGATGTGCAGTTTCATCTTTCACCATTCATTATTTTTAATCACATTTTTTAATTAATATTTTATTTTATATATATATATATATATATATATATATATATATATATATATATATATATATAGCAAAAGATCATTGTCACTTTTCAAAAAGTATTTATTAAAAAAAAAAGTATAACGAAACACATTTCTTGTACAAGTTAAAAAATAATTTTTGTTTAAAATTAAATTATTTTATACTTAAAATTTTGAGAATATTTTCATTTAACTTTTCTAGAAGCAATTATACATAACAGGGCTCATAAATTTTTATTAGTTTGGGTTTACAATTGAAAATTTTCTATAAACTAGAAGCTAATCGAAATTCAGTCAGAAAATTTGATTTTAGGTGCTAGATACAAGATAAAACAATTTTTTTTTTCAAATTCCCTTTATCACTAATTCAATGTTAAATCATAAAGTAATAACATTCAGTGCTCATTCTGAACTGAAAAGAATAACTCAAACGTTCAGATAACAAATCAAAGTGCCTTGGGATATTGTTTCTAAGATCTAGCAATTCAATGTAACGTATTCAGCAACAATTTGTAATTATCATAAATTAAGAGAAATATGAACTAATCATACATTTGGATACACAAGGATCAGCCAGGCAAACAGAAAATAAAAAAATACAGAAACAAAAATGAAAATAATTTTAGTGGAAGAATTTAGAGGAGCTTCTTCCTCTCAAAGAATGTCTTCAAATGCCATAGTTGCAAACCAGCCACAGACAAGCAAACCACAATGGAAAGGAAACTGAAGGTAAACATCTTTGAGTTGGTTGCTTTGTTAAGTTCTTGCATCTCTTCCTCCCTACATCAGCCACATGGATAAAAGGTCATCAAAATTCAGGGAAAAACTCCATTAAAATGGATACAAAAAATTTATGTTGAATGCATCACCATGTGGAGCCAAAGCCAAACCTTACAAACTTAAAAAATAAAATAAAGCCTGTCATCAACAAGTATAACTATCTGCCTCATCCTTGGCATATCACTCTCATAAACCACACAGAATAACGTTTATGTAAAGAAATTCATTTACAGGGGAAACACGTATGTTTGGAATAAAAGAGAGCAAAATTTTCATCCATTCCAACTCGTTAAATGATTAGAAAAGAGGACATGGTAAGAGGAGGAAGTATTAAACTCATAAATTCTCTATCATTTTTTTTAATTAATTAGGTCTGAGGGTTTGCTATGCAGAGCCAGGGATTTCATCCCTACCTCTATCTCAAGGAGAGAGACAACATTGAGTAATAGACTCTTGGATGTCAAACACAAAGAGAATAGCAAAAGCTGATGCAAGGCATCACAGTAGTCAAACATTTATTTCTGCATGCATATGGAAAACTTAGGAGGAATATACACACACAGCCGTACCAAGAGATATCCCTTCCAGCAAAAGATCCCAATATCTATCTTCTGAGCCAACAACATATTCCATTTATCTTCCATATAAAAGAATTTTAAATGAACTCAACAAAACATCATGTCCATCAAACCATTGTGCACTACATGAATTACATAACAACATAATAAGACTTGTTGGCAGAAGTCATAACATTTATACCTTTCACGAAGATAAAACATCTCATCATGGATGGATGAGACAGTGTCATACAGCTTCTTCAACTCAAATTCCATTACCTAGATAATGGGGAAAGAAACAACACATTAAAAAAATTCCCTATAACATACAACGATGAAAGAAATTAGGATAGTACTTAGAATTGACTCACTAGTTTGTGTATATTCACATAAAATCTTTTAGGTATTAAACAGGGAATTAAAAAGATGACAGACATGAAAGAACAACGATATAACAAATGTTTTGTACTAGTGAGATTGGACATCTTATGCAAGAAAGATACTCGGACAAACATAAAGAATGGGTCAGCTAAGGTAAAAGTGGGAATACAGCAGTGTAAAACCAAATCTGGGTTACTGGTACATCCTTTCTCAGACAGTTTACAGCAGTTCTTAATTTTCTCTACAAATACAATCTGAACTAAATTTTCAGAAAGCTCTATTTACTGAGTCGTTTTAAACAAACATCTTGTGCATTTCATAACAGAAAAACGGCTGAATAAAATATTTAAACTGTAAATGAGTTCAAGAGCAATAAGGGAAACCAAGAAAATCATGATATTATCTCCCTATATTCATATTCTCAACATCTTCAACAAGTAGCCAATAAAACCAAGACAAGGATACTCTATGTCACTGTATTCCAGATAGAATGGGACGACAGCATCATAGCATTGTTAGTTAATAATTCTGCAGTTGTACTGTCTTCCCTTTCTTGTTACCGACCATATACATTCAAATGCCAAGTCAAGGAACATAACAAACAATACTACTTACTTCAATCTGCCCTTTCTTGGCAACCTTAGACCAGTCTTTAGCGGCAACCCCAGTTTTCCATTCAAAGTCTATGGTCACAGTTGAAGGGGCACCCTTGCCATCTGGTATCCAAAAACAAGCTGAGTAATCACCAGCCTCAGCTGCGGTAAATGCGAAATTACCAGAATCCACATGATCCCCATAGTGATAACTGTTTCCATGAGGAGAAGTCACCTTGCAAAACATTTCACAAAGTTAATCTTACAGAGACAAACCACAGGATTCCATTATCCCAACAATTATACAGCGTTCGAAATTCAGAAAGCTTAGAACTCAAAACAAATCATTAACGACTAAGAAACAGTGTACAACTGTCCTCCCATTTGAGATTCAATATTTTTTTTTTTCCTTTTTTTGGATAAAAATTCAATTTTTTTTCCATGTTGGTTTCCATCCACTTCTAACCTTAGACATCACGAAGTGCATTTTCACTTTCTGAAGATAATTAATTCATAGAAAAAGAAATAATAATAAAAAACAAATTAGGCACAAATCAAAACAAGGGTTTGGCGATCGAATCACAAAGTTACCTTGACAATGATCTTGTGGGAATCAGGAAGTGGGTAACCTTCGTTGGGATTAACGACACTGTACTTTCCCACAGTCATGGCATTGGTCTTGATGTCGTCTGATATGCACTTGGTGTGAGTCAACGGTAACTCGAATCTCATAGAATTGGCGAGGCCACACATCAATGCGAGGGAGAAAAGTGCAATGAGAAGAACCGAATTGGACATTTTGTTAATGGCGTGTTCTCAAATTGGGGCAAATTGGGATCTGAGGGACAGGGTTTGAATGAGAACGGAGAAGAGGAACCAAAGCGGCAATGGAGAAGAGGCACAGTGAACGCAGAACGGAGAGATCCAATGGGAACGACTGGGATTTTCGTTTTCTTACGGTAAAAAAACTACTACGCCTTTCGATGATAGCATAAAATTAAATTATATCCTCATTTATTTCTGATGTTTATTATTTAAACAGTTTATTCTATTCACTTATTTTATTTTTATTTATATTTTTTAATATTTTACAAAAATGATTATTTTAAAAATATAATTTTAATATTTTTATAAAAAATATAATTATTTTCAAATTTTAAAAAGTATAATTACAAAAATTTATTTAACATCTAATATATATTTAATATAAAAATATCTATTATAAAATTATATATATAAACATTCGATATATTTAAAAATTAATATACATGATTGACATAAACTTATTCTCTTATTTAAACCAATGAATTGATAAAATTTAATATATATATATATATATATATATATATATATATATATATATATATATACATATTACACTCAAAGTTAATACTTTTAGAGTATAAACAAATTCTTGAGATCAACTTATAATTAAAACCTCTAAGAATATTTATTTAAAAATTAACCTTCTATCATTAAATATTAAAAATTTTAATTTTGATGTACTTAAAAGGTGTTATATTATTAATTAATGAAAATGCATAATATTAATGACTTTTAAATTAATTGCCACAAAAATATTGATTTTTGTTGATATAAAAATTTATACTTAAACAAATTTGTAGTGTCAATATATTATAATGAAATTCACACTAATCAATTAAAATATATAATAGATACACTATTATTTAATCATAAATTGTTATATCAACAAATTTTTTTAATTTTTATAATAATTAATTAAAAATATTTTAATTGAATTTTCCATTGATTGAAAAGGTAAAAGTTTTAGCATTGAGAATTCTTTGAAGTATAATATAATTCATCTACTCACATTTCACAGATAAGGTATTTATTTATTTCCTTTTCATTAGACAGTTTCTTTTTTTTACTAGTAGATTTATTTTCTAAAAAAATATAATAAACGGAAAATAACGAATTATTAAATAATATGATTCGTATTATTGACACAAAATTACATTATTTCTTTTGAATAATTTTAAATATTATATTATTAATCCCATAATATAAATATGATTCGTACTTTGAATCTTAACTTCTTAATAACTATTGTGCCATTGGATAAATAAAATATATATCACGTTAGAGTATATTTAACATGTCATTTAATTAATTCATAATTTATTTAACTAATTTATAAATTTATTTGACTAAAATATTGGTGTTTAATGAGCAAACTTATTTTCCTAATATTTTGTTTGTTTAATGGCAGTGTAAAAAATGAAATTGAAGAAATGGAGTGACACATTTTAAAAAAATTTCTTACCACTTTTTTTTAAGCATTAATGTTTTATTAAAAATAAAATCAAAGTATATAACTCATTACATCTCCAAAGAAATTTACTCTTTTTTTTTTATACTTTTAGTGTATTCTTTTTCTCTTCTTTCATTATAGTTACTTTCATAGACCAAACAAAATATAAATGTTACTTAAAATAATAATAATAATAATAACAATAATAATAATAATAACAACAATAATAATAATAATAATAATAATAATAATAATTATTATTATTATTATTATTTCAATACTTTAATAAAACTTCTCATTTATAACTTATATAAGCAATTTGATGGCTATTTCGTGCTTCCTCTCTCAAAAGTTGATTTGATCTCTCCTGTATTTTTAAGACTAAATAATATATATATATTACAAACAAATGTCAAATAAGAATATAAATTTTGAAACTATTTGATATAATATCATTTTATTGATAATAAAAAAGTATAAATTAAAATATGAAATATGAATAATGTATTCAATTTTAAACTTAAAAATAATAATTAACTTTATTTCATTTTAATGACAATTGATTGATATTTATTTTATTTAGCGTTACATGTTGATTGATATTCAATTTTTATATTTAATTTTTAAAATATCATATTTTACTAAAATATGATATTTTAAAAATTTAAGAAAATACAAAAACTCAAAAATCACTAAATACAAAGGCTCAGAACTAGAAAAAAAATAATATAAAAGTTTGCTATTGACATTTAAAAAAATAAATAAAAGAATGTCATTAATTTTTGTTTGAAATAATAAAAATTTATAAAATACTACAAAATATTATTGATGAATTTTGATAATATCTGCACTAAAAAGCATCATAAATATATGTTTTCATATATTTTTTAAAATTTAATAATTTAGTATTTAAATTTGTTGTCATATAAAAGAGGCGTGTAATATTGTAGATCTTGAACGAACAAGGCAATCAAATAAAACTTAGAAAGGACCCATTCAACATTTGTGAGTGTAGTCCACACAGAGTGGAAGGACATGGTAGTCCAAATGTTCAATCAGTCATTTCTAATTTCATATATATCTATATATAAAAGATATATCATTTATCATTTTTTGTGTGGCTTTTTTATATTTTTTATTTTAAAATTACAAAAATATGGTTGTCAATTTTAAGTTTTAAAATATTTAAAATATAAATTTTTAATTAATTTTATAATTTTTATAAAATTTTGACATTAAATCTTAAATATTATATACATATATCTATATATTTAATCAATTTATTAATTAATAATAATCATAATCATCATTATCATAATACATGTGGTGGTAGCACGGACAATATTAATCACAAATATAACAACATTAATTATTATTATTATTATTATAACAATAATAATTAATATAATAATTGTAATAAAAATAATAGTAGTGACAATAATGTTTATTAAGTAACGATAATAGTAAGTAATCCTCATAACAAAAATAATAATTGTCATATTTTTTCAAGGAAAAATAGATATGTTTTTGTATAATCAAAAATAAGAAAATCAATCTACTTTTTAAAAGATATAGATTTTTTTAAAATTAAGTAAAAATTTAATTTAACTTTATTTTAATTAAACGTGTTATATTTTAAAAGTAATATTTGAAAATAAAAAGTTAAGAACTCTCAACCATTTTGAATAAGTATGGAGTTTTTGGTTTTCCAAAATTTATAATTTTTTATTTGTCTTTAGTTTTTTTAGTAAACCAAGTCACTTTTCAGCTGCGTAAGGTTGAAATGTCTTACCTAATACACTCAAAGTATGGTGCACTTTTAATTATCATAAACATTATAATTTTTTATTTGATCCTAAAATAAGAAATTAGATAATTATCTTCTGATATTTAGAAGGTCAAGGAGAAAAAAAATAGCAAAAATATTATTTTTTATGAGAGTCTGATTCTAAAAAAATAAAAACAACAAAGGAAAAATGCAATTTTTTTTTTTATCATTTAAGCGAATTGAATTTATAATAACTAAATATTTTGAAGGGAAGCATCTACGAGATCTGAGATCATTTTACCCAAATAATTCAAAAGCTGACGCAACAAAGCTGATTGAACATAGCATAGACTGACATTAAGATTTTTATATAAAAGATGAATCATTCCTTTATATATATATATATTTATATGATTCAGTTGTATTTGAATGATTGATATTAAAAGAACTTTGAAGTCATGTTATATTTTTATTTTAGCTATTAATGACATACTCTAACTATTAAAAGTTTTTCTCAATCAAATAGGGAATATATGTGACAACAAATATGATCCATCATAAATAATTGAAAAAAAAAAAACACTTGAATCATGCGAATTTCTTTAAAAAATTATATAGTTTTTTAATTGATACGTATAGAGTAATTATTTAGAAACAAAAATAGAGAAAAAGAGAGTTTATAAAGAATCCAATGTTTGTACACAATTCCAATTCAAACTCTTCGTCCCTAGGCCTTAGAAGTACACGTCCACATATTGTCCACTATTGGCTATAATCTTTAAATAAATTAACCCTTTCTTCTCTACCATACACACCATTTACCAGTAGAGCTTCATCAAGAAAAAAAATGGAGGAGAAAAATAGAGGGCACTTTTTGGTGTTGGCATATCCAGGTCAAGGTCACATCAATCCCATGCTTCAATTCTCCAAGCTATTGCAACATCAAGGGGTGAGAATAACCTTGGTTACCACTCTTTTCTACCTCAAGAACTTGCAAAAAGTGCCTCCTTCAATTGCACTTGAAACGATTTCTGATGGGTATGATGAAAATGGGCCTAACGAAGCTGGAAGCTCTAAGGTCTATTTAGATAAATTTTGGCAAGTTGGGCCAAAGAGTTTTGGGGATCTTCTTGAGAAACTTGGTGCATTAGGGAACCATGTTGATTGTGTTATTTATGATTCATTCTTTCCTTGGGCAGTAGATGTTGCCAAGAAATTTGGGATAGTTGCAACTGCTTATCTCACTCAAAATATGGCTGTCAATAATATATACTATCATCTTCACTTGGGAGAGCTTAAAGCACCTCTCACACAACATGAGATTTCCCTTCCTATGTTGCCCAAACTTCATCATGAGGACATGCCTTCTTTCTTCTTTACCTATGTAGAAGATCCAACTTTGCTTAATTTCGTAGTGGATCAGTTCTCCAATATCCACAAAGCTGATTGGATCCTATGCAATACATTCTATGAGCTGGATATAGAGGTAAGAAGAAGAAGAAGTTGATTACATATTAAAATAATCAACATTTGAGCATTTAATTTACATACCCTTTTAGTATGACGTTTTTATATCAATTAAGTATTGTGCCATTAGTAAAAGATTGACTTTTGATGTAAAGAACCCAACTTCTTTTTTAATAATATAACTAGGGAGTGTCTATTATCATTCTAAAATATTTATAATCACTTTTTATTAAGTTTTTTATTATTAGTTTAATAAACTAGTAAAAAATATTTTATGGAAAATATATTTTAAAGTGATAATAAACTCATTGTGTGAATATTTTTTTTAAAAAAAATTATCTTTTAAGCTTTTAATTTAAGTCCTCATGCATAGTGCATATTCATGATTTGTTTTTCACACATAATTTATAATTTATACTCTTAAAAAATTCCAATTTAGCAAGTAATGTTTTGTAACTAGAAATTGGTTTTAGATTGTAGATTGGATCACGAAGATTTGGCCAAAATTTAGGACCATAGGACCAAACATACCATTGAAGTTCTTGGATAAGCGATATGAAGATGATCAAGATTATGGGGTTGCAGAATTCAAGAGTGAAGAATGCATAGAATGGTTAGACGATAAGCCAAAAGGGTCTGTTGTTTATGTATCCTTTGGGAGTATAGCTTACTTTGGAGAAGAGCAAATGAAGGAACTAGCTTATGCTTTGAGAGAGTGTTCAAATCACTTCTTATGGGTAGTTAGAGCCTCTGAAGAGATTAAGCTTCCCAAAGATTTTGAAAAGAAATCAGAGAAGGGTTTGGTGGTGACATGGTGCTCTCAGCTAAAAGTTTTAGCCCATGAAGCAATAGGATGCTTTGTAACACATTGTGGTTGGAATTCAACATTAGAAACTTTGTGCTTAGGAGTCCCAACAATTGGAATACCATTTTGGTCAGATCAAAACACAAATGCAAAGCTTATGGTAGATGTTTGGAAAATGGGAATCAGAGCTCCAATGGATGAAAACAAAATTGTACGAGGTGAAGCACTAAAGCGTTGTATAAGGGAAATAATGGAGAGTGAAAGAGGCAAAGAGATGAAGAGCAATGCAATTCAATGGAAGACTTTGGCTGCAAAAGCTGTTAGTGAAGGTGGAAGTTCTTACAAAAATATTATAGAATTTTTGAGTAACTTGTTCCCTTCACATACTTGATGCTCTCAATTTCAATTTCAATTTACTTTCATGAACCTGGGTGGATTATTATAATTAAGAATGTCCTTTATCAGAAAATAATATAAAATAAAGATTGTCAATTCCTCTATAATATTTTTTTATTATTATCTTTCGTATTGCCTTCTTTGGGTATATATATATATATATATATATATATATATATATATATATATATATATATATATATATTTATCGTTTAAAATATCAATGTCATTATTTTCCAATATACATATCCATAAATCGTATGAGTCGACATGAGTGTGATAAAATGAGTGAAAGAGAATGGCAATTATAATGCTTCATAACAATGCTGTGGTGGTGTTGGTGTGGCCTATCGAATTGCATCAACAATGAAATTTTGTGTTTAATACAGAGGAAAATTACTGATAAGAGCCCATTTTTCATTCTCCTTCTTAAATATTAAATAAAAATATAATATTTTTAATTTTCAAAATATTAAATAAACTACAATTGTCAATTTAAAGAGAATATATAATATTTTTTTAAGTTTCATAATAAGCACTTTGTTCTAATTTGAACCACAGAAATATAAAAAATACCCAGAATCAAAATACGTTAAAAATTCAAAATCAATCATAAAAATTGAAACACTATTTTGGGTACCCAATAGCTGAGGCTTGTTCTTGTTGATGTCAATAATTCAGAGGAAAAGTTTTTCTGTGGTGGTCCAGCTACTCACGTGATGGTATTATATATACAATAATTTTTTATAAATTATAAAATTTTGATATAATATAATATAATATAATATAAGAAGGCTGAATTGCACAAGACAGAGAATAATTTTCCTGTGATCATTGGGATGGACACTGCCATTTGACTCGTGTAATTGTATAACAATACTAGTTCCTTCGTCGAAAATACATATTTAAAATTATAATAATCGATGATAATTTACAATTTGTTTATTTTTGAAATATTTTACTTGTTCTTAAAAATTTAAATATAATAATTATTTATTTATCAATTTAGATTTATCATACAATAATCCATTTTCTATTTATTGTGTAATCAATAAATTATTTAATATTATATTAATTCTATAGGGTCATGAATTTTATGTATAGATAGATAGATTGTCAGTTTAATTTGATAAAAAATGTAAATATATTTAAAATTATAATAACTGATAAAAATTCATGTTGTTTTAAAATAATAGTAAAAGTTAATTAATATTTTATTTGATAACTTTTATGTACTATATAATTATTCATTCCAAATTATAGTGTATTCAATATGTTATTTAATAACCATTATAGTGCAATAAATTTTATGTATGTTCAAAATATTTTTTAATGAAAAAAATTGTAAATGTGTATTTAAAATTAAAATAATTAATAACAATTTATATAAAAGAACTAAAATAAAATATAAAATATTAAATAAAAAAGTTAGGGGGTAGGAGGGGCGGTCATCTATAACAATGAATCCTAGTGTCACTGCTAACCACTAACCATTAATTGTTGTGACATTGTTGTCTCTGTGTGTCTTGTGGGTCATTACATATTCTGTGTGGATAAGAATGATATTCTTATATTTGTATAGTATTTTTTATTTATTTTACCACATCATATCTATCTTGTTTATTAAATTTCTTGATATTTCTAATGTAATTTTTTTCCCTCTCTTGTCATTTATATCTATAATTCAAATGATGGGATGGAATTAATAAAAAGGCATAGAACAGGAAATTGTGTAAAAATAAGATAATTAAAAATAAAAATAAAAAATTATTTTTTTTCATTTGTCTGAATGAATAAAAAACAGAATAGAAATAAATGATATAAATTTTTTTATAATAATATTATTATTTGATGAAACGATAAATCTTTTAATATAATTTTTTTATATTTATTTTTCTAAATATTTTCATTTTTTATTATCTTAAAAATTATCTAACATTAAAATAAAAAATTATCTCTTTATTTACCGTTCATTTTACGGCTAAAGTAAGGATGAAATGAATGAAAGTAAGTTAATTTTAAATAATAGAAAAATTATTTTCAGAGACTTATCTAGATAAATTTAAAATGAGAGAGTAAATAAAAAAAGTATGATTTTTTTAAAAGAACAAACTTTATAAAAATCAAAATTAAACGAAACATAAAACTATAAAATACATGTAGGATAAAAAAAATTTGAACAATAGAAAGATAACTTGGAGCTTATTTGTTTCTGTTTTTATTTTTAATTTTTAAAAATTATATTTTAAAATAATTTTTAAAAATTATATTTTAAAATAATTTTTAAAAATTATATTTTAAAATAATTTAAAAAAATTATTTTTAAGAAAAATAAAAATAAAAACTTCTGTTAATAATCATAGTTTTTATTTTAAAAAATTTAAAAATAGAAAACAAATATAATCTTAATTTATACATAGTTTATTTTTTTTATTTTTTTGGTATGGCTTAATTTATAGAATTTGTCTGTTTGCGCTCAAGTAAGCCTTTTCCTTTTACGAAATATGAAAATTTCTTAGGCACAAAGTTACCAGAACTTCCAAATTATAAAACTAACTTAGAATTCTACTTTTGGTCTAAACTAAAATGGCTAAAAAATGTACTGAGGATACATGACAATGCTTCATTTGAAGAGTACTTCACGTCTTCTTAATATGTTTTGATGGACCACAGAACTAATTATAAGTGATCTAAATAAGGAAAAGGAAACTTCACTTACAAAGGATAACAAAAAGGCAAGATCTCTCATTAAATTAAAGAAACAAATATTAATAATAAATAAATTCATGAATTAGTTATAAAATAGTTAAAATAATTTCTAGGAGATTAATGAAAAAATATTATTATATACAATTATCTTTATCACTTTTATTTTATTTATTAATTAATATACACAAATCTAAAAAGTAAACTCTAAAATAATAATAAAAAAAACATTTTGTTGTTTGATCTTGTTATTAACGAAACATTATCCCAATTATTGAGCATCACCTTTTAATGCATCTTATCTATCAAGACATAATCTTACTGACCAATTAAAATTGTTTATTATTGTCACACTTTTAATTGGTGGGCCAATGCCATGTTTGGTTGACATTAAATGCAACAGAGAAATTTTATATTATTGGCTTTGATTTTGTCCTTATAAATCAACCCCTTTTCCTCTCCACTCATCACACTCTCACCGCTGTCTTCACACAAATGGAGAAGAAAAGCATAACTAGCAGAGCACATTGTTTGGTGTTAGCATTTCCAGCTCAAGGTCACATCAATCCCATTCTTCAATTCTCCAAGCTATTGGAACATCAAGGGGTGAAAATAACACTAGTTACCACTCGTTTCTATTGCAAGAACTTGCAAAAAGTGCCTCATTCCATTGCACTTGAAACCATTTCTGATGGGTTTGACAAAGATGGGCCCACATCGGCTGAGAGCCCAAAGGCATACATAGATCGTTTTGGGCAAGTTGGGCCAAAAACTTTTGGTGAGCTTATTGAGAAACTTGGTAAATCAAATGACAATGTTGATTGTGTTGTTTATGATTCATTTTTCCCTTGGGCACTAGATATTGCCAAGAGATATGGAATAATTGGTGCTGTTTATCTCACTCAAAATATGACTGTCAATAGTATATACTATCATGTTCACTTGGGAAAGCTACCAGTTCCCCTCACAGAACATGAGATTTCCCTTCCTATGTTGCCCATACTTCAACTTGAGGACATGCCCTCTTTCTTCTTTTCATGGGCAGAAGATCCATCTATGCTTGATTATCTTGTGGATCAGTTCTCAAATATTGACAAAGCTGATTGGCTCCTATGCAATACATTCTACGAGCTAGATAAAGAGGTAATTAAATAGATTCTGATTAAAATGCACATTATTTGTTATACATGGATGCGTTTAATTAAGTGCATTTTATATGTGAAATTGTTATGTGATCAATAAATAATATATAGTAGTTCATTTATATTTTTTATTTCCATTATTTAGCAAGTAATGTTTTGTAACTAGAAATTGCTTTTAGATTGTAGATTGGATCACGAAGATTTGGCCAAAATTTAGGACCATAGGACCAAACATACCATCGATGTTCTTAGATAAGCGATATGAAGATGATCAAGATTATGGGGTTGCAGAATTCAAGAGTGAAGAATGCGTAGAATGGTTAGACGATAAGCCAAAAGGGTCTGTTGTTTATGTATCCTTTGGGAGTATAGCTACCTTTGGTGAGGAGCAAATGGAGGAACTAGCTTGTGGTTTGAGAGAATGTTCAAGTTACTTCTTATGGGTGGTCAGAACCTCCGAAGAGATTAAGCTTCCTAAAGATTTTGAAAGGAAGTCAGAGAAGGGTTTGGTAGTGACATGGTGCTCTCAGCTAGAAGTTTTGGCTCATGAAGCTATAGGATGCTTTATAACACATTGTGGTTGGAACTCCACATTGGAAACTTTGTGCTTAGGAGTCCCAACAATTGCAATACCCTATTGGTCAGATCAAAGCACAAATGCAAAACTTATGGTAGATGTTTGGAAAATGGGAATTAGAGCTCCGATTGATGAGAAAAAGATTATTAGACGAGAAGCACTAAAGCATTGTATAGGGAAAATAATGGACAGTGAAGAAGGCAAAGAGATGAAGAGCAATGCCATTAGATGGAAGACTTTGGCGGTAAAGGCTGTTAGTGAAGGTGGAAGTTCTCACAAAAATATTTTAGAATTTTTGAGTTCATGCTCTCAATTATAAATTGTTCTTAATCAGACAAATCATTCTTACTTTTATATTTTTAAGAATATGAATGGTTGGTTGTAATTTATTATATATAAATTTTTATTTTGTTTCATTGAACATTGAGGCGAGAACAACAATTTACATGTGAAGCAAAATTGGGAAAGTATAATTTTTATCTTTGAAGTTAAAACAAAAATATCTAACTTTACCACAAAGTAAGCTGAAAGTATAGATGGAGACGAAAAAAATTAAAGCATGAGACTGATGAAATTTGAACGAAAATATATTAAGGACTGCTAGCTGATGATATGGGCATTGTGTTTTTGAGAAATTTGATTTTCCTTTTTTCCTTTTCTCTTATGAATAAAGAAAAAGGTAAATATAATTAAACACTAGTATGCTTGATTTTGTGTTGAGAACCAAATTACACTACAGCAATTTTCTTTTACTTCAAAAAACCAGGGTTACAAAAAGTTCTTTTTATTACAAAAAACATGAAATTTCTCTTATAATCTATAACCAAACAGACTCTAACATCGTAATACAATTTAAAAACATTCTTTTTTCACTTGAACACATATAGTCAATATATTGATATTAGTTGTTAAATTTGAACATTTATATCACATAATAATTTTTCATAAAATATGAATTGATCAATTTAATAGCTAATTTGAAGATTCATTAAAGAGTTTAAATTTATAAAATTTTATATAAAAATAAAATTTATAAATATTTCTTTATTTTACTTTATTTTAATAAGTATTATGTTTGTCATGTATAAATAAATATTAAATTTTAAATAATATGCTTATAAATATTTAAATTATATAAAATTTGATATATATAATAATATAATATAATATAAAATGATTTAACAGTTAAATTATTTAATTTTGTATTAAAAGTTATTCAGAGATATAAGTATTTAAGTTGATACTTAGTATCAAATGATGTGTGTATAAAAATAAATAAATAATAAATAAGAATAATAATATAGAATGTAACGTGGAGCCCTTTATTTCTGCCATGGTTTATAAAGGTGAGGCAGCATTAAAGTTTTGGCACACGAGTTTGCGTCCACAAATTCTTTATTGTACTGGCCTCATCATGTTCTGTATGTCAACCCCTCTCTTCGTCACCATACCAATAGGAAGGAAAGTTTCATGAAAGAAATGGAGAAGAAAAGCATAACTAAGAGAGTGCACTGTTTGGTGTTAGCATATCCACTTCATGGTCACATCAATCTCATGCTTCAGTTCTCCAAGCTATAGCAACGTCAAGGGGTGAGAATAACCTAGGTTACCACTCGTTTCTATAAGAAGAACTTGCAAAAAATGCCTCCTTCCCTTGCACTTGAAACAATTTCTGATGGGTATGATGAATATGGGCCTGAAGAGCGGAAGTTCCAAGGCCTATTTAGATCACTTTTGCTGAGCTTCTTGAGAAACATGATTCATTAGGGAACCATGTTGACTGTGTTATTTATGATTCATGTTTCCTAGGGACTAGATGTTGCCACGAGATTTAGAATATTTGGTGCTGTTTTTCTCACTCAAAATATGATTCTCAATAGTATATACGATAAATGTTCACTTGGGAAAGCTACAAGTTCCCCTAACCCAGCATGAGTTTTCCCTTCCTGAATTGCCTAAACATCAACTAGAGGACATGCCTTCCTTTTTCTTGACGTATGTAGAAAATCCATTTTTGCTTAATTTTTTGTGTGGATCAGTTCTCTAATATAGACCAAGCTGACTGGATTCTATGCAATACATTCTACGAGCTGGAAAAAAAGGTAAGAACACACAGATTAGTATACATATACACATTCTACTTATCTGCAATTAATTTGAATGCATTTTCAGTGGGAAGTTTTTATATAAACACACAATTATGTGTTGTGACATTATTAAAATAAATACTTTAGAGATAAAAAATCAAACCTCTTCTAATAATGTAACAATATATGGTTGATTCATAATGTATAAAGTTGTTACATGCATCAAAGTTTATATGCATAAATCTTGGTTCATTTTAGCATGTAATGATTGGGGGTTAGAAATTGACTTTGGATAGCAGATTGGATCAAGAAGATTTGGCCACAGTTTAGGAACATTGGACCAAACATACCATCTATGTTCTTAGATAAGAGATATGAAGATGATCAAGATTCTGGGGTTGCACAATTCAAGAGTGAAGAATGCATAAAATGGTTAGATGATAAGCCAAAAGGGTCTGTTGTTCATGTATCGGTTGGGAGTTTAGCTTCCTTTGGTGAAGAACAAATGTAGGAACTAGCTTACGGTATGAGAGAGTGTTCATGTTACTTCTTATGGGTGGTTAGAACCTCTGAAGTGATTAATCTACACAAAGATTTTGAAAAGAAATCAGAAAAGGGGTCGATAGTGACATGAGGCTCCCAGCTACAAGTTTTAGCTCATGAAGAGCTATAGGATGCGTTGTAACACATTGTGGTTGGAACTCCACATTGGAAACTTTGTGCTTAGGAGTTCCAAAGGTTGCAATACCATATTGGTCAGATCAAACCACAAATGCAAAACTTATGGTGGATGTTTGGAAAATGGGAATTAGAGCTCCACTTGATGAGAAAAAGATTGTGAGGCGAGAAGCACTAAAATATTGTATAAAGGAAATAATGGAGATTTAGAAAGGTAAAGCTTAGTCTTTAAATTTTAAATAATGGAGAAGCACTAAATATTGCATCAGTCATGCAACTAAGGTTTTGCTCTATATTTAGAAAGATTCAAGGGTCAAAGCCCATATAATTGTAGATATATAGGAAATTTTTTTATTAATGTAATTTAATACAAGATTTATAGATAATTTTAGGTTTAGTTGTGTTTTTAATTGAAGGGTCATTTTTTTTTGTCTGTGTTAGAAATAATCTGGTGTTCTCAAATTTAAAAGGTCTAAATAAGTTGATTCCACTGTGAATATAATAGAATGTTACACTGTTATGTTAACCCTACAAATTATTAAAGGGTAATTTTATTTGTTAATAGAATTTTACTGAAGTTTAATTTCTTTTATATTTCTTATTGTTTGTCATTCTATTGATTTTTCTTTTATTCAAAATTGTGAAGTCTTTATTTTTTTTACTTAAAATATTCACAAACACAACCAATTAAACTATGTTAAATATTTTTCAGTTCAAGCTTTACTAATTAGAATTTTAGAGATTTTATTCATAATAAAAATATCAAACATTTTTTCTCCTTGAAACACTAAGATAACTTATAATAAAATTTTTAAGATCAAACTATATATTTAATCCTTATAATTATCACACATTTATGAAATAGTATTTGTACTTAAAAAAAATTATATTTTAGTCTTTATATAAATATTTTTGTTAAAAAATGTTTAAACATTTTATGAGTTGTAGATATATTCTTATCAAGAGAAAAAGTTAAAACTTTTTATTTCTTTCGTAATATGTTCTATTCGTAATGAAATTATTTAAAAATAAGTATATAATGATCAAGTTTGAGTAAACTATTTCACAAATATTGATATAAAAAAGAAGTTAAACTGAATCTTCTTTTTTTTTTTATAATTTATTTTATCTTTTTATTTCTTTACTATAAATATTTATTAAAAAATACATCCAAATTAGACCGAAATATGAATTTTTCTTGCCATGGCCAGGAACTTTTATCCAGCCAAATTATGCTTAGTTTAGAGAATTCAATCATAAACAAATTAAATTTGCTTGCTGCTAGAAATATTGGCAATATACTGTCCAATTTGCTAGTTTATATTACCTCAGATGCCTTTTATTTTTTAACTATTTTATTATAATCGATAAAAATAATGATATATTATAAATTTATACTGTATTTAAAAAATATACATGGTATTAAATAGTCAAATTAATAAATGAATACCTATTGTTATTTGAACAGTGGATGAATGTCTTATTAATACAAATATCACAATAAACAAAGATAAAAGAATACAGCAATTAATACTTTTAAAAATAAGTTTTATTTCTTATAATTAAAAAAATATCAGTAGTTTTATTTTTATTAAAAGAACTGAAGGTAGTATATGTCAATAATTGAACAAAATAGACTAGGCAAAGCACGTTTTGCACTTCAGTGCATTCTAAACTTGTGGCCAAGTGATTAACAAGGCTAAATGGTTGTCCGTGAACATGTTCTAATGACCACTTCCATCTAACTATGAAGGATATTAACAGAGAAGGGCAGAATTAATATATGCCAGAACAATGAGGAGAGAACCATGGACATGCAGAGACAAAGGTATGATGCATTGGAAAACTTGGCATAATTAAGCGTGTATTCAATAAGCTTTTTTTTACATTAAGGCTTATACCATACTTTTACCATAAAATTTATTGAAATAATTTGAAAAGAATTTGAATGTTATAAGCTATTTTTATAAATTTTCCGTAAACTCTTCCAAACAGCATTGTAAAGGAATAGAAATTTGAACACAGGAAATAGGAATTCCTGTATAGTAAGCCAAAGAAAAGCTTCTCGTTTCAATAAAGAGACTGCAAATATCTAGGAAAAGTCGGGTGCAATTTAAATGAGTCTTGTTGACTAATGCTTTAAGGACACTGATTAATATTTGTCTTTAAATATTTGGACACATACACCTATAAAGCAAAACCATGAAGACTATACAATTGTTTGATTCCTCACTGAAAATCAGATCTCATATAGTTCTATAACATAATCCAGAGGCACTGTCAAGGCCTAGTTTGCACACTCCCATCTTTGACCGGGTTATTTTTGTGTTATGCCAGTCACTGTGCAAGCTATGCTACATAGTAAACATTGATATAAAAGTGAAGGGAAAAAAAGGTAATGTTCAGGTGTTATTTTCCAAGTTAAATGCTAAATAAAGTACATCTCATTAGTTAACATGTAATTTATTGTATATACGAACAAAAAGATACGATTTCATAAACAAGGCTGAATTAGGAACCCAAAAGAAGATAAATAAAGCAACCATAAAAGAAAAGATGTCCTACACAGAGTCATCTTGGTTTTTACCAACACCTTCTTCATTCTGCAAGGTAGCTGGAGAATTTGCTGCAGAGTTTTCAGCTGTTATAGCACCAGTACCATCACCATCTTGGTTGCTGAAGAGGGAAGAAAATGAAAAAGGATTGCACGTTGAGCTTGCTTTTTGAAGACCCTTTATGGCTCTCATAGCGGCGAGAGTGCTACGATATATATACACGGTTTCCTCCCCAAGAGTTGAGGAAGCCTCAGGTACGACGTTTGTTGCGTTATCCACCGGTGGCCTAGACTGATTTTCCGGAAGAGGATTCGATTGAATTACTTCTGCTTGCAGTGGAAAGAGAAGTTCAAGATTTTCCTCACATTCATGAACTAGCCTTGTGAGAGGCTCAATGGTGAAAAACGGTTGACGAAGAACAAATTGTGTAAAAGGCAGACGCAACAACCCACCAGTTCTTTTATCATACTTCTTCAAAATTTTAATTAGTCCTGTTGAAGTGGAAATATGTTAATGTCTTCAGAATTAACATTTAGCTAACTGAAATCCCATGAGACATATAATATAAATTCAAATATATGAATCATGTAATCTGTATTGCAATATCAAGAAACCTTGCTGAAAATCCACTTCCACATTAAAATGGTGAATTCCATACCAGCCATACTTAGATCAAAAAGGATATATACCAGAATAATTAGAGGATTTACCTGCAAAGTTTAAGGAACTGTAGTTTTTGAGAAGGACCATCTCTCCATGAATAGTGACCAAGTCCTTTCTGATGTCCATCATTTCTTCACTGAATTCACAGTCAGAAGTGTACATTTCACTCTGGCTGCTTTTTTCTTTAAGACACTCAATCCTCTCTTTCAGCTCCTATTCAAAGTTGCACATAAAAATCAGTAAAGAAACAGAGCTGCATGTTGTCAATAAACAGTATTACGATTGATATTCTCCAGGCATTAACCAATATCTTTTATAATGATCTTATAACCAAGCTCTGTAACAATTGAATTCAGTATACAATTCATAAATGAAATGTCAATAATTAATCCCCTAAGGTGAGAAAAACATACATCAGATTAGATAGAACAACTCTTGAACATCATCAATCAAATTATGTGTTTGGTAAGCTAAGCCATTGCAGTTTTTACATGCCTTAAATTAACACTAGGATAATTTTGGCACCATAAGAGAGTGGTTTTATCCAGCTTGCAGGAAGAACATAAATGAATTTTGTATCAATAACGTTATAACTGATTGAGTTGAGTAAATTTAAATATACTACATATTTAGAAAAATGATATATTTATTTATTACACCTTAATTTCTAGCAGTGTTCCTTGTGTCATATATTCTTTTCATCATATTGATCAAAACTTGTGAATCAAACTGGTTGAGGAAAATCATTCTAATTGTTAAGGGTCTAATAGGAGCTGTATGTGACTCATTGGAGAGAAAACAGAGGATGAAACTCAATTCTAAGCCATCCATGAAGGCATATACTTTCCATTTTGATCGAAATTAATAATAGCAGGTTTAGGCCTGTTTGTTTTACATCAGGAATCAAAGAGTTGTATTATTTCTGTAACAAATTTCTACAACAAAATTCTACGTAAATAATATTTTTTTCAAACTCTCCATCACATCACTCATCTAATCACCTACTTCTCTCTCTTTTCTATCTATCTCTATCTAATTTATATTAAAAAAAATACATCATTTTTGTTGTAGAAATAACATTTTCGGAATCAAATTTCTACACTATGCACACGTTCCAATGTAAAATCTACAACAGAGATTAATTTAGACAGTATTTCAATTACACTAAACGGTTCAAATTTAATTTTACTTAAGTTTAAAACAATTGGAAACTAAATAATAACATAAATTCTGTAGTATGTACAAGTAACAACGCATCCTATACATAAAACAAATAAAAACTAGGGTTTGATAAAGCCAAGGGCTTTCTCAAATACCCAATTAGGAAAACACAATTTTCTAATTACCAATTTCAACATAAATTAATAAGAATACAGAAAAAGGCTCAGCAACGCCAACATAACATAACGAAGCAAAGAAAGAACCTGGAAGCGGATAACAAACTCTTCCTCTTTATCAACATAGAAATCATTGAACTTTTCAAGTTCTTCATTGAGAATCCGAACGAACCAAGCTTGGAGGAGGTGTGGGGAAGAGGGTGGTTGAAGGAGGTGAAGAGGAAGATTGATGGGTGTGGTGGTGGTGGTGGCGTTGTTGGCGGAGGCTAAGTGGTGTTTGAGAAGCTTCTTCAATGGTTTGTAACAGAGGAACTTGTCCCTCCACTCAGGGATGGTTTCTTCAAGATGGGTCTTGAATTCCTTGCCAAATTTCATAGCTTTTGTGGTTGCAGATTATGATCACTGTTGAAAAATCAAATTTTGGATTTGGATTTGCATATCTGGAGAGAGAGTGGCAGCTTGGGAAATAAAGGGTGTTTTGAAGTGCGAAGGAATCTAAGAATGTTTTTTATTTGAATGTGGAAAGGGAGTGTGACGGCTGGTAATGATGAATGGTGATATAATAGTGAGTTAGTGACACATACAAACATGTAACACGACATCAGTGGGGTAACCTACACACTAGTCAGTAGGTTTGGTTATTGTGTTTGTGTCACTGTGGTTTCATGATGCCGGCTTAGTTGTTCAATTAAAATATGGGTTGGGTTTTGTAAATTCTGAGGACAGCGATTAGTGATTTAGAAATTCAAAATAAACACTTTTATTGAAAATTATGAAAGAGGTATATTAATAATATTTTAATATTTTTTAATTAGTGTTTTTAAGGAACTCACTAGTATTTATTTTAAAATATTTGATTGAAATGAAAAAGTTTTGAAATTAAAGTATAATAGAAGAGAAGAATGTTTTATGTTATGAATAGGATATAACTTAATCGTAATATTTGAAGAATACTTGGTTTTAAATAAATAATATAAAATAGGATAAATATGAAGGTGAGTTTTGTTCAATAATTGAAAAAATAATTTATAAATAAATATATTTTTGTCATATCAAAATATATTAAAATTTGATTTTTATAAAATTAATTTTATTTTTATATCTTACGTTTTTAAAATTTGTTAATTTTGATTTTAATTACTGTTTAATAATAATGTAGTTAATTTAGACATTGTTACATATCAATTTTTATGTTACGTGTTAATTTTTTAAAAGTCACATAAATAAGAAGGATTTAAATTAAATTTTTTAAATGTAGAATAGAAAAAAAAATTTATAGAAGTTAAAATTAAAATTTAATATATATTTACGAAAAAAATATACTTAAGATAAATTATATCTTTAAATTTAATTTAAAGATATAATTTGTTTAAAAAGTATACATAATGACTCTATTCAAGTTTGTCCACTTATTTTATTTTTAAATTTGAGACTCAATTCAAAAATCATGCATGATTGTCATTTTTCCAGAAATAATTAATGAGTATGTTTGATTGGGTTTTTTTTTTTTAATTTCCTTTTAAAATAAAAATATATATACTTATTTTTATTCGTAGAAATTAGGATTAAACTTTTGTTTGAACAAGTCTCAATGTGTACCAAGATTACATGTAGAAATATTAATTAATAAAATATATATTTGTATAATCAATTTTCAAGAATTTTAATTACGAAGTTAATTTATGTTTCGATATGTTAATTTATAATTGATGTTCAGTCCTAGTGTTTCCTCAAGATTCTATGAAAAACGAATTAAGAAGTATAAAAAATTATATAACTATTGTTGTTGGACATGTATTTGTATTATCCTATTCAGAAAGTTATAATAATTTATTATATCTACAATTAATTTTCTATATATTAAAAATTAATATCATTTAGGGTATGTTTGAAAGAGAATATTTGAAAATAAAGGAAGGGTACGACTTATTTTTTAATTTTATATTAAAAGAATTATATATTATTTATGATGACAAATATATTATTAATATATTGAGTTTTTGTTATTATATTAATTTATATTTTTTATTTTTAAGAATTATTAATTTTAAATATATTTATTTAAAATATAAAAATAAGTCCTTCTCTCTCCTTCTCTCTAAAAACTCTCTCTCAAACATACCTTTAAGCAATAACTACAAATTTATTCAATATAATGGTCCAATCTTATTTATTTTTATTTATTTATATTTGTGAACTTTTTGCTTTTGAAATTATTAAACTTTAAAGAGCAATGTTAATAATGTATTTTTTAATACATTTTTAGTTATTAGTTAAAATTTATAAAAAAATAATAAAATATAAGAAAAAAATATTAAGTTAAGAGTAAGAAAAAATAAAATTGTGTAATTTTTAATAAATTTTAACTAATAACTAAAAAATAAAAAAAAAATATGTTGCCAGTTATTTCTCAACGTTAAAATTCCTTCTCATGTATCTCATTAAATCTTTAAAATTAGAGTAACTTCAGATTATTAAATAGGAAAAGAATCATTACATTCAAAATGGTGAATTTTAGATAAGATGACACTTAAATATATTATTTTTTATTTTTTTTTTATTTTAGTTTTTAGAATTGAGTTTATTAATTTTTTAATATATATATATATATATATATATATATATATATATATATATATATATATATTATAACATTAAAACTATAAAAGTGTGATATATTTTTTTAATAAAAATGTACTATTTTTAAGTGCTTAAATTTATTGAAGTTAATATTTTCTTACTTTTCATCATTCATATATTTAACTTAAAAATATAGTCGATATCTTTCAAATTAGTTTAATTCAATATTAACGTTAAGAAAATAAAAGACAGAATAAATTACAATGGAGGGCAAAAAGTGAGCAAGTTTTGAAAGGTAAACAACTACAAAGGGAAAGAGTATGTAAGAAAATGTCATTTCAAACATTTTTGTATAAACTGTAATAGTTGGATAGCCAACGGAAGAGCTAAAAGAGCACTCTAATATGCAATATTTCATATAAATTTAAGTAACGTTAACTGTAGACTTTTTTTTAATATCCATTTTATTATTGGTTAAAATTTATTAAAAATTATAAAAATTACGTAAATTTTGCTTTTTTCACTCTTAAATTAATATATACTTTTCAAACTTATATACTTTTTAATAAATTTTAATTAATAATAAAAAGTGTAATTATTAACATTCCTCGTGCATGTGCAGCAGTAATATCTAAAAAATATATATACAAATTTGTATGGTTATGATTTTAAAAAAATATAAGTATCAACATGCTAACTTTAAAAAATAAAAAATAAAAAATATAAAAGTAATATAAGTAATAATAATAACTTACTTTTAGTATGATTAAAATGAATCCTAAAAAAAGAGGTATATAAAATTGAAAATTTAATTCCTCTCTTAAAAATGAACACACTTGCAATATTATTTTACGAATTAAGCATTAAATCAGGAATCCCAAAAATTAATTTGAAGGAGAAAATCACTCCAACTTTGATCTTCGATAGGAAAATCATCCCCTTGCGGGGTGAACGAAGTAAGCTCCTCATCACCACAATTAATGTCTGTGAAGAGCTTTCCAATATTTCGATCTTGGTCATCCAAACAGCATTTATCGTTTTCTATGTTGCTTATTCCTTCGTCATCCATCATAGTCCTCCATTTACTACACTCTGAAGCAGCCTCACATGGTTTAGCAGAGACCCCACTTTGAAGGACTCTTCCTCTTAACCAAGGTGAACAAGTTCTTGAGAATGTTCGAGGCCAAGGCTTTATCACTATGTGAGGTTTCACTGTTTCCTCACCCTTCATCTTTTGATCAGCAGATACCTTCTTCCTAATGTAAGTGTTCCAGTAGTTTTTCACATCGTTTGGAGTTCTTCCAGGAAGTCTTCCAGCAATCAAGGACCATCTATTTACACACAAACTTTCTTAATCAAAATGTGTGATCAGGATCATAGTTACTTAATTAGAACAATAATACATTAATCTTTATAATTATTTATCAAAATGGTTCATTATATATATGTTCTTTATACAAATATTACAAAGAGAAAACATCTTTATAAAAAAACTTATACAGATAATGTGATTAATTATGAATATACAAAACCTGTTTCCCAAAAGTCTATGCAATCTTGTCATCATATCAACTTCGTCCTCGGTGAACTCTCCCCTCTTGATGGTTGGTTTTAGATAATTCAACCAACGCAATCTACAGCTTTTGCGGCATCGGTTCAAGCCTGCAAAACTCATACATGTAATTATATTATATTAAATTAAATATATGATATATAATGCTAACAATAGTCATTATTTGTCTCTTCCGAAAGGCAATGAAAATAAATAAACAAAAATTAAATATTAATCAATCATTCTTGATAACGAGCCATTAGTGTCATGAAAGCAATATATAGATTAATTACCGGCTCTTTTAGGCACCAAGTTCCATTTTCCTTCTCCATGTTTTTGTACACAGGACCTGAGAAGTTCATCTTCAACATCACTCCATGCACCTTTTCTCACACGTAAGGATGATTCCATGAGATACAATTCAAACTTGCAATTAGTTTCTTTACAATGGGTTCAGTTCTATTCCCACTCTACTCAGCTCTTATTATATAATAGAGAAGATGTTCAATGAATCAACGTGGAATATTGCTAGAGTGTGTCCACAACACCAACGTAATATTGTGTTACACGTGGTACCACAGTCAAGGCAGTAACTAGCATAGCTAGGAATAGGAGGGGACGGGAGTACTTCATGCCTCTCCAAGCTCTAACTCCAATTTTCTTCTCCATTGCGTTTTGAGGTTAACTTTTTCATGTTCTTTTCACTTAGTCCTTGCAAATATTTGTGGGAATTTTTTGAGTTACAATATATATAATATATATATGTAACTATTAAGATAAATTATTTATGAGTAAAAATTTTCATTCTTGCTCGCATGAAACAGTCCTTGAAGAGATTCCTAAACATTAAAGAATATTGCCATGTCTGAAAACTAGGCAGGCACATCCCACGGTTGCCTTGAAGATTTAGAATCTGAAGTTATTTTAACAGTGTAGAGGTAAAAAATTAATAAAATTTGAAAGATTTTTTTAAAAAAATGTTATCCTATGGTTTAAGGAAGAGAAAATTTAGGGATATTTGTAATTGTGAAAATTTGATATTTTAATTAGTAGATTTTAAAGAAAAAGTTTAAAATAATTTTATGAATAATTTTTTAAAAGAATTCAAACATCTAAAATGATAAAGATTTATTTATAAAATTATTACACTTTTATTTTTATATATAACAAATATTTAGTTTTTAATAAAACTTTAACATTTTTTAGATGTTTGATATTCTTTTAATAAAATCAATCTTTTTGTCAATCAAACTAATTAGGAAGGTCGAAGTGAGGACAAACATCCCAAGATCATTAACGGGCAACTCCTCATTTGGGTAGAATATACCAAATTAAAGATTTTTTGGAGTTTTAAATTCAAGAAGAAACTTAGCCGCCATATATAGAGAGAAAAGGGACCGAGAGATGAGGTGAAAACCTAGCCACAGTACAAGGGGGCTCCCCTATACGGACCCTACCCCTTTGTAGGGGCTCTTCTATCCTTTTAATTACAGACTTTTTACTCATAGTAGGTGAGTTTTTTTCTCTATATTGTAAGTTTTTTTTAAGTATTTTTCTTTTTTTGCATACTCATCATCTTTTTTTTTCTTACTTTTCTTGCCTCCATCTTCTTGCCTTGACCTCTTTAATGTTTCACCAGATTTCTCTCGAGAACAAAGTTCTGAAATAGTTTATAATCATGTTCTTATCATCGAAGTACGTACTACTTTGCAATATCACATATTTGTTGTTGTCTTCGTTGTAATTTTTATTTGTTTTTTATCTTTGAATTAATCTTGAAAAAAAGAATAGAACAATAGTTTGTTTTACATTTTGTGGCTCTCTAAAGGTTAATTTGTAAGGAAAAATTATGTTTTGTTAATACTTAACAATTGATTTACATTTTGTTGTGTTCTAAAACTTAATTCTATGCAAATTTGAGCACACATGTATGATTATATTTGGTTTGTATTACTTGCATTGTTTCAATATTATCTTTCAATTTGTAAGCGTCGTTAAGCATCTTAATCGATCATTCCTGGATCAAAATTAAAAAAATTTGAAAGAAAGTGATGAATGAACTTAATTATAACATTTGAAAAGATTAAGGAATTAATTCTATTAAAAAAGTGAGATTAACCTTTATAAATTTCACTTATTTTTTCATGTGTTTAGCATAGAAACTAATGTTTTCCCTTAACATTTTCACTTGTTTAGAAGAGAGAGATATTTTTTCTACGTTTTACTAGTCAAATAAAAATACTTTTCTAATCGATTATTACAAATTTGAGGAGACAAATCATATGTTTTCATAAGAAAATAAAGATAGTTTTGAATCTAAATATTAATGATAATTGGGAACAGCGGGAAGAGAAAAATACCCAAGTTTATATCAGACAAATGCAAATTAATGACTTCATATATTATTATAATCTTTCCTTTACCAAAATGATTTGAAGAGAATGGTATAATCAATATTTTCAAATAGGATGTTATTGACATATTGGCGAAATCAGCAAAAGTCCAACCAAAACTTTTATACAATTTTAAATTATAATTAAGCTGTTTTGTTTTGTTATAATTATTTATTTAGCTCTTAGAAATCAAGGGATCTCTCTGATGAGGATATTGGAACAACATTTGTTTAAATATAATTTAAACAGTGACTGTGTAGTTTATTTTTATCTTTTTTCATTTTACGATTGGGTCAAATAACCTTTTATACACTTAACAATTTTGTAGTTTTTTGAACTGCTTCTTCGTAAGTGACTTCAAATATTTTAAACCTATCTTTCAAAAGTTTGAATAGTACAAGCACTTTCTAGAGCAATAGATCTGTCTGGTAGTTTAGAGCATGCCAATTCAGTGACGTTAACAAGACAGGGAAAAAAATTAAAATTATGTAGAAAATAGACGAAAGAGAAAGAAAAATAAAAAATTATAGAACGCTTTCACCCTTCCACGTTAACAGAAGGCATTCAATCTAATATAGTAAACAAGGAAGAGCCGGCAAAATAAGCCATTTAATCTAGAATTTTAGTGGATCAAATTAAAAAAATTAATTTAATTTAAACTTGCAATTAATAGTGTTTAAACTTGACAAAGCTCAAACTTATTTCATGAATTATTGCGATTTTAACCTCCATCAAACTTAATTAAAATAAAAAAAGTTTGATTCAAGTTAGTCTAATTGGATAGATCAAATTTATCAGCTCTAATACAATGTCCAAATTATTTAATTGAAGGGAGCAAATGAAAGTATCAACCTTAAAGTTATGTCATAAATATTAAATCAGAAGTTAATTCATGTCTTTTTAAATAAGTTATTAGATTCAAATTTTGTATAAAAAATTATTTGTACTTTAGATAAAAAGAATGATAAATATTAGATGTTAGTTGAATTTAAAGGTTAACTTAACCCCTTTTTGTTTCAACCATTACCAGAAAATTAATCTACGAATAATCTTGAGATAGGTTTGACAATGGTACGTATGTTAATAATGTATGATTTATAAATGGCTAAAAGTCCCTTAGAGATATTTATTCCATTGCTTTAAAACTGTGATTTAAAGAATGTCTTTACAATAAAAAGCAGCTCTTGAAATATAATAATTTGCAGCACTGCCTATATGTAGAAAAGAAATTAAGGTTCACCACTACTTTCTATTATAATGGTTACTGTACAATCATTTTTATTTATTTGATATGTATCAGTCTCATTACATTTCCACTGCTGGAATGTAGGGTATATGGGAAAAACTCACGGTAAAATATGGTTTAATTTGATTTTATAAATTTTAAAATATATGTATATATAAAATATAATAATAATAATAATTACATTAAATATCAATTTTAATTTAAGAGTTTAAATAATAAAATTCCTTTTGTTTTTGAAAAGGAGGGGCTGGCCTTTACAGTACTGCACAGGTCCTTTGCCATTAAAGATTATTTAATAATCGATCTAAAATATAAATTCTACTGACAGCGTTTATTTTTAGATACATAATGTGAAAATTGTGTGGCAAAAGAGAAAAGCAAATATTTGCAGTTTCTTTATGAGTGATATGATTTAATTTTACCTGTCCCATTGTTGAGATTAAAATTATTTTTGGAATTAAGAAAAAGTAAAGTTGTTGACAATAATACTATATATGTATTGCATGAACATAACCCAGTTATTGACAATGGACCATTCATAACTCTTATAAAGATTTGGGTCACAAGACACTGAAAAGGAGCTTATTTATTTTCCTGTCATATCTCATATTTTAAGACAAATGTGAATAATATACTTACTGATACAATTTTTATTATAAATCTTGAAAAAAAAATTCAGTGATTGAAATTTTTTTTATTAAAATTTATGTTAAATGCTTAAAAATTTAAAAATATACATTAACAAAATTTTCAGATAAGATTTTTTATTTTTATTTTTTTAATTAATGCTCTAAAACTATTTTCATATAGTTACATTCTCAAAAGCTTAGACAGATAGTTTAAGCACGTTAGAGAGACATTCTCAAGCTCCTCAAAATCTGATTCCCCCCCCTTTATCAAAGCATATCAATTTGTTAGCATTTATCCTTTATTATTATCTGAAAATTGATTCAAAATAATGAAATTATGTGAGTCATGTCTCTTATTTAATTAGCTTTTACATATAATTTTAATTAATAATAAATGGTATAATAGTGAGGGCATCAATAGCATTCATAAGAAATATAATGATGAGCAATTCTTGTGGACCTAATTATTAGGAAGCTGATAAAATGTTACAATGCACTAATTATATTTTATAAGCATATATTGTTAAAGGGATTACGAGAGATACTCAACCCTTAAATACAATTCATCACTTCTTCTAAAGAAAATGCATAACCATTTTTGTCTCATTCAATTTTGGCCACATGAGTATTAGTTAGATAAACTTACAAGGCTTTCCTAACTCACATAAAATAAAGCCCATAAGGCCTAAAATTTTAAAACTTCAACTCATTATTGAATTAAGTAGCTTAGTTTATTTTGTGGGTTGGCCCATTTTATAAGTTTTTTATTTATAAAATTTATTTAATATTTTGAGAAGAAATTATTAAATTTATTAATGTCTATATACTTTATTTTATTCTAATAAAATTTGTGCAGTATACAAAAAATTACTAATAAAGCATAATTTACAGTAAGTAAATTCCTAAATTTTTCTATGTAAAATAATAACAAACAACGTTTCACGATGAAAACAATATATAAAACTAAAGATTACTATCGAAGCAAGAATTTAAAATTAAAAAAGAAAGCCACGCTAAATTTGTGGGCGTATATTAAATTCAATTGAAAAGTCAATAAAAATTAAATAAATTAATTTAATTTAATAATATTAGGCTTAATTAAATATTTGATTCCTTCCTAAGTTGTATATTTTAGATTTAGTTCTTAAACATTTTTTATAGGATATATTTCTTAACTTTTTGAATCTATTAAAAATCAGTCCCTATTATTAATTGAATTTTACTAAGTGATGAGTTAAATAAGTCGTAATTAAGTAAGAGAAATGATGTAATCAATTGAAGAGAGTTTGCCTAATTGATTAGAGCTCATACCTAATCAATTAGTTTGTTTTTGTATTATATACATATGTAAAACAAAGTATAGTTCCTAATCAATTAGGCAACTTTTTTTTTTTTATGAGCAAATGATTAAAAAAGTTTTAATTGTTTAAAAATTTATTTAATTGATCATATCATAAATTTATGTTAATTTATTTACATTTTTAATGCCAAAAATTTTACCTTTTTTTATTTATATCCGATTTGAAATGCTTTTTAATTTATTTAAAGCATTTTTTAAGGTTTGTTTATGCATGCAAAATTGATAAAAACGTTTATATAATATCATATCATATAAAACTCTAATCCTTATTTATCTTAAGGTCATCATCATAAACATCTTTTGTTTAATACAATTTCAATTTATATCATTTATCATTGTGAGAGAGCTTTTTTAAAAATAAAAAAAAATCTATTGAATTGTAAGAAAGTGAAAAATACTCTAGTTATAAGAATGAAAATCCCAAAAGAGAAAAATTTTAAAAATTTAGATGTAGCATTTTCTAAGGTTATGTTTGAGAGTTATTTTTAGGAGGGAAAGGGAAGAAAAGGATTATGAGGGGTTAATCCTTATTTGCAAATAACTCAAGTAAAAGGGGAAAGATTTGAGATTTTTTTTAAAAAATTTCAAATCTTTCTTAACACTAGATTGTTGAGTTCTCTCAATTTAAGAGTTTTCTAAGAGTTTTTTTTTTTTTTTGTCCGACTCTTTTCTATTCTTTCATGATTAGAATTTTAATATTTTTTTAAAATATTATTTTTTCAAGTAAAAATATTTTTTAAGAAAATTATAAAAAATAAAAATATTAATTTTAAAACTATAAATTTTTAGAGAAAGAAAAAATTAATTTTTTATTTTTTTAAAAAATAAAAACTATATAAATAAAAGATATAAAATATAATAATATCATTTATATAATTAAATCCTCCATTACCATTCCCTTCCAATGTTGAATATCCAAACAAGAAAAAGATTTAACTTCCTTCCCCTTTCAAACTATTTCTTTCCTTTCCTATCCAAACTCTCAGCCTAAGTTGTAATAATTGTTATAATAAAAAATCTTAAGTAACTAGTGTTTGAAGATTAAACATACATCACAAATAATTAGTAGGTGAATAAGAATAAAACAAGTTTGTACTTCTTAGTCTCCAAGTTATTTTAATTTCTATAATTTATTTGTTCCTAGTGCATTTGCTTAATTCTAAAAATCCAAATCTCCTTCTCGTAGTTATCTATTTATATATTTTTGTGTAGATTTTTTTTTTTTTGCAAACACAATGTCATTATTTTATGAAAATTAATTGTGAAATATTTACAAATTTTTTTAAAAACTTAATGCACCCCTTTTAACTTGAGAGCACTCAATAAAAATATAAAATAAATTAAAAATATTTAAGATTTTTTATTTAAACATTTTTTATTTTCTACTATATCAAACAAGATAAAAGAAAAGTGTCATTTATATATATATCTATATATATGAGATATGATCTTCTTACACTAGTATAAATCTAAAAATTCTTACACTCAATCTGAGTTTTTCATTTAACATACATCTAACGAGTTATAATTTATTACTTCACATATCGTTAAATGTAAGTTAAATGAAATGATTAAATCGGGTGTAAGTTTTTAAACTTACAATAGTGTGAAAAAAACCCTTCCTCTTTATATATAGATAGATAGATAGAGAGAGCATATGATGAACATGATACATGGTATTCCTTAATTCACAACCTCCATATGGTCCCATCATCGTGACCTCTATTTAATTATATATAAATAGAATATATTTTTTTATTTCATCTCTTTACATCACTAATTTTATTTATTTATTTTTTTGCTATTTAAACGGGACATAAAAGCTCAAAAAAAAATAGAAACCTATCTCATACCTCTAATATACTAGGAACCTAGAGCATTCAAAGTTAAAAATAAAAGTAAATTAGCAAGAGTCTGTTTAAAATGAGAAAAAGGAATCCTGTAGTCTGCCCTAAATTTGGCAAGGTAATCAACATAATGATTGGCTTATCTGAAAACTTGACTAAACCTGATAAAACTAATACCTTTTAACAAGTTCCTAATCTCTCTAATAATAGAAAACAAAGGTTGGTTACAATTAGGGAAATTCACAAATAAGGAAATTGCCTCCTTAGAATCACATTCAATCCAAACTAACTAATTTTTTTTTTCAGAATAACAAGCTTAAGACCCCCAATATACTCCTCAAAATTCAGCTGTTAAGGGACTACTAAGGTCCAAGACACCATAAAAATCAGCTATGAATCTTCCTTGGTTGTCCTACAGCTAATTGACCCATAATTTTGAGTAGTAGCTCTATCCACGTTAAGCTTAAAGTGAGACCTGGGAGGGGGTTGTCATTTTATAAGTCTTTGATTATCCAAAACAGTTGAGTCAACTTCTAGATATAAGCTGGCATAGGAAAGGTAAAAATCAAAATCATAGAGACTTTTATACAATAAGGATTCAGTAACAAGGGGAGAATTATGAAATATAGCATTATTCCTATTTATTCATAAATTTCAAATAACCATACCAAATAAAACATTCCAGTTAGGGTAAATTTTAAAGTTTTGTGGAGACAGATTATATTCCAGCCATTTATGTAAATTTTTACTAAAAAAAGAAGACCAATTTTTAGGAAGAACTAGTTGGTTCCATATTGTTTTAGCAAACCAAAAGTTCCTAAGGACATGCATGATGGATTTAGCCTCTTCAATGCATCTAGGACAATCAGGAGAGGTAGTCATACCTTGTTGCACCTTTCCACATTTGTTAGCAACCTACCGTGGGCAATTTTCTAAAGGAAAAATGAGATTTTAGGTGGAGCCCCCCAATTCCAAACAAGTTTGAAAATTTTATTATGATTTTGATTCTTCCCATTACTTACCAAGGAAGCAATCAAATTATAGGCTGATTTAATAGAAAAAATGTCATTGCTAGACTATTTCCAGAAGAGAAGGTCATGATCACCCGTATTCTCACCAATAGAAAAATTATTAGAGATGGATTCACACAGGGAGGCAGGAAGCATTGAACTAATCCTAGGCTAGTCTCAATTATCTTGAGGGCAGAACATAGCAACAGGCATATTAACATCATTATCAGGAATAGGCTAAACAACATAATTAACAAGACTCTGGAAGTTAAGAACCTAGCCATCCTCATAGAATCTAATGGTCATACCATCCCAAGAATCCAACCCAACCCTTTATAGAACAAATTCCAAACAAAAATCATATTTGACCACAAGTGAGACTGGTTATGATTAGCATTAGGACAAGGTCTCTTGTTAATGGAAATTTATATTTTCTGCATAAGACTTGAGCCTACACATCATTAGGAGAAGTTATGAGTCTCCACTAGATTTTCATAAAATAAGTCTAATTCACAAGATTAATACTCCTAAAACCCAATCTCTCTTTATCTTTAGGTCTACAAATTTTATTCTAACTAATTAAATGATATTTACTGCTGCTTATAGACCTCCAAATGAACCTTTTGCAAATATTATCAATTTCCTTATAGATAGATTTAGGAATAATCAAAGATTGCATAAAATAGTTAAGTATACTCATAATACAGGATTGGACTAACAAAACCCTTCCTGTCATTGATAGGGACTTCATTTTCCATAACAAAAGTTTTTTCCTAACTTTTTCAACTAAAAAGGAGTAGTATTGTCTAGAAGGCCTAAGATGGCTAATGAAGACTCCTAAGTATTTCTCAAAACAAAAAACTTGATTTGTACCTAAACACATACTTATTTCTTAAATCATTGCAGGGTCACAATTTTTTAAAAAGAAAATAACAGACTTTTCTTTATTAATTGAAAGGCCAACAGCTAAATAGAAATCATTAAGGGTATTTCTAATAACATCAATACTTTCTCTATTAGCTTAATTTCGCCACTGAAACTATATCATCAGCAAAGAAAAGATAAGAGACCCTAAGTCCTTGAGAGCCAAAAGAGACTTTATCTTGGATTAAATGAGCCAACTTTCTAAAACAAATTTTTTATATTTTTATTTTATATTTTTATTTTTTTATTTTTTACTTCATTAATTTTATCCCTTTCTTTTTATCTCTCTCCTAAATAATTAGCATAGTTGTACGTAAAAAATTGTTATACAAATACTATTAGTAGTAAATAATAACAAACTGATCGTGACTCCTCAGTTTTCCAAGCAAGCAACGTGTGTAACACCTAACATAGGTTATATAAGTGAACGTGTAATATAATAGCTAATTAAATATCAATATTATATGATCAAGGGGACCATCATGGCAAGTACTCTCCTTCCATGCCAACCCTGGTTGCCCCTCACTAGTTTCTTACATGGAAACGTATTGAAGAAGCACAAGCTTCATCATCATCATCATTATGAAGGTCGTTCAATGGCAGCAATATCTGGCTCAAGGAATTATCTAAGGATCAATAATAATAAAACTTCCTCCTTTAATTATAGAAGCAGCACTGGTGTTCCCCTTCATGAGTTGCCTTGGGTATTTATTATACACGATATATATGAAATTATATCCCACTTTTTTTTTTCTTGCTTCCTCTTTTTGCTAATTGTGTTGTGCGTGCTTAATTGGTTTTAATCAGGCTTCCTTTGACCAATATATGGAGGACAAGGGAAGAGTAATCCAGGCTATATTTCCAGAACAATCAACAAGCCAGCAACTCAACGAGGTACATCAATTTGCATATTCATGATGCTTAATTTCTTCAGTTTTGAAAACGAATATATATATATATATATATATATATATATATATATATATATATATATATATGTATGTATATGTCATTTCTTATCTTTCAGGTTCAGATAAATAATAATTTTTTAATACACATGGTTGTAGTTCTATACCCCTTCTAGTTTCATATATAGTATAGATCTAATTAATTAAACAAATAGTTAATAATAATTTTTAATTGCGATCATCATCCACTAATATAAAATATTTATCATTGAGAAATGGTTAATTTCTTTGTATTCATGTAAAATATAGTTTATCAACTCATGTTAATACATCTAAGTCGTACGTATTTTACGTTTTTAATAAATTTTTCGTAGACGTATCATACACATTTCATATTAAGTATATGGCTTGGTAGTAATCATTGATCACAAAACACTTTTGCCAATTATGGAATAGGAAGAGTGGAAAGTTAAGATGACTCCCATAGAAGCTTTGTTCTTGAAGTGTGAACCAGTAATACACATCACAGCTAAAAGCATATCTGAAGTGGATGATTACCCACCTGAGATTCCTGGCCATATCACCAAATTTCTCGAGGTTCAAATTGTAAGTATATATTAAAAATCCATAAATTTTAATTGAGGAAGGTATATATTTTTCAGTTTGATCAAGTTGAAGCCAAAAAATAATTAATCTAGCACATGATCATTACTTCTCTTTTATAGACAAGGTGTGAGTTTCCAGATCTTCATGCTGATTACATACCACCAGATTTCAACATCAATGCTAGAGGAGCCTTATATCTTGAAAGGGAGGGAAAGGATAATTTGATGAAGAATCACTTAGACATTAGTTTAAGCCTTTCTTTTCCTCCATTACTCGCCTGGGTTCCTGATTATGTGTTGCAAAACATTGTGCAATCGGTCAGAATCACACATTCCTTATGCTGTTCCATTTAATTATGAGTTATATTGTTTCTATAACTATATTTTTAAATTTATTTTTTTCTTTATAACACTACTTCTCTTGTATACATGTAATATATCACTTTTTTTTTTAATTTCTCTCACGATTGTTTAATTTTTTTTGTATAATTTTGATTATTGACTGATTAATTGTTTTCAAATGTTTGTTGATTCACAGGTACTCAGAAATTACGTGGAGGATATCAATAATGGATTTGCAGTTAGATTGTTAGCTGATTATAACTTGTTCAAGAGGAACACGCCCAAAAATTAGGCGTAATTGCGTGCACATACACTGTTCATCAAATTCGGGTTTTTTTTTTTTTAATAACAGAAATAATATAAAGAAACTGAAACGTTGCCCTTTTGGGCAAGCAAAACTCTTTAGAGTCAACAAAATAAACAGCTGAAGTTGCAAAAACATGAGCAAGGTAATTTCTTTTCTTAGGAGAACACAGAATTTAAAATTGTCCGAAGTTTGATGTTAGAAATAAACAATCTTTTGATCATTGGATCGACGAGGCACTACAAAAAAATCGCTTATTTGTGGCGGTTAAATTTTATGATTAGCGGCGATTTTAACTACTTCTAAATATTTTTCTGGCGGTTATGAAACTGACGTTAAAATTGGCGACGCAAAGCTAAATTTGTGGCGGTATTAAACCGTCACTAAATTTTTAAATTTGTGACGGTTTTGAACCGCCGCTAAATTTAAAAATTTATCACGATTATTTAGTGGTGGCCGCTAAAATTTGAAATTCAAATTTTAGGCTGTGCGCGGCAGTATTCTATTTTTGGCGGGGCATCATTTTATTTTTGGCCGGCAGTGCTTTATTTTTGACTCCCACACTTTTTTTCGTTTTATCTTCTACTAAGTTCTTTCTTTTGCTATTTGGTTCACATTTCATTTATTTTTTAATATCACAACATATATATTATATAATTTATAGTGTAGAATCGTTGGAGAAGAGCCATTTTTGGAGAAAGTGAAAATGATAGTAGAAGATTACCAAGTTATCACGGTTAGAGAAAATATTTTGGATGTTCCGTTTTTAGAGAAAATTGCCTTTTAATTTCCACAAACTCTTGAGAGTTATGAGATGATGTAAATAAGTCAATTAATTGAATGCTCCGTTTGACAAAATTGCATTCGGAACATGCTGTGTTATACAAATTCTTGTTCAGATTCATTATTTTACTGATGCGAATCACTAGGCAAAGAGGGCAATGAATATATCAATAATGTTATCAAGTGTTAATTAGCCACTGTAAGACCACTTTAACTAAATATTCAAATGGTTATTGAAAGGTTAATTTATAACACGATAGAAATTTATGTAACTTTATATTAAAAAGTATATATTATTACATATATATTGATAATATTAAATATTATACTTGTAATAAAAATATTATTTATTAATATTTTATTATATATCTATAGTTACCTATTAAAAAACTATTTTAAAAATTTTTCGAACCGTTGATTGTAAATTCTATTAAAATGTAGGATTCACGTACGCAATACAAAAAATTAACTAGTTCTAAATATTTATTTAGTAAAAATTATAATATACCTAATGTAATAATTTAAACTGGAAAATGATAAAACTTAATCATAACTCTTCCAAAATAAAATTATATAAAATGAGTTAAAATTGATGAACACATAAACAAAACAAGTACTTAAAATGACTACTAATCCCACTTTATATATATATATATATATATATATATATATATATATATATATAATAGTATTAAAAGTGTTGATTAATTCACGTAATATGGACATAAAATCTACCATAGAAATTATAAAAAAGAAATAATAAGGCAAATAAAGTATAGTGAGCAAGTAACTACGTGAGGCACGTTTATAGAAGACTGAAAAATAGATAAGTCAACATTGAACAACTGAGTGCCATGTGAAGAGCATTTCAAATGAATGAAAATAAATCATTATAATAAATAATGCAAATAAAATACATTCAATAGTATTCATTCGTTTCTTTTTCTTTATTTACTAAGGTTATTTGACTGTTTTATTATGTAAAGGGAACTTAAGATTATTTTTTTACTATTAGTTATATTGTTCTCTATATATAGACTTCTTATACATGGTACCTTTTTAACCTTAATATGAATAATATTCAATTATAATATATCTTTCTCTTCTTTCCTTATTTCTATCTCATCTTTTCTCACTTGCTCACCACTGTTCTCTGATTCTGGTATCTAGAGCCAATGATCTTGACATCAATGGTGACTACTCAAAATCCTAACTTCAATCATACGATATTTCCTATTTTCATTAAATTGGATGAGGAAAATTTCCTCACATGGAAGATGCAAACCTTGGGAACCATCCGATTGTTCAAATTGCAAAAATTTCTTCATCAACCTTCACGCGGAGGCATGCCAAAAAAAAATACAAAATTGATGAAGATAAAGTCGCAAATATAGTTACAGATGAATATGAGACTTGGAATCAACAAGATCAAATGATCTTTACATGACTTCTTGCATCAATGTCCCCTAGTTTTGCATGCTAGGATGGTTAGTTGTGGTCATTCTTTTCAGATATGGTGCACTCTCCAAGTTTATTTCAAGTCACAAACTCGAGTGAAGGTATCACAATTGAAAGCTCGGTTGAAAAGTATTAAAAAATTTGACTCTCTTAATTCATATTTGTTATCGATTAAGAAAATTGTAGATACCTTCACCTTTGTTGGATCGCCAATTGATACGTCAGAACATATCTCCATTATTCTTGATGGTTTACCCTCTGAGTATAACTCTCTTGTAACTTCTATAATTTAAAGAACCAATCCATATAGGGTCACTGAAATAGAAACTTTTCTTGCCACTCTTGATAATCGTCTTGAACGTCAAAAGAAAGAAGAACAAGACAACTTTTCGATGCAAAATATGCAAGTTAATCTTGCACAAATTCAAGGCAAATTTGGAAGGCATCAGTCTGGAAAGTTTGACAAATGGTGATACTTCTTTTATAAAAAGTATTGGTAAATCTTTTTTTTTTTTTCCAAATCTTTTTCACCTTTTTTTCTTCATAATCTGTTGCATGTTCTTAATATTACCAAAAATCTTTTAAGTATATCACAGTTTGCAAAAGAAAATAATGTTGTCTTTGAATTTGGTGCTAACTCTTGTTGTGTGAAATCTCAGGACACTAGGAATGTTCTTTTGAAAGGCAAGTTAAGAGATGATCTTTATGCCTTTGATGACATTCACATGCAGACCTTTTCTTCTATTGATGATTTTGCAAATAATTTTGTTTTATCTTGTAAATCTAGAGGAAATAATACTTTGACATGTAGTTCTATTCCTACATATACAAATAACAATAATAATTCTTTTTGTTGTCATAGATCTAGTTTGTATAAGTTATGGCATTCTAGGTTAGGCCATGCTAACTTCAAAATTATATAACATGTTCTAAATAATTGTAATATTTCTGTTCATACACATTCTACTTTTTCAGTTTACAAGACCTGCAGTTATGGTAAGTCACATAAATTGCCTTTTCCTTCATCTGATACTTCTTATGATGCTCTTCTCCAACTTGTTTACTTTGATATCTGGAGCCCAACACCTATTTTTTCTTCTAAAGGTCACAGGTACTATATACACTTTTTAGATGCTTACTCAAAATACACTTGGATTTATTTGTTAGAACACAAGTGTCAGGCATTATCTTGCTTTACTCATTTCAAGACTATGATTGAAAACTAATTTGGTCTTAAAATCAAGTGTCTTCAAACAGACAGAGGAAAAGAATTTACTGCTTCTTCTAAATATTTGAGAGATGATGTTATATTACATAGACTTAGATGCCCCTACACTCATGAACAAAATGGGGCAGCAGAGCGAAAACATAGACATATAACTGAGATGGAACTATGTATGCTTGCCAATGCTTCTATGCCTCTAAAATTCTGGGGTGAAGCTTTTCAATCTGCTGTTCATGATATAAATTAGCTACCTACACCAACTTTTAGACTTTCTAGTCTCTTGGAAATTCTTTTTAAGAAAATCCTTGATTATAAATCCTTAAAGGTTTTTGAGTGTGCTTGCTATCCATGTCTGAGACCTTATAATAAAAATAAATTGAATTTTAGGTCTCAGGAATGTGTGTTTCTTGGTTATCATTCCTTTTATAAAGGATATTTGTGTTTGTCTAATAGTGGCAGGATATACATCTCAAGGCATGTTTCTTTTAATGAGGATCTTTTTCTTTTTTCTGCCAATCCACACTTTTTGGAAGAATCTAAGTAAATTTTGTAGAAGATATCTTATGTTCTTTGCCTTATATACCTATTGTTCCTTCAACTACAGCTCAACACCTTCTCAAACTAATGACTATACTTCTACCACTCCACCTTGCCCAATCAATACACATCCTATGACAACTCATGGCAAAGATAGCATTAGAAATAAAAAATATATTCTGTCACTTCCTCTTTAGATTCAGATATAGAGTATTTTCTCACAGAACCTACGAGTGTTCAATCTGCTCTTGCCATTCCTTATTGGAAAACAGCAATGGACTTGGAATATACTGCTTTTTTAAGGAACAATACTTGAAGTTTAACCACCTTACCACTTGGCTACAATCTCATTGGTTGTAAATAGGTTTTTAAGGTAAAGACAAATGCAGATGGCATGTTAAATAGGCACAAGGCCCGTCTTTTAGCAAAAGGCTTTCACCAAAGGGATGACTTCGACTTTAATAAACTTTCAGTCCTGTTGTGAAGCCAACAACAATTAGATTTGTTCTCTTCATAGCCTTATCTCATGGTTGGCACCTAAAACAGCTTAATATTGCTAATGCCTTCTTAAATGGAGATCTTCACGAGGCTATTTATATGCAATAGCCACAAAGATATGTATAAGGTGATGGCTCCTTTGTATGCAGATTGAACAAAGCATTATAGCTCAAATAGGCCTAGAGTTTGGTTTGAAAAACTACACCAAAGTCTACATAGTATTGGATTTACTGCTACAGGAAGTGATTTTTCCCTCTTTGTGAGGTTTCACCCTAAAAATACTACCTTCATACTTGTATATGTCGATGACCTTGTGATTTGTGGCAACTGCAATACAACCATTCAAACTGTTGTGAATACCATTTTTTTCTTTTCCACGGTTAATCTCAAATTTTTATACTTTTGTTTTCACAAAAAATATATTAAAAAAATTTGGAAAATAATTTTGGCCCTAGAAACGGAAATTTTGCAATGTGTACCCAACACA